TGAATATAAATTAATTAAGATAATAGAAAGCTAATGCGAAATTAGAATTAGAATTTGTTTTTAAAACAAATAGAAGCCAAGTTTTTATATGTGATTATCTTTTTACATAATATATGTTATTATGAATTTTAGACATTTTAAATTTTCAGTAAATTTTTTCTTTTAAAAAACAAATCTCTTGCATTTACGGTTAAAAATTAAATTTTAATCTTTTAATTATTAAGTTCAACCAATTTTTATTTATTTATGTCTTTTATATTTTTATTAATCATTTTTCTAATACATTTTTTATATTTTTGGTTGAATAATAAATCATTTAATGATATTATGAAAATGTATGTATTAATTGAATCATTAATTTGATTTAATTAATTTGTATTTTTTTTTATGATGTGGACACTCTAAGAAGAGAGCAACTCCTTAGTTATATACTCCCTCTGTTTCATAATAAGTGTCGTTTTGACTCTTCACTTACTCAATGTATCTAGATATTAATGGATGTATTAAGACTCAAAACATATCCAGATACATCATTAAATAGTCCAGATTCATTTTGTCAAAAAGACATTTATTATGAAACGGAGGGAGTATAAGATTAATCATTTAACTAAAAATAATTCGAAACATTTTGAGTTTTTTTTATTTCTTTAGAATATCGAGCTCATAATGTGTGAGTTACATTTTAAACAGTTACAATATTGCCTTCTTTTTTCAATTGTTCCTGCGGTTTAAAATAATATCATGCACTTAAAAAATAAGATATGCATCTACCAGATTTTAGATTTTTAAAAGATAGCAATACGTCTAGACAAAAAAATATATATAGATCCTCCAACGAGTACTGTACGAGAGTTTGTTTATGTCTACTAAACCAAAATTGATAAGTTACGTAGCTCTGCATACAAAATGTTTTTACATTCATAAAAGATCAAATATCGGATCTAAAAGTTGATGTGTAGCCGTGTAGATCTATATGAAGTATTGAAGTCTTTACCATAACTCATAAAATTTGTTTTTTACCGATGATATGAAAAGGACTCATTTCACCATGTGATATTGCGATAACAGCCAATAAGAAATTATGAATAAGCAAATAATGGTATATCAAACACCACACTGATAAAAAGTTTTGGAATTGAAACTCATTAACAAATTAGAAGTTGTTATGCATAGTTTACATTGATGTCCATTATCCTCCTATATTCTATAAAGTTCTACCTTGTTTTTTATGTTATATTTTCTCTTCAAGTTATACTTCATCTCCAAATTGTACTCCTTTACCGAAATGTGCATATGCACACAAAAATAAACATTGTCTTACGACATCCAAAAATAAACATTATCATCAGTGTTTTTAAAACCGGACCGGAGAACGAATTGGATAGACATCCGGATTGTGGGTTAACCTGCCTATCCGGATCATGGGTTAACCCGATCTAACCGGTTCAACCGGGTTTATTGAATTAATTATATATTTATTAATATAAAACATACTATGGCAATAAATCCCTGATTATATCTGTAACTTACCATTAAAGTTTGTTTTCTCGCATGCTTTGCAATTAAAATATATTTTATTGAAAGCACTCGTTATCAAAACCCTAAAAGCATAACTTTTCTTACATCTTCTCCCAAGCCGCCGTCGTTCAACATTTTCTTTTGCTCAAAGATTTGAAAATTGCTTCTATCATTTTGTTTATTCCTTGCATATTTATACCGAAATCTGATACGATAACGGTATAATACAGCAAAAGTAGTCATAGAAGCTTCAAAATCTGAGAACCGGGTTATTGTGGTTTGCCGGTTTGAACCGGTTCACCGGGTTTGACCGGTTTTCAACCGAGTTTTTTGAGTTTTTTCAATTCCAGTTTTCAGTCATGAATCAACCCGGATAACCTTCCGGTTCGCGGTTCAACCGGTTCAACCGACCGGTCCGGTCCGGTTTTAAAAACACTGACATTATGTAATATATATTTCTAGATAATAAACATTTGAGGGAGAGTGTAATATGCAAGGACCTTACAGTAAGGTCCATATTATTAAAGGTTCTCACTTATTTTCTAAGTTATACTTTTTCTTAAAGTTATACTTTCTCTTCAAACTAAATCATATTTTTTGTAATCCTATTTAAATGATTCATTATTTATAAAATAAGACACACAGTCATTCATCTTTTTTGTTCTTGTGTTACAAAAATATCTCATATCACTTGTTATTAATTTACTGTTATTTAATAGTATCTAATATCTTTTGCCAGTCATCCTTATGTTATCTAGCTTCTGCATGTCCATTACTAAACCAAAATTAGAATTAGAACAAAAAAAACAGATCGAGTCGAAGGGTCATAAGTATATCAAAGATGTAAATGTAGTACTTCTAAGGAAGATATCCAGTGCATTACGGTACTCACTGTCATCTTCACAAGGCATGGCAAAAAATGACGACGCTAGCGTTGCAAGATGAAGAAGTCAGTGTTGTACCTGATTCAATTATAGTTGTCAAAATACTGCAATTACGAAATATACAACTTCAGCTGGCAGAAAACAAATATTGATAATTTACTTTTCCAAAACGAGCTTGCCAAATAAAATGTTTTTACACTTATAGAAGATCAAATATCGGATCTAAAAGTTGATGTGTAAATTTGAAGTCTTTACCACAACTCATATTTCTTTTTTTTTAACGATGATATCATGATCCATTTCATCAAGTGATATTGCGATAACAGCCAAGAAAAAATTAGGAATAAGCAACTTTTATACTAGTGTGAACCGAATTTGCACTCTTATACTAACTAATGATAAGTTTGCTATATTAATAAGAGAGCAATTCAAAGGCAAAGAAAGTAAACAATGAAGCAAATAGGAGACTATCTCTGGTTTAGAGTCTTTGCTTATCGTTTTAGCTCTTTTCATACATAGATTTGCTAATTGGTGAGACTTCAGGTCTTGAGGCGATCTTGGATCGCGAGAGGAGAGTTGATGGGAATTTTCAGGGGAGAAGTTATGATATCTCTTGAGTGAGTGAATTGGATTTGTTCTACAGATTCCATTACTCAATTTTATCATTTGTTTGCAGTTTGTTCTTCATTACAATTTCAATAAAAGAGTTACAGAGATTTCACGGTGAGCTTGAGTGTTGTAGAGAGAGAATCCATACTCAAACTTATCAACTAACTACTAAGGGATGCTTCCATGAAAAAAATGTCAGCCGAAACTTGCAAATTTAGGTTCATATTGGTGTAAAACACTTTCTCATTTTGCAACTAACCCATTTTGAAACAAAAAAATGGGTAAAATACATTAGATATGCTCTAAGTTGTACTTTTTCTCAAAACTATATCTCTTCTCCAAACTAAACCTTATTTTTTATAGTCCTATATAAATGATTCATTAGTATATGAAATAAGACACAAGACCATTTCATTTATTTTTCTTCTGTAACAGAAGTATCTAATATCCCTAATATATTAAAAGAGAAAACACTATAAAATAAACCTTTGTGTCATGTGGTATTAACAAAAATGCCATGCTGAGGTGTCATCACTAGGTTCATTCTCAAGGTAAGTTTTAATTAACCCAAAGATTACTAGACTAATTACAAGTAGTGCCATTCATATTATTTTGGTTAGAGACATTATAAATTTAATTTGACTAACCATTTAATGAAATATTAATAAAATAAAATATTATTCTCTTTCCTTAATTGGTACATACAGAAAATTAATAAATAAGGAAGATATGATATGATATTCAATTTAATTGTATCATAATAATAATTTCTTTAAAAATCATTACATATCTCCTATCATCTTTGTTTAACTGTATTTATAAAACAATTTGAATCACAATATTAAAAATATAACAAAGAAAATCGAATTTTTTTTATGTATATGCTATGATTTAAATTTTTAAAAACAATAATCACTTAAACTGGTAGAAATTTCCATATTGGATATGTTGTTGTATAAATGTGTAGATATATATTATTAAAAAAAATGATGTGCAGTGTTATGAGTAGGAAACCTCATTTAGTAGGTATTTAAATGTAATTTTTATTTAATTTAATATAGTTTTTAGTTAAATCGTATAATTAAATCGAATAAAATAATTATTTTTATATATTTTTTATTTGATCAAAAATTTGAATATTACTCCATTTATTTTAACTTTCAATATAAAATTAATTATATTTTTGTTGATTTGATAATTTGGATTATGCATATTGTTTTCTTATTGGTTGGATTGTTTTGGAATTATAATAAAATATGTTTTAATTTTAAAAGAAGAAAAACATTAGTTATAATCTGTGCACATATCTAAACTTCTTATCATATAAAATACATGAGGTATAATTTTTTTTAAACAATAACATTTTATTTTCAGATTTTTTTTGGTTTTTAAATTTTATTATATTGTAAATTGAGTTTTATGTATCTCACTTAAATATATTAATTTAATATATGGCAATACGGTCAAAGCTTTAATTTGTTTACCTTTTTCAAAAAAATGGTTTAAAATGTTTAATTTTCACATTATAAACAAATACAATAACTAAACATCGCATAAATTTTTAAGATAGTTAAATAGACATTTTTAATAAAAATACAACTTTAGAAATCATCACCCCGTGCAGGGCGCGGGTCAAACCCTAGCCACTTGTTATTAGTTTACTGTTTATCATACGTTCTAAGCCAAGAGAGTTTGTATTTTATTTTGCCAAGAAGCTGAGATTAAACATAGTATTATTTTGAAATATATGAATATTTAGTAAATACATACTCTACCTATTTAATTTGTCCCAAAAAACATAAATTAAAATTGACCTAACAAAACGATATAAGAATTTTAAATAGGTGAAAATAAATTGAAAAGGCAAAACGGTTCGATTCAGTTCGGGTTCTTTGGTCTGGTCCGAACATATGTCATCACCGGTCCACTGATTCTTACTCAAACAACCGAGTCAACTCACCATACGACCACCGTCGGCTTCGAGTCAACTCAGTGAGCCGTCGAGAGCTTCCAAGCGGAGGTGGTTATGAGCGGCCGCGTATGCCAACCCAACATCAAACATCCATTATTCTCCTCCACACGATAACCTTCGCCGCCATTAAACAGAGCCAAAAGCATACTCGCTTGCTTAAACGCGTTAGACCCGAGATGTGCGGGCGCTAAACCGGACGAACTGAACCGGCTTGACCACTGACTCAGCGTTTCGTGTCGCTCTACTCGGTCTGGACCTTCGCAAGCCACGAGATTGCAAATCTGTTTCCCCAAATAAACTTCCGACATGACTTTGTCTTGGCTACTTGGAGCTCCTTCCAAGGAATCGAACAGGGTCGAATAGTAATGCAGCGATTCAGTAAACCGGTCTAAGAAAACCGGTCCGTTATGGTTCGATTCTTGCTCGACCACCGTGAAGATCTCCGGTTTAATCTGTTTCACAACGCCGAGGACTTTCTCTATCCCGCCGGGACGACCTAAGAGCTTGTGGAGCTCGAAAACAGAGTTAACCGCCACAGCTTCTGTCTCGCTCGGTCTAAGCTCGAGCATGGAAGCATCGAGATCAGCTAAACTGTTCGCAACGAAGCCACGGTATTCGAATTCTACGTGGATAACTTCCGCCAGCTGAGCTAATTTACATCCAACTTCGTGGAGATGATCGGAGTTATCCGGCGCCGGAGGACCGATTCCGGTCAACCGGAAAGTCGGAGGACCTCCCTCTCGGAGAGCAAGGGCTTGCATAAGCGCCGGCCATTGTAGCCCTTGGTTCATCGAGAAATCGATGACGTGGACTCTCTTCTTGCCTTCGAAAGCTTCGAGGATGGCTTGATTCGCCGTGAAGTGAGCGAATTTGAGATAAGGGCAAGTCTCGTAGAAGTGCATCTGGAGAGTATCGGAGAGAGAATGGTCGATTTGATTCTGCGGCGGAGAGAGACGGTAGATCCGCCGTGCGAGAGCTTCGGCGAAATAGGTCGCAACTTTCCTCATGGCTCCTGATTGCGATACAGCTAAGAATCCGATTTGCTTTACGAGAGCTTCCGCTAAAGTCAAATTGTTACTCTGAACAGCTTCCGCACAGGCCATAAGCGCGTGGACTAGACGCACACCGTTTTCCTGCGAGTCGACCAGGATTACCGCCCGAGCTGACTCAGCCGCCGCCGTCGTTGTTGTCGTGGTGGTGGTTACCGTCGTGCCGATGACTCCCGTCGATGTCGATGTAACCATTGAATCGGGGCTCGAGCAAGATTTCAACCGCTTGTTGTTCTGATTATTATTATTCCCAACTTGATTCGACGAAGACGAAGAATCAATCGCCGCGAATTGGTTAGATCTCCGGTACATGGCGTTTCCGGGAATGGCTTTCAGGTCATAATCGGAAGCCGAGAAACCGCCAATCGAGGTTACGGTAGAAGAATCTCCGGCGCCGGTGAGAAACGAGGTGTTAATCTCCGGCGAAGGCAAAACCGGGTCTGCAACAGCCGGTGGATTAAGCTCCGAGAGCATATTATCAAGCCACGAGTAGAGCTCCGACGGATTGTAGTGAACAGTATCCGTCGCGAGATGAGACAAACCATCTTCCTGAGCATTACCCATCATCGTCTCTAACTGCTCGAGCTTCAAAGCAACCTCCGCCATCTCCGATGACCTGACCTTGTATCCTAACACAGCGAGAAGCTCATCGTCCATGTTTCCACCGTCTTCTTCTTCTTTCACCATCATCATCTTGTCTTTAACACAAGCTGGCGTGGAAGAAGAAACAGAAGAAGAAGAAGAACCGGTGATGGCAGAAAACTGAGTGTTGGGACCGTGAAATTGATGAAGATCTCTCTTCATTTCTTCTCTGATTCGCTACTTTCTCTGGTTGATTCTGGCTCCGATCTCGGATCTAGGGTTTACTTTTCTTTTTTTTTTTTTTTTTTGAGAGGGTGAAGAAGAAGAGGAAGGAGCATGTGACTAGGTGAAGAATCTTAAGCAATCGAGCATTGGGTGGGGATTGCTTTGTTTTTCACTGCTACTACCACTTCAATGATCATACGAACTTAATAATATTAAAAAAATAAATTTAATTTATTTACCACCAGAGAGATATTTGATTGAAAAAAAAAAAGAATGGTGGTGATGGGGGCTCGACGACCAATGAATACCAGAGGAGGGCTAACATCTACACCTCGAAAGCGATAAGGCTGAGAACATATTAATATTATATTTTTGTATAGTACGATAACTGCGAGTCTTGTTACATATATTTAAGGTAAAAATAAACATAAACAGTATTATCAAGAAAAAAATATCTTTAACATTCTGTAGTTTTTTGTAGAAATTTCAAAATTTGCTCACAGTTTGGTATCATTTTAAAAATTTGAAAGAACTTATATTTTGCTTGTGAATTTTGATACAAAACTCGTGGTTTAAAAAAAAAAAAGACCCAAGTCACGAGATCTGATCGAGTAGTGAAATTTTATGTGGATCTACTAAAATGTTGTATTTAACCCGACATTTTATAATATACTTGTGTTTTTTTTTTCTCGACAATGCTTGGTTATAAATGTTGAAAAAGTATCACGAGTTTGAGAATCATTAACGGTTTGTCAAATCTTTAAAATACAGATTTAGGGCTTTTTAGTTGATTCTTTTGATGGAGAGATGCTTTTACAGTGGATAATTAAATTTAAAAAGCTGAACTCAGTTCATGATTTCGCTTTTTCTTCTCTTCTTTTCTCTTAACCACAGCCTTCGAAACCATCAATCTCAAAATGCGTAGATCAGAAAAAACAATAATAATTTTTGGTTACAACAGTAGTAGCTTACAATAACTTTAACTTATATTCGGTTTCCTACAAAAGATTCTGTAATGGGTTCTGGGAAATCATCGGACCTATGCATTCCAATTTTTTTGGTTCTCTAATTCTCAGGATGTTTAGAATTGAAATAACGATCACTCATCACTCACACATAACAGCTTCCCGTCAAATTCAACAATTGGGTTTAAGTTGATGAATAGTCAGCAAATATGTTTTCACTAAGAAAATGTTAGTTAGGCCTATATATTTTTATTTAGTGAACATGCTAATCTACGATTACTGTCAATGTCTGAAATATACTATACCTAGCATTTTAAACTTACGAAGACAACAAAAATCTATATACCAACTAAACACACATGAAAGTATTAATTTTGTGACATTTGTGTATTAAAATTTTAAATTATACTATAATAGTAGGGAGCTAAGTAGAAAAGAAAAAATATCTATGAGTAGAGGACTGATTATTCGTTAAATTACATTGTAATTATTCATAACTCGATAAACTGTTGTAGTATTCAATAGTATGTCAAATACGACTTTTTTTTTAATTGTCTTGCTCTATGTCAAAATGACACTTATTATGAAACAGAGGAAATACTTTATTCAACAGTATATTATTTTGTTTGATATAAATAATTAATAGACTAAAAGAGTTGAGATAAAACTGTGAAATATATCACAAAATTATCTAAAAAAAAAAGTAACATGAAACAAAAAAAATCTTAGGATGACAATTAAAACAAAACGGATGGAGTAATAATAGTTATAGAGTGCCAATGAAACTTAACATGTTATCAGAGCAATGATCTCTACACTCTCATGACCCGGTCCAGAAAGGGTCCGACCCCCTGACCCTAAGATTGATGATCTGCGAGATTAATGCCTAGAAAGGCCATTATCTCGAGGGAGGGTATTGGAATAGTGTACAGGTTAATAGGTCATAAGACCTTAATCTCTAGAGAGTGTGCAAGATAAAGTCTCACACCGGAAAGTGAGAGAGACCTTGAATAATATATAAGGGACTCAGGCCTCTCCACCTATTGCCAATTGATTTTAGGTTGGATGCGAAAGAAACTTAACATAAAGTATATGGACTATGAAATTAAGATGTTCAAAAAGAAAAAGAAAAAAGAAAAAAAAAATTTGAAAGTGCATATGAATACAGTTTACACTTGTAACGCAACAAAATACTGATTCACACACAAATGTTACCAAATGTCATTTAAGTCTCTATGTTTAACAATCTTAACTGCATTTAAAATGAAGTTACTGCAAATTATTACCACGAACATTTATTGAACTAATAATTTCAACTATACTTGACAATTAACAAGATTAATGGACTTCGTACCACACCGTGCGACAAGAAAACCCGTTTTTAAGCATAACGGCCGGCGTCCGTCAATGTCAATCATTCACGAGAAAAAATAAAAGAGATTCCCGTCCATTGCTTAACGCCGTCATTAACGGCCTCTTTCTACATCAGATGTTAATAAAATAGAATTTATTAAAGATATATTCGTACCCTTCGGGAAACTCGAACTGACAGCACGTGATGGATCCACGTGTAACTAGGCCCCACCATCCATTGAAGGGTATAGCTTTCCATAACTGTACGCCGTTCGAACTTGTGGTACCCACTATTCATGTGATTCATACACGTGTCCTATTTTCTTAGATCTAAACGGTAGGCCCTGAGTCTGCTTCCGTTGACGGCCGTTTTTACGGGTTCCTTTTTCTCTGTCCTTTTTATTTTTTTCATCCCTATCCTTTCTAACTTCATGGTTACAACATTACATGTTATATTGTGCTGTTACGTCACTTTCTTAGTATTTATATCTGGTTCATATTTTTTTGTTGGGTTAAAAAACTTAAAATGCTTACTTTAGCTTGCCAAAATATTGTTTTACTGTACAGATAAATCGTATATGGTTATAGCTATCATGACCAGGTCCACATAGGTTATATTCAGAAATATCTTAATTTTTTTATCTATTCGAAACATTACTAGTTTAAAATATTAACTTACATCAGTTGACATGATACTTATCTTGAATTTCCTCCATTTTTACTTGGCAGTGGTGTGAAAATAGTAGTCTGTTTTTGATAAAAACATTTTTTTTTTCATTTTTTTTATAAATAACAAATAGTTTCTGGCCGGAAACTTGTATGTCTCCTCATAACAGAAATTATAATATGCAATACTGTTTTTATCCCAAACGAAATCTTTTTTTCATAGTCATTTTTCAAAAAATTCATTGAAAATATTGACCTATTCATTGGTTGAGTGTTAGAAAAAATTGTTAACTATATCGAAAATGATGTTATAATTAAATTTCAATTTGTTTTCATAAACAGAGTTACAGAAAGACTATATTCCATAGTGTCAAAACATAGTTTATATTCAGAAGTGACTAAAAAAATATTTATGTACACGAAGATTCCTGGCCACCGAATCTGTGTAAATCACTGTTTTTTTTTTATAACTGTGGAAATTCCAAAAAAAATTTAGGTTCAAAGTCTAATTTCATGAGACCTTACATTTCAACACACTGTTATATAAATCATAATGTACATATTTATATAGAAATGAGAAACTTTAAAAAATACATTAGAGTAAATTTTTAAAACTATACTTCTAGTGTAACAGTTTTCAAAAATATATTTTGTCCTAATTTTAGTTTTAATATATATGTTTGGATTTACTAATGTCTTATTAGGGTTTAGATTTTGAGGTCTAGATTATATTTAAGGGTTTAAAGTTGGATTTTAAGGTTTAAGGTTTAAGGGTTTAAAGTTCTTTTACTCAATAAAAAATAAATAATAATTTTAAAAATTGATACCACAGAGGTCTATTTTTAAAATTGGCACATAAAAAGGTCAGTTTTGAAAATTTTCCGAAATGTAATTTATTTAAAAAAATTTCGTTTCAGTCTACGTATTATTTATGTTTTTTGTTCAGATACATTTGTGATTTATTGATTATCACCTTAGGTTTTTACCGTTTTTTACACCTCCCTTAGATTTAGCGAAACAACATAAACAGGTACCGAATGTATGTATATTGCTAGTGCCATGTCATTTTTCAAAACCATACACTATACTTATTATAAATTTATATTCAACGCAAGAGTAATCAAAGATTCAAAATGTACCTTTAACAACAGACACATAAGTGGTGGTTACACAAACACTATTCTTTCCTTCTTTAAATAATAATCGTAACAAATTATTATTGTATTTGTACCCGACAGAATAATTTATAAAATCAATTTCCTTGTTACTAATACAGTAATATATTCCTACTCTGAAAAATCCTTTTTAAAAAATAAACACAAAGATGATAAGAATTCTGATTCGACCCATCACTGCATTATTAAATTAAAAATCAAAAGATTTCACATGATATGATCCTGATGGTTCGTCTATTTGAGTTTTTGTGTGCAAAACGTATTAGCACATGTTTGCTTTTCCGGACACGAATGGTTAAATTTATTGATTTTTACTCACTTTTGGTGTTGAGAAGTGTTACAACTCACAGTCAAAAGTCAAAACTAGTGTAATCTCAGATAATTTCACAGACCACACATGTCATTTTTTATGTTTTCCCTTCATGGATTTCAATCAGGATCAATCGTTGATTTTTCATACTGGTGGAAGACAGGAAATGAATATTCTATCAAATCATCTGTCATAAAATAATTAGTGCCTTTATTGCAAAACATGCAAACAAATACTCCCTCCGTTTTTTTTAATGAATTTTCTAGCCATTATGTGTTGTTTCTCCAAGATAAATTTTTTACCTTTTTGATGCACTTTTTCAGTTTTCAAGATACAATGATTATATTTGTTGGATTTTTATTGGTTTAAAATTATAAAAAGTTGTTTTATTGCAGAAATCTATGCACTAATGATTGAAAATCAACTTTTTCTTAATCTGTGTGAAAAAACTAGAAAATTTATCTTTAAAAAACGGAGGGAGTAACATACCAAAAAAGCTATAATAATTGGTTAAAAAACCATACACAAAAAAAAAATGAATTACAAAAATATAAATTGCCATCAATTGATATGAGGTGGCAGGGAGACCACTCATTCTTGGTAGGAGAACATACATTGCATGAATACCACAATTAGAATTATTCTTTTTTTTTCTTTTAATTAGGTCTGAGCAGGAAGTGTATATTTGAATTTGGGGTGATAAATTTTTCTAATCAACAACAACCTAGTTTTTCTTTAAAAAAGTTAAAGAGATAAAATGGTAAAATAATGCAAAATTGTTATATTTTTAGTTTTTGCCAAAATTGTTCAAAAGATGTTGATTTCACATTTTTACCCAGTGTTATTGATGAATAAATATTTGTAAGTTAAACATTAAAAATGTATTCTCTCGTAAAAGCTTTAAATAACAAGATACACTAAAAACTTATAAATTGTAAGGTTGTAAAAGTAAAATGCATTCTCTCGTAAAAGCTTTGAATAACTGGATACACTAATCCATTAATGAATTAGCAAACGGTGAATAACATGATGGAAATTAGCAAACGGATTAAGGCGCGTGTTGCGTACAAAGTAGGGAAAGTCGCGTAAAAGAAAAACAGCTTTAGGACAGGCTGGAAATTGCTTATGTGTCGTCTAAGCATGAAAGTGAGTACCTTTCTGTTATCATCGTCGATCTGTCTCCACTCCACGTGGCGTCTCCTTATACGTTAAGTATAAATTACTACTTCAAGTTAACAGTAGAGCAGTTAATATTTACAATAATTTAATTTAATCAAGATTTTCATAAATATATCGGGTGAAATAACCCCATTAAAAAATAAATCCCTTACAAAACTATTATAAAAAAATTCTAGATACAAACGATAAGATTATCCAAATTTGTTTAACATCTAAAATCAAATTATAAAAGGATGACTAGACCGGTTCATCACTGAGATTAATCGGGCAATTTAAATTAACTATAACTGAAATAGATTGTAGTAATAATAATATATTCCCCCAGTTTGACACTGACTTGTATAATTTGATCAGCTCTGGTTTTTAAATGAAAGAAAAGCATATGAAGAGTCAATTTCATTATTATTGTGCATGACTTTGTGTGACTATTTTTTTATTTATTTGTTTGTAACAGGTGTAGCTATATTTTAGTTGTATTGCGATATAGAGTTCTATAGAATTAAATTTAAGGCACAAATTTCGTCAAATATTTCCACTGACATTTTCTTATAAATATAAAATATTTGCTATCATTTTGAGTAATATTTTTTTTTTAAAAAAAGGCTGTTGTTTTAAATTTTAGATACAAATGAATTATTAAAATAGTAAATATAAATTTTACTAACCAAGAAAGAAAATGGGACAGATTTTATTCGGAAACAGTAACACATACTATATTTTTTATAATACATGCAAAAAATAACATTACATTTTGCTTTATATAAATTTTTGTTTTACCATTTAATATTTTTAAAAGCTTTAACTAAAAAAAATCACATTCATGGAATCTATGCAGAAGTCGGAACAAACTATGCCCATGTGAACTTCACATTCACATCTTGAAACTTCGTTTCCCGGTATATGTAAATTTATATAACCGTATATAAAGTATGGATAAATTAAGTACACGTGCATGGTAAAAGAAAAAAGAAAACTGTTTCAAGAAATCGGTTGGCCAGAGAGGGGACATAGTGCTTCACTGCTTTGAGTAAATAAGATTTGAGATGTACAGTTCGTCAAAACGATTCAAAAAAAAATAATTATAATATATATATCGTTATCATCATCTTCAACTTGCACAACAAAAAATCAGGCTTCTAGCGACGCTTCTAAGTGTGGTTAACGTCGTTTTTAACTGACTCAAAAATTATGGCGCCGTTTACAAACCGACCTTAACGTCTGACGTTAAAATTATGAAGAAGCTTTTGTTGATAAAAACATGCTACCTCATTTTAGTTTTTAGCTTTTTCAAGTCTGTTTAGAAACTGACCCAGGATATGTGACGTAACCCGGCGTGTTTTTTGTAGTGTTGCTTTACAATTCACACAAGAACAGTAGTAATCAAGAGGAAGAGAACTGTTGATGAAGAAGACCAAATTTTGCTTTCGTTGGCTTCAGGTGCACGACGCATGAAGTCCACATAAATAAAAAAGTGGCTCGTCTTATGGATTTATCCAATCAAAAATGATGTTTTTATCTCAACAAAACTCCTGTTATTACATCATAACGGCGAGAAAGTAATAAAAGCAGTTATGAATGAAATTAATTTTTGCCGACATGCGGACATGTAGAAGATTGCGGCCCGCGAAGGCGACATGTGCAAATCTATATGATAAGACTTGAAATCTTTCATCACAAGATTTTGGTCTATCTTCTTCCTTCAATTATTATTTCTCCTGATGTGGTTTATGTTTATCACTACACTATTAGCATGTGTGGTGTGAATCATGTGTGTCGATATATTATAAATATTCGACATTCCTAATCAAAATATTTACCATCGCTTTATAATAGTGATCGTAACTAAAGCATAACTTGTTTGGTGTTAAAGACATAACTTGCTACTTTAACATTCCAGATAATATAAAATAAAAATCGATATGGAACACATATTTAAATTATCAAAATGAAATTGAACACATTGAACACTCCCAATACTGATTGCCAAACAAGTTAAAATGTTATGTAGCAGTCGTTTGTATTTTTTAGTAGAAACAAAGGCTAATGTTCACACGTCTTTAAACAACTACCATATAGCCTCGTTGCCAATCTCCATGAACACTTTTTTCCAAGTTTTCAATGATCATATCTCTATCATCTACCACATCTTATTCCATACAATAATTTATATTTGTAATCAAGAAATTCCGACCTAAAATTATAATTGTTTTTTGGATTAGGGAGAAGCTTCTCATCTCACGAGCACCATGGTTCCTCGCGTTCTATGTAACTTTTGCAGCTTGTGCTTAAATAGTATGGTGTAAAATGTAAACGGATTGGCGGGTAAATTCATAGGACTTTCTTTTATCGGTTGAAATTTCGTTAGAATAACCGGCCTGAAGGACGTTAGTACAAAATACACAAATAACATCAATTAATTTTAAAACTTCAAATGGTAAAAAATACAAAGGGGTGACAAAAACGTGTTACGTCAAAGGGGTGATACCATTATACCCCCTACTAATTTGATACTAATTTCTTTATGCACGTTATGGACGAAAGTCAAACATGATTCGATAAATAGCTTCTTCTTTAGGCAATGTATTTTTAAAATTAAAAGAAATCTCAATCGCTTGGATTTACCAAATATAGACCTTATACATGATTCGAAATCATCAACTTGAACAGAAAATCATATTGTAAAGCACTAAAGCCCTTAGTCTAATGGTTGATCAAGAGTTCATTAATACTTCGAAATCGATAGATATATGATTCGAATCCCAAAATGTGTGATTTATTAACAATTATGCAGATTAATTAAAGACATAGTTGCAGAATATTTGCAATTGTGTCTATGGAACCTCAAAGTTGCAATGTAACTTTTTCGTAATAGAAAATGAAGTGAAAAAAGGACATCAAATCATATACTTTTACTATTTGCAGTCGAATAATCATATATGTAATATGGATTGGAAATGTTAATACAACTCGTGTGACAACCTGATGTAACAACATCGTTTAGTCACCACCGTCTCTACATCATATTATATTCTTCCGAAAAAGAAACAGCTAAACGTTGTTTCGTTCATTAAAAGGCTAAATAAGCACACTTATGTCGTTGACAAACAATAAAAACGTTGTCGTATTTCCAGATTGGAATAAATCTAAGGGCAATAATGTCATTTAGATTCAACTACTCATACCGAAGGGTCGCAGGCTCGTAGCAAAAGAGGCTCGATTTTCGTCTAACACTGGGAGAGAGTGAGAGAGACAAGGAGACATAGCTTCAGTGACCATGGTGTCTTTCGCTTGTGAGTCCTTGATATGGATGTATGTGAGAATGGATGAACACTTTTCATCTATCTGTCTAGATAGAGTATGCGAAACCACTTAGTCCCATCACGATTTCTAGCACATATAGTCTTGATCTTTAAGTGAATCTCATCAATGTCTTTGTGTGTGTGTGTGTGCGTATGGTCGTATGGAAGCTTTGATTTCTTACGTTTTGGATATCGCTGAAAGAGACTGGACCATAGCTTTTTGGTTATATGTTTATGACCAAAGTCGATTGTAAAAGTTTGACATAATGTTCTGAAGTTCAAGTATCACATGTACTAATGTAGTAATTGACTTTTCTTATTTGATATAATTGGTTAATGGCTTGAACGGTTGTACCTCAAGAGTTTTGATCCGCTCTGATCAAATAAACTAATATCTTGGTAATAATATTTTCAACCGAAGCATAAATGTTCCCTCTGTGTTATCAAACATTATCCAATTCTTTATGCAGATTACAAATTCACAAATATTATAATCACATATCGTTTGACTTCACAAACATTTGCTACTCTATAACTTACTAGGTTCACTTTAAAAAAAATCAAAGATCAATCATTTCTTGAAAGAGTAAAATACGGTGAAGATATAAACACTAAGAGCAGAAGAGACCAAGACCACGAGCGCCAACACGGTATGAACCGCCAACGAGCCACCGCAAGAGAGCAACCCGAGCCGGAGCTGAATAACATCAACCATCGACAAGAGAAGAAAAACACAGCCCAAGATAGATCCACCGGCTGCACCAACCACACCGAGGCGAAGCAAGTCACTATTGATATTTGCTTTAAAGACTTCGTCCGTTTCTTTACTGTTCAACAAGTTGATGGTTAGCTTCATCCCTTGAGCCACAAGGGAAGAGAAGAGGAAGAACGCAAAGGAAATGACTTCGAACACAACCAGGTCTCTTTCCACGTCTACTCCGGCGGTGCACTCGCTCCTCTCCGTGAGGGTCAGGTCACGCGGTTGGTCGAAAGTGATTCCGACAAAGACTGCAACCGTGAAGAGAGAATTCGCGTTGACTATCCCGTCGAGAGCTGAGACATGAACGCTTGTCGTTGACGACGAGGTTGAGTGGTTATCGTTGTTGCCGTTGCTGTTGTGGTTACTGCTTGTCTCTATGTCGGAATCTGCCATTATCTTGCCAATGGATCTCTTTGTTAGCTTTTTGCTAATGATTGATAAATTTTCTTCTGTTGTGTTCTTATGATGATTCTTTTTTCCTTTTTAATGATTTGATAATGTAGTTTAAGAGTGGGTGGATTTGGTTGAGAACGGATGTGCCTTGTGAAAACGAAATATGTATGTTTTAGTGATTAATATAAGTATTTTCAAGTCATTACGAAAGAGACGATAGGTGAACACACCTTTCTCCTTTAATAACCAAATCTTTGACTTTATTCACATAAAACAACACAAAAGTTGCAAATTCACACGTTAACTAAATTTTCTACTCTCCTTTTCTGTTGTTGTTTGTTGCTTTTGCGGGTGTTCAAGAAAATGTGTTTAAGCATAAACGCCGCTTATGCGCTAAACATACTTCTACTGTGTGACTGTGAGTGATTCGAAGGTGTAGGCAGCATTTAAGCTGTTTAAGCGTTGCTTAGGCGGATTTTTTGTGGTCTTAACGTTATGCAAAATTTTCTATTTAAATTTATACCCTCTGCCCGTTTGATTTTCAGTAATTATCATAGATTTAGAACATATGAACATTTAGACTTTGGTTAATTAAGACACTACGTTTGCTCTTATAAGAAAATTATCTTTTTATACATGTACAATTATTAGTTTTCCTCAAAAATTATAAAAGTAACTAGGAGAGAACCCGCTCTACGCGCGGGTTTAAATTTTCGATAGTATTTTGTTTACTTGTTTTTGTTCTTTCACATTTTGGACATCGTGTGTGACTCTCTGTTATACAAATTAATATAGTTCATGCCAAATAAGGTTTTACAGTACATATAAGCTTAACTCTACCGATGTTAAAAAAACAAAGGTTAACTCAACCACATTTGCTTCTCCAGGTTCATTGTATATCTAATCAAAGTTTTTGAAAACCATTCTTGGCACCGGACTGTTGGAAGGAAAATAATTGTATAATTTAGGTTGTATATTCGAGATCTTGCCAACAGTGGGAAGATATTACTTGCTGCATAAACAAATTATAAACTTCAAATGGAGAGTCTTTAAAGTGTCTATTAACAAAAGAAACAAACTGAAGAAACAGAGAAAATAAAAAAAATGGTTAGGCATCTTTTTATTCAAACCCATCCAACATGAGAAACAAATGCATTAGAAAACAATACCTTGAGAACAATAACAATCTTTGCTTAAGCTTCCTTTGTGAAGAGCTATAGATTTTTAAGAAAATTTCTGTCTATCTTTAAAATAAAGAATGGTGTCCAATGGTGTCCGATTCAATCTGGATTTGAAGAAAAAAGTGAGAAGTTCATTACCCTTGTTGATAAGAAATAATATCTCTAAGTCAAAATGCATAATGGAGGAGCCAAGGCGGTTTATCTTACCTGCTTATTGAGAATGGAGAACAGTTTCAAGTTGTGCTTCAGGTTCTGCATTTCGATTCTTTTGGCTCTGACAGAAGTATACAGCTTAGAGATGTTTATCCGTGCATTTGGTAGACACAGATATGTCTCGGCCTGCTATCTACAAGTGTTTTACAATAGTTCTCATCAGCAAAAGTCATATACAAGAAGCATTTCAAATCAAGAACTCAGCCAAGTATAGTTGGTTTCTTGAAATGCAGCTTACATGCATAAAGAAACTAACTTTTTCAATGGCTTTGAACAATATACAAAGCTGCAGGTAAAGGTTTGTTTCTATTCTTGATAAAATTGATAGAAATACTTATGTTTTAGATCTCACCACATTTGAAGTATTGAGGTCTGCATTCTCTTTACAAAGTAGTCAGATACTTACTAAACTAAATCTTAGCAAGAAAAAGTTTCTCTACTGCATAACTTACCTTCGCCAAATCGAGATTTCTCATGGAGTGCATAGGGTTCGTAAACAAATCCAGGACTTACCATCGACACTCTAACAGCATCCTGCACTCGTAAACAGTGACGTGAGACATCAAACAGTCACAGGAAACAATCTTTTGCTATACAAAAAAGAGCAATTTGAAATTGAGTTACTTAAACACACCGTTTTCTGTAGCTGAGGAGCCTTTACTTGCGTTGCAGCAGATCTTTTTTTATTCGTGAATGGTATAGACTCTGCAATCTAAGAAACAACACAAATCATGTATACGATCAGATCAGATCAGATCAAACAACACCTAATGATGAATCTGGTGATTACCATTGCAGATCGAAGCAAATCCGTGTAGGCGTTGAGGCACTCGTATAAGCGTGAATACACGCTCTTTCCATGAGCGTCAGTTCCTGGAAATGTAAATTTCATTACTAAATTACTCGAAAAGCTTCAGTTCAGAGTTGAATCAATGGAGAAATGGGATCTGGATTCACCAATGAGAATATTACCGTGAAAAGGAGAAGAATGTTAGCTCCTCCAACACCCGAACCTGGAATCATCTCCACTCTCAATCCAAGAGAGCTCATTTCCACTCCGAACACTGGAAAACCAAAATTGAATCCTTTTTAGCTTTATTTCGTTACTATCTACTCCAAAATCCAAAATTTCAACAGCCCAAATTCGTAAAATCAAAGCGACAGAATGGATACTTGTAGAAGTTTTGCTTTTCAATTTTAAACTCAATCATCGGAAGAATATTTAAAGTTAGGAAACTGCTTACGAAAGGAAAGATTCTCTTGATTCAGATGTTCTCAACAGAGAACGAATTGTCTGCAACCTCCTCACCAGCGCCATTATCAATCAGTGTGTCCACCCACAGGGATGCGGACAGTCCCGGCGGAAGAACAGAATGGACGGTGTGGATCTCGGCGGAGAGGTGGGGAGGAAGGAATTAGGTGGGAGTAAAATTATATTAAACCTAAAACGGAAACGACGTCGTTTTAGGAAACGAGGTCGTTTTAGCTGCACTGTGAAAGAGAAACAAAACGACGTTGTTTACATGTTCCGAGCTGAAGAGTGTCCAAGCCTTATTAATTATGTAGATTTGTTTATTATTATTATTTATGGATCATGTTACTAAATAATTTTATACATCAGAGTGAGTCGTCCTGTTTAGCAGCTAAGACCATCTTCATCTCTAAACACCTCATGAGTGTCTTAACATTAAGTATTTATTTCTTTGCAAAAATATCCCCAATGATGATATTTTTTAATTATGATATTCAATATTTTAAAAATAAATTTTCAGTTTATTATGGTTATGTTATTATATTTTCTATTAAATAAATATTATTTATATTTTAGTAGAATTATGAGTATTTTAATATATTTAAATCAATCATAATCAAATTAATTAAATTGTTAAATTAAAATTATTTGAAAATTGAAAGACTACTTTATAAATAAATAAAAATCATTTGCAAAATAGCATATTGCATAATCTCATTCTAAATTTGGAAATAAAAATAGAATGATGCTATTTTGCCATGGAAAATGCAACACTATTGGAGCAAATTCTATTGCAAAATAGCATAAAGTGATAATTTTGCAATAGAATTGAATTTCAATCCAATGGTTCATGCTATATATATATATATATTTTTTTTTGTCGACAGCCTCTATCTCTAAACCAGCGGTTCATGCTATATTTTATTTTTCAATTTATTGTTAATTGCTAAAACTACATGATTTCTTCAAATTTTACAAACTGAACCATCTATTATTTTTTTTGCAAAAACATCCTTAATTATAGTATTTTTAAAAAATTATCATTATAATATGTGTAAATTTAGTCAATATACATAGATAATCTGACAATTAAATATATGGCTATAATAGTTATTAATTAGATCAATATAAATACATACATGGAAATCATACATACAGTATTTACCCCTATGAGATAAAACAAAAAATGATATCATCTAGAAGACTATCAGATTTTGTGTTAACAAATACTAACAAATGATATAACATTCAAACCACTACATGCTAACATCTAAATCATTACTTGCTAACATTACCTATTAACCAAACTAGTGAAATCATGTTAACATTCAAACATTACATGCTAACATTCAAACTATTTGCTAACAAATTTATTAACAATAAAATGTAAACAATTTGTCCTCATCTTTGTTAACAAAGGTAACATAGTCTTTGTTAATAAGATAATGTGATGTTTGTTAACAAAAAACATGTTGTTTGTTTGTTAGCAAAGTCACATATTTTTTGTTAGCAAAGTAACTAAAAACTTATTAGCAAAATGACATAATATTTGTGAAGGAGATCTAAGTAGGGGTTTTTGTGTCAGAAATAGCCATTTAATTTCAAAAGTATTGATGTATATCCATTGCAATTTCTCTTATAATATTAAGAAAAATACATCACACTACATTAAATAAATATTATTTATATTTTAATAGAGTTATGAGTATTTTGATATATTTAAATAAATTATAATAAAAATAATTAAACTGTTAAATTAAAACTATTTATATATTGAAGGACTACTTTATAAATAAAAAAGGTCAATGGCAAAACAGCATAATCTCATGCCATATTTGGAAGCAAAATATGGAGCAAATGCTATTGCAAAATAGTATAAAATGACAATTTTCATATGGGGTTGGAGATGCTCTTATAATCATCATTGCTCTTTGTTAATGCATTATTGACCAAGTTTAGCATAATCAAATAAGTTGTTTGGACAACTAAGAAAAAGTAAAGCACAACTAAACTAAAATTTATTCGGTTTATATATTTCAAAATAGAGAAACAATAAACCGATAAAAAACAGCTGCTAAAAATAAATATCATTAGTTATACACTTATACTATATAAATCACCTAGCTAGCCCAACATTTCTTACCAAATCGTTCTGTTCACAATTCTAAACATAAAAAAAAAAAGAGAACTTCAATCATTTAGCATTTGTGGTAAACAAAACAAACATACAACATATGGCGACTCAAACATTGAAGAAAGCATGCAGCTTATTTATAATTTCAGCTATATTCATGATGGTATTTTCAGCACAAATTTCTTATTCAAGCAATAAAAAAATGTGTGTCAAACATTGTGTCGCGAATCAGTGCATGAAAATGGTGAAAAATCCTGATCCAACAGCCATTTGTGAAGAAGTTTGCACAAAATTTTGCAACAAACAACTAACCGGTCATACAGAATGGGTCATTGCTCCAAAGAACGGTGATGGCGGTATGATAAACTACCTTTTATGCAAATTGAAGCCTGACCAGTGCAAATAATTTTATTTTCAAATTATGAATACTCAAAATGTTTCTTTCTACATGACTAATAGTATAAAACTATGATGCATCTTTTGTATTATTATTATATTAGTCGACATATTATGTATATGTTTTTTATTTATCAACATTATGTATATGTTTATACTTCTCATGAAATACATATAGTTTTCTTCATTTTAAATAAGTGGTCTATATTAACAAAACACCAGTCTAAAAGTCCTTTAGTTAGGTGTGGATGCATTTTGCTTGATAATAATAATTATAAATTCTGTGAAAAAATAAATAGTTTTAAATGCTATGGATATCCGCTTTTTAAGATATATATATATATAATGATATTAAGGTATATATATATACTGTATAACTATTTGTGGCCATCCTTATCTCTTCCGTTGGAGTTTTCCTTCTTGGAGTTCAATAAGCCATTGGAGTTCTCACTGTTTTTTTTGTTTGTTTTTAACTACATTGGGATAATGTTTTTTTTTTTGGTTCTTAACTAAACTGGGATAATGTGGTTTTGTTGTTCTTAACTAAATTGGGATTAATGTTTTTTCACATTGGGTTCCTTGTAGTTATGAATATTATCATTGGTCTATATACTTGGGACTAATGTTTTTTGTTCTTGACTAAATTGGTCTTTAATGGAAAAACTGTACGTGAAATAGTTTAGTGCTTCCGGACAAAATTGTTTTCTCTATCTAGAAAGGTGGTATGATATATATGCGATTAGATACTGTAACTCAAAAAACTAAGTGACAAACTAACAATAGATACTATATATATATATATATATCAAGAAGTTTCTTCAGACTAAAACTATTAAGAAAATTTATCTATAAACATAAAGCAGATATGACCTCTACTTCCTCTGCCCTTTCACATGTTAAGTTTGACATTCTTTTCTTATGATGCTGGATCGCTCTCATCAGATATCAGTTTCTCTCTGGCCAGCATTGCACCACTTCTCTCCTCTGTGTCATTCTATGTAGAGTTGCGATCTTCTCAAGCTTCTCCAATTTATGGCTTGACAAATTACTTTAAACCAAATTATTTTAAACCTAATCATCATCTCCACCGCAGGGCCGGCCTTGAGCACATGCAAGGTAAGCGGCCGAGTAGGGCAAAGACACACACACACAAACCTTTACACTTTGTTCTTTCCTTTTTCTCTTGCACTTTGTTATTTCGGATTTGAGAGTTTCAAGGGAGATTTCGACTTGTTCTTCAATAGAGAAGCTTTCTTCATCTCTTATCTCTTTTAATACTCACATAATGCTTTCATACATCTCTTGCTTGTTTGTTTGCATCATGGCTGAGTAGTCTATTGTTGGGTTCAAGAGTTTTCAAGGGATTCATGGATTGATCACTAGGTTGTTAGATTCGGGATTATTGATTGAGTTCCTCATCTTGATTTGTGCTTAATGCTTATAGCTTTGACTGAACGTCCTGCTACTGCCCTAGAGTTGATTTACTTTCCGAAAGCTTGATAAATCACTTGAAATAATCTTGATGAACAAATCACCATAACCTGCGGGAGTAGAATTATGATGCTTTGTGGAACATATTGAATTTGAATTATTTGTGCTTGTTTAACCACTTGATTACCTATGGGAGTAGAGTAATCTTAGGTTGTTTAGACATTTTAATTGACATTGCGGGAGTAAGTTGATTATCCATTCATAATTCAAGTTCTTGATCATATCTATTGATTCCTTGTTTAACTATCCAAATAAACCAATCCTTGATGACCTATGAATTCTCTTGTGCCCAATGCTTTCCCTATTGATTTGATAACTTGTTTCACTTGATTTCAAGCTCACTCATTGTTATTTTCGTCACTGTTCACAGCCCTAAAACCAAACCCCCATATTTTAGTTTTAGCTAAGTTTTAATCTCATAAGCTCATAGTGCAACTTTTCTGGTCCTTGTGTTCGATAACCCATACACTACAAGAATTCATTAAAATAGCTGCCGATTATTCTGTAGCAAGAAGACATAATCTGTCGCAAAAACTAGGCAGGCCACAGATGGCGACAGCTGAAATTCGTCGCCTCAGCTCCGACGCTAAACTTGGGCCGTCGCCGTTTTGTAGCCATTTTGCAACGAACTAGCGAGAGCAACGACCGTAGCAAATAGCTACGATATGGCAACAAATTCCTCCGTTGCTCTTTAGCAATGGATTGGCGAAAGATTTTATGTGGCTATATGGCTACAGATTTTAACTACAGATTCCCCTTAACAATTTTGTGGCAAAAATAGCAACAGATTTGGTTACAGATTATATGTAGCTAAATGTCTGTGGCTATATGGCTACCGAGTTTAACTACAGATCTCCGTAGCAATTATGTGGCCCACATAGCAACAGATTATAAGTAGCTAAAATTTCGTGGCTATATGGCTACAAACTTTAACTACAGATTCCCTTAGCAATTATGTGGCAAACATAGCAATAGATTTGGTTATGGCTATGCAATTGGCAACAGTTTTCATTGTTGGCTTAGCTAGAGAGGTTGCTATGTATTATTTATAGCTAATCTTATGTAATTTATTCATTTTTGAATAATATTTGGTTTAAAATATAATTAAATAAAACTGAAATAAATTGATTTAAAACATGATATATATTATAACAAGAAATATGAAATTCCAAAAGTCGACATTCAAGTTGACAACCAAAAAAGGTTACACCAAAAAAGTGAAAACACATAACAACGACGGTTTAAAAGGTTACATGCTTGTTATGTCGTTAGTTTTCACAAACAGAAGCTCTATCAAGATAAAGAAGGAACTGTCGAAGCAGGAGTAGCAGCTGCTTCACTTGGAGATGTTTGAGAGTGTGGCGGCTGTGATGGATGAGGTGGCTGCTCAGTCACATGTGGAACTCTGACTCCTCTAGCTTCACACAAAGCACTAATTTGCTGGCTCATTAGGTTGACAACTCCAGTCAAATTGAACAGGTCCCGCTCATAACGAGCTTGACGAGGAAGAACAAGAGATGGTGGATCAATGGGATCATAACTCTCCATCTGAGCAGATCCAAGTCCAAACACCCTTCCTTTATATGGTTTGACTATCTAAAAAGAGAAATTCACAGAAAGTAAGTTTGTTAATGCTATTATAAAACCAAAAATCTTAAGTAATGAATGAAGAAGCAAATCAACAATATTTACCGAATAAAAAGCCTCATCTCGCATAAGTGGTGTAATTGGTGTGTGTGAGTTCGTCTCTTGGCTGCCAACCTCAACATGTTCATTGTTGTTCAATTGCTGGGAAACAACAATCGACTCAACTTCATCAACAATCATCTTTGCACGTTTGTCAGCAAAAGTTCCATCAAGCTTCATGTGCGTCTTCCGCACTAAGTCTGTGATTGATGGCTCCTCACCCAACTCCATCATCTGTATACAACAAGACAATAAGGCAAACATAGAAAAAGACACAATCTCAAGATAATATTTGCTAATGTAGAAAACAGAAAAGAGATTATAAGACAATAAGGGACTAGATGAGTTGTACCATATCATATTTGACCTTGGCATACGATTTTGAACCAGAAATGTGTTGATGAATCCCATCTCCACCACGGTCAGATTTCCGGTTCTGAGAGTTTATAGTGCTAATATGAACAGCTTGTGGAGTATCCCAGTGTTGCCACATCAAGTTCCAATTGATGTCAGAGACAAATTTTGGCTTTTTATTTTGTCTCTTCCCCTTGCTGATGTTGTTCGAGATCATTCTTCGGAGCTGTTTAGTCCAGAGAGTCTTCACCAAGGTATGATGATCTGGATCCCAATAATACTTTTGCTGTAAAAAAGATAAAGACAATTGCATCAAATAACTTGTAATGAATAATGTAAGCAAAATGTAAAGATGTGTCCTTCATATAAGACAATGATAATTATAATTTCAAGCTCATATATCAATGTCAATCACACAAAACATATAAGACAAAGACAATGATGATTAACGAACTGGACCTCATGTTTAGGATAAGAAAATCAGACCACCATGTCTCATGTTTAGGATAAGCAAAGCATAATATAATGAATCTTACCACAAAATCAGACCACCACTTGTCTTTCTGCTCTTGAGGAACCTCACCAAGATTCCACCAAGGACCATCAAAATCATTCGTAAAAGCATTTTTGATATCATAGTTGACCTCATTGTCGATGGAGATCCTATCATGACAAGGCATAATATTAAGTTACTGTAAAAGCACAAACACACAACGAACAAGAATAACTTCAGAGAAAAAGAAAAAAAAAACAAAAAGCTTGAAGCTTTGGCAATCAATTTAGACGAAAACAGCTGATTCAATCGTTTTCTCTAAATTCTGAGTCTTTATGATAAAAAAAAAAACAAAAAGAACTTAAGAGATTGTAGCTTTCACATTTGGAATTTTAACTACGAATAGAAAAAAAGCTTATTCAATCGTTTTCTCTAAAAGTTTCAGTCTTTATGATCAATGCAAAATCCAAATTCGATCCAAAATGAATAAAATTGGGGCTAATTCTAAGAATTGTGTAAACTAGATCTGCGATCCACGAAGTACAGGAATTGGAACTCTTGTTAAAACGTAACTTAAATTTTATATAAATTTACACAATGGTTTCTTACCAAAGTGCGCCATCTCTCTTCTCGGGATGGAGAGTCGGCTGGTTTCGTCGTGCAGGCGCCTGCAAGAGCTCGGTGATGCTACGAAGAGGGAATCCCGGCGGTGCACACGAATTACCAGCCCTAGAGAGAGCAGGGGTCACTCGTCCAACATAACCTCTTGCAGGTAGTCCGCCTCGACGTGGTGGATACATACTACGATTACAGAGTTTTGAAAGACATTAGAGACAAAAAAAATTGGTATGATAATCAGAAGAAACATCGTAGACCTAAAGAAGAACAGAGCCATCAATTAATTACAGGATATAAACATCAATTTCTGAAAACTGAAGAGATAAATTCACCAAAAGACAGCTGAGATTCAAAGAAGAAATTAACCCTAAATCAATTTCACCAAAAGACAGCTGAGATTCAAAGAAAAAATTAACCCTAAATCAATTTCTGCAGAACAACATCAATTAACCAAAGCCAAATTGCATAATTTCACCCAAAAAAAACTCAATCTAGAGATTTAGCCAGCCAGAATCTAACCTTCGAGATGAGTGGCTTTTCTAGAGGCGAAGGAGAAAAGGAGCGATTGAGAGAGAGTAGGATATTGTGTGTTCTCTGCTGTGAAAGAGAAATGGAGAGAAAGACAGAGACTGAGATCTTATAGCGTTCTTTGCGAAAGGAGAGATAGGAAAATGTGAGCCGCGAAAGAGAAGAGGGAAATGAATCAGCTGTGGATTGGAGCAGAGGGAAAAGAAGAAAAGGTTAAGTTTTGGAAAGGGAAAGCAAATTTTGGGAAAACAAATAGAGGGAAAGTGAAATATTTGGCCAAAAGTTTCGTGGAAACTTTCCAGACTTTTCGAGAACATACAAACAAGGGGATGTTGTTATTTAACTTTGTAAATGGACTAGGTGTTATTATGCGATGGCCAGAAACTATATGACAAGGAACGCAATAACATCGATGGCCACAAACTAAATGATAACTAGGTGTTATAATATTCGTAAACCAAAAAATTGTTACAAAAGCAGAATCTTAAAATATGAATAAATATGAAGTCCTACATGAAATATGAATCTTATTTGAAATATGAATCTTAGACTAAATAGGAATCCTAAGTCCTACATAAAATATGAATCTTATTTGAAATATGGATCTTATTTGAAATATGAATCATACTAGAAATAGAAGTTACACTTTGTCATAGTTTATAAATAGCTTAGCTTGTTCGATTTCATGTCTGAAATAGGAATCATACTACAACTATATAACCAAAAAAATGTTACAATTGAAAATCTAATCTAATATATATAAGTTACGTACCTTTGTTTGAAGTTTTATAGTGATCTTCAATAATTTTCAACCAAAATCCAATCATTCAGACTCGGCATAATAAGAACCTTCACTTGGTGTTTCATAGTGATCTTCAATAGTAGGTTCTTCAACTATTGGTGGATCATCCAACTCCATTTCTTCGTCAATCTCAGCATCAACTACATGTTCCGTCACATGTAATAGGTTTGCGGGTACGACGATCTCATTGTAACTCTCATCTTGTAAAGCTGACTCGATAAGTTGCGGAGAATTAGATCTAACACCACGTGGGATGACTTTTGCACAAACCCACCACTCTTCGTTGCTAGGTTTTATACGAGGGTAAGGAATAAAACAAACCTGGTCTGCTTGATCAGTTACAATAAAAGGATCATACTTTCCGTAGCGTCTCTTCGGACATATATCAACAATCCCAGAAGGGTGTCTTCGCATTCCTCGTCCGATGGTTTGATCAAACCATGAACACCGAAAGACTATAGTTTTCAGATCGACAGCACCGTGATATTCAATCATAAATATCTCATTTATAAGACCGTAGAACTCCGAATCTACCGAACCTCGAACACAAACTCCATAATTCATCGTTTTCTTATGTTCTCCGTGGTCATATGTGTGAAACTTATAGCTCCTAGAGAAAAAGATCGGCCATGATGTATAATGCCTCTTTGGCCCTTGAACAAACTCCAGCAACCACAATGGAACACAATTACTTGAATCCACATGCTCTAAATCATTTATCTGCAATTCGTTTGAAATAGGTTAATTATATCTAAGTTAATATATCATTTAAATTATTTATACAAAATATATATAGTTAAAGCTTACGTAGTCTCTACACCAATATGCAAATTGACTTTCTTTAGCCAATATCAATTCACTATCTGTAATGCCTGGTTGGTGCATACACATGTGTTCCTCAAACAACCTACGTATAGATTATTAAAAAATGGTTAGTTGACGTCTTTAGTATATAAATATGTCTTTCGAATTTTATTTACCTTTCATATGGTTCTATCTCTTCGCAATTAAGCAAAAGAAATGTATGTAAGATGTGGGCGTCTTCTTCTGTTAACCATGCTTCTTTAGATTTCCCGCTTACTCTTCCGCTAGGTTGAAATATATTAGGAACACCTGGGTAATTGTACGTAAACTGAGTTTCACCTTTAGTCATGCAGTGACGATGTGAACCTCGACCATCTGCTGCAAAATAATAAGAACAAAAATGGGAGATTTCTTCGGTGATACATTGAGCAACTATCGATCCTCCAATCTTTGCTTTATTTTTTGCTTTCATCTTCAAGTGACGCATAAATCGTTCAAACGGATACATCCATCTGAACTGAACAGGACCCCCTAATGCAGCCTCTTCTGGTAAGTGGACTGGCAGATGTTCCATCACGTCAAAAAATGAAGGAGGGAAAATTTTTTCGAGATTGCAAATCTTCACAGGTATATCGGTTTTCATAACTTCAACATCACTTGTTTTCAAAGTCCTCCCACAAATATTTCTGAAAAACAGAGCTATATCTGTAAACATAATTATAAAATGTATTAGTGATAAACGATGAAGTTAAGTCAGATTCATCAAAACAGAGTGGAGTAAAACAGAGTAAGAAATAAAACAGAGTAAAAATCTAAAAAAAACAGAGCATGAAGAAAAAGCAACAACAACGAGAGAGAGCTACAAATCAGGAGACAATATATATTATGTTAAAATTATATAAATACATTAAGTACCTGCTATTGCTGTATGGACTGTTCGTGGAAGTAGTTCTGAAAATGCTATTGGAATTAGACGTTGCATAATAACGTGAGAATCATGACTTTTTAATTTTGTAAGCCTCCAATTTTCCTCGTCTACACAAGCTGATATATCAGCAACATAGCCATCCGGAAATTTAATCTCTCGCTTTAACCACCGGAGAAAGATTTTTCGTGCTTCGTTTGATAATCTAAAGATAGGAAACGGTGACTTTCCATCTTTCACCTCCAATCCTTTTCTATTGCACAACGTAGGCAAGTCTAACCTTGTCTTTAGGTTATCTTTCGTCTTTCCAGGCACATTCAATACCGTATTCATGATATTGTCGAAAAAATCTTCTCAATATGCATAACATCGAGATTATGTCGAAGCAACTGATTTTCCCAATACGGTAACTCCCAAAAAATACTCTTCTTTATCCAATTGTGATATTCACCGTAACCATTAATATTCCGAGGTATATGTCCATTACCTCCACAATTAACAGATCTCAAAACCCCTTCTATCTGGTTGATTCTCTCGTAAAGCACTTCTTCACCACTCAAGAATGGAGGTGGTAAATCACTAATTGATTTGTTCTTTGTGAAACTCCGAACATTTTTCCGGTAAGCATGATCTTCAGGCAAAAATCTCCTGTGGCAGTCGAACCAACTATGTTTTCTCCCATTCCTTAACCAGAATGATTGTGTTTCATCGAGACAACACGGACAAGCAAGTCGTCCATGGGTCATCCATCCAGAAAGCATACCGTAAGCTGGAAAGTCACTTATTGTCCACATTAAGACCGCTCGCATCACAAAATTTTGTTTCTTCGAGACATCATAAGCTTGGATGCCGTTTGTCCATAAATCCTTCAATTCATCAATCAATGGCTGCAAGAAAATATCCAGACTTTTCTTGGGATGCTTAGGGCCAGGAACTAAAATAGAAAGAAACAAATTTTCTTTCTTCATGCACATATCAGGTGTCAAATTGTATGGCGTAACTATAACAGGCCACACCGAATGATCTCGACTATGCATTCCTCCGGGGTTAAAACCATCTGTCGATAAGGCGAGATAAACATTTCTATGCTCCACAGCAAATTGAGGATATACCTTATTGAAGTGTTTCCATGCTTCCCCATCTGATGGGTGATGCATCTCGACTTCGGGAGACAAATGCTCTGCGTGCCACCTCATGTGCGATGCTGTCCTTTCCGATTGGTATAAACGCTTCAACCTATCTCCAATAGGCATATAAAACATCCTCTGATAAGGGACCTTTTTCCCTCCACCTCCTGGCTTTGGTTTATACCTATCTTTCCCGCAAAAACGACATTTCAGTAATTTGTCATCACCTTTCCAAAACAACATGCAATTGTCCTGACAAACATCTATCTTGTGCATAGGCAATCCGAGAGACCGTGTCAGCTTCTTCATCTCATAGTATGATTTTGGCGCTCTATTATTCGCTGGCAGATAATCGGTGAACGCCTCACAGATTGCATCCAAGCACACCTCAGGCAAATTATGATCGGTCTTTATAGTCAGGAGTCGTGATGACAACGATAGTCCTGAAAGCCCTTCACGACAACCCTCATAGATTGGTTGTTGTGCATCCTTTAATCTCTTGAAAAACATGCTCGCATCTTCACATGGTTCCTCAGAATTATTCTCATCGGATCCAACGTGTGGTATACTAGTTTCATGAAATTCCTCATCAATATTTTCCCTTGGAAAATCTGCATTCATTTCACCAACATGGTTTTGAATGTTGCTTGTCGATGCTTCACCGGTGTAACCACACTGCTCTCCATGACTCGTCCATATGAAATAGAAATCCATAAATCCCCTTTCATATAAATGATTCCCCACCGTATTTGCATCTAAATGCTTTCGGTTTAAGCACCTCGAACATGGACATAACAGATCACCCCTGTTTTTGTAGGAAAGTTGATTTTGAGCAAAACCCAAAAATAATTGTACTCCATTGAGAAACTCATCCGATACGCCATTGCTTAATGTATCTAATCTTCTATACATCCATGCTCTCTCTTGAAAAATGTTGTTGTACGACATTTTACTGAGAAAAAAAAATATATTATTTTGTGTGGTGAATCTAAACAAAATCACGAACTTTACGAACTTATAAAATCAATAGACTAACAATAAACATTCCTTAACGTATAAGAAACATTGGCTTTAGCAATCCTAGTTATTCTCATGCACGATTCCTTTTTTTACTTAATTTTATGTGACTTAAGCCTCTTGAATCACAGCAACGACACTGAGACTAACACATCATTTTGATGAAGTAAATCATGAAGATTTGTTTTAGAAAATTTACCAGAAATGTGCACATGTACGTTGGTCTTCAGTCCGATCTTATTGTTGTAGTTGAATTTTTTAGGTAAGAACATAAAAAAAGAGTGAGTTTGAGTTTTTGAGGAAAATAAGTTTTTGATCCGTAAACTGAGATCCGTAATTAATAATCATGTTCAATGCAGAGCTAACAAGCCATGTAGTTGACACAAATAGTTAAAGCTTTCATAGAGGGAAGTGATTGGACGTAAACCAATATTACATTATTAAATCTACTCACATTAATTAATTTAATTGCTTTTTCCACTGGAAAGTACTATATTGATATTTGGAAGAAGAGAGATATTCTCCTAAAACTAAAAAACAGAGCATCACAAAACATGAATCTTATTTGAAATATAAAGTCCTACATGAAATATGAATCTTATTTGAAATATGAATCTTACATGGAATATGAATCCTACATGGAATAGAACTCCTACATGAAATATGAATCTTATTTGAAATAGGAATCATATTTGAAATAGGAGTCATACTTTGTCATAGTTCATAATTAGGAGTAGCTTAGCTTGTTCGATTTCATTTTTTTCCTTAAAGCATAAAACTATATAGATTGTTCTTAAAACATTAATTATCTTATAACAAGAAATCTTAAAGCCGCATACATCATACAAGTCAACAAACAAAAGCTTTAACCTGAAAAGTGAAAACAAAAGACATAACAAAAGATTCTGCTTGTTTTGTCTTCAGTTTTCACTAATCTCCAAAAAAAGTTCTAAGAAGTGCCATGGATGTAATCTAGATTATGCTAGTTGGTGATGGGATGTGTGGATCAGTTGGAGAAGCTTGGGTGTGGAGCTGCTGAGATGGATTAGGCGAATGCTCGGCACCAAGTCCTGGTGGCACTGTCACTGCCTTAGCTTCACACATAGCCGTCATCTGCTGGCTCATAAAGTTAACAGCTCCAGATAGATTGTTCATATCCCTTTCAAAACGAGCTAGAACAACGGCTGCTGCTGGATCAATGGGATCATTGAATTCCATTTGTGTTGTTCCAAGTCCAAAGAGCCTCCCTTTGTTTAGCTTGCCTATCTACAAGTATATGTGTTTACAAAAGGTAAGCATACTAGTGAAATTGTAAAAGAAATAACTTACACAAAGAATCAAAATCCAAATTGCCATCATTTACCGAATAAGAAGCACCTTCTCGCATTAATGGTGTAATCAATGTTTGTGAGTTAGAACCTTGGTTGCCAACAAACTTCATCATCTGTTTACATTGGTTATAAAAAGCAAAAGGCAATAAGGCAAATGGGGAGAAAAGAATCGATAGTAAGAAACAGCAAGGGTTTAGAAAATAGAAAAGAGATAATAATAAATTAAGGGACTCAATCATTCGTACCATATCATATTTGACCTTTGCGTATGATTTTGAACAAGAAATGTGTTGATGCATACCATCTCCCCGTCCCCTTGAGCGATTCAGCTGGTTTCGCCATGCCCTTGAGCGAGTTGGTCCTCCCCGTCCAACGTCAATCCTTGCGGGTAGTCCGCCGCGACATGGTGGATACATACTACAATTATAGATATTTGAAACACATTAGAGGCCAACATGAAGATAACTATCACTACAATATTGTGCATACATGTCTAATTAAATAAATAAATAGTAATGGATTTCTTTGTTAACGATGGTAAATGGATTTCAGTAGTGAAGAGCATCAATATAGCAAAATAATAAACGCTGGTAGATTTAAAGAAAACGGAGTCAATCGATTTCAGTGTACAAACATCAATTACTGAAAATTGTAGAGGTAGCTTCACCAAAACAAGCAGAGATTCAAAGAAGATTTGAACACTAAATCAAATTCAGCATAATAAACATCAATTACCCAAAGCTAAATTGCATGATTTCACAAACAATAAACTTAAACTAGAGATTTAAAGCAGAATCTAACCTTAAGGGTGAGAGGCTTCTGTAGGCGAAAGTGAAAAGGAGTAATGGGGTGAGGAAATTAGATATTCTGTTTTTCTGCCGTGAAAGAGAAATGGTGGATGAAGAGATTGAGGCTGAGATATTATAGGGTTTTTTGGCGAAGGCGAAGAGGGAAACAAAATCAGCCGCGAATGAGAAGAGGGAAAATAATCAGCCGCGAGCCGCGAATTGGAGAAGAGGGAAAGTTTGCAACAAATCACGCGAAATCAATTTTGACCAAATTGTTTGCGGGAAACAGAAAAATTTGGGGAACATTTTTGTGGCAACTTTCCAAACAATTGGCCGAGTACCTTTCCAAAACATAAGGTGCAAGTGTTATTCAATTTTCTATATGGCTACAAAATATATGAAAATTAATTAGTGTGACTGACTATAGAATCACGGGATATTAAAAATTCTAGTGTTATAAGCTAAAGCTCAACAGATTTTTTTTTATTTTTAAGAATGAGAGTGGTGAGAGGAGATTGAGTTGAGGATGAGAAAGGTGTGAGGAGATACAATTGTTCTTCTTATTATACATACTGATGATCGGTGCCGTAATTAATATTTATGTTCAATGCGAATCTAACAAGTTGTGATAGTTGACACAAAATAATTAATTAAAAGCTCACAAGGAACCAATGGGATTGGACCTACACCAACATAACATAAATGTATCTTCTTCTTTTTTTTAACATTGAATTCTTGTTAGAAGTGAAAGGAACAAAGAACACATAGTCTTTCTCCAACAAACAGAAAACAAAATCAGATAAACTCCAAAAAAACAGAGCCAAAATGCCAAAAACAGAGCCAAAACTTGTTATGAAGAGTTTTGATCACTTCCATTGACGACTCAGAGAACGTACGTGACGTTTCCCACATGGAGACTTCTCATACGTACTCTCAAGTCTCAGGGCCCTTCTCATCTTTTAAGTTTTAATATTTCCATCAAAATAGTTCAAGATTTGTGAATATAAAAGATTTTCAGTAAAGAACTTAGCTACGTCAGATATGTTGCTATGTCATTGCCTAACATGCGACGGATTGGTCAGGGCACACACATCGTTGCCATTTAGCAACATATATATCTGTAGTTATCCTTCGCTATTTAGCAACAACCCATCTCTATCAAGTGTGTAGCTATTTAGCTACAAAATATCTACAGAATCCGTACATAGCTATATAGCTACGAATTGCTACATATTTGCCACAGATTTGGCTACGAAAGTAACATTATTATTTATGTCGCCATCTCTCACCATTTACTTAGCTAATGGCGATGGCTACGGAAATGCCTTCGCCGGTCCTTAGCTAATTCACTGAATTCTTGTAGTGATACTACCAACGATCCGTGCACTTGCGGTATCTACTAATAGTTGGGTAAAACTTATCTCACATCAAGTTTTTGGCACCGTTGCCGGGGACCAAACAGTTGCCTAAGAGTTTCGGATTAGAGTTTAGACTAGAACATTGTTTAATCTCATTTTTATTTGCATTTCCCTTTGGATTTTTGTTCATATTTTTACTAACTTCTTTACTTCTCTCTATCTTTGTGTGTTTCAAGGTACCTTGATTAAGAGATAGGAGATCTTAAGAAGGATTCACGAGACATAGAAGATGGAGCCTCAAAACCGCCCAATCGGAGATTTTGATTCACTAGACATCTTCTTCACAAAACGCCCACCTATATGCCCTTTACCACCTACTGGAGAGTTCAGGATAAGCTCTAAACTCATTGTTTTGGTGGAGCAGCATCAGTTTCGTGGCCTAGAGGAAGAGCAGCCCATTGATCATATTGAGAAGTTTGAAGAAATCTGCGCTACAAGGAGATATGGTGGAGTTTCTGAGGATTACTTGAAGTGTAACTTTATTCTCTTTCTCTTTGATTGAGAAGGCATACAAATGGATGAGAGCTCTTCCAGCAGGATCAATCACTACTTGAGATGAGTACAAGAGAGCTTTCTTGAAGAATTTCTACCCAAAAGAGAGATTAAAATGGATGAGAAGAAGAATCTCAGAATTTCGACATGAAGCACATGAATCTTCTTTGAGGCTGTTTCACGGTTCAAGGAGTACAAGAGAGAGTGCCCTCACCATGGTTTTACAGAGATTGCTTTGCTAAACTTCTTCTATCAAGGAGTTGATGAGAAATTCAAGATGGCGCTCAACACAGCTAGTCAAGGGGACTTCATGACTAATACTATTTCTCAAGCCAACATTCTCATTGATAACTTGGCAGCAAGCAGCAAAAGTTCAAGCCAAGACTATGTGCAAGTCGTGGAGGAGATCAAACCAAAATCTGATTTTTCAGAAATCTTTGAGCTAAAGTCATTAGTTGTTCAACTTCTCAAGAGCCAACAAGGCAATGGTGACATATGTGAGAACGTGGTGGCTTCTAGCATAAAGGATCATAAAGATCTCATTGGTGAAAGTTCTTCTAAGCATCAAGAAGGAGTGAATTATGTTGGTGAGTTTGGAAACATCAATGAAAACCGAAATCACAACGGTTTTAACCATGGAAACCCTAAGCCAAGCATTGGAGATCCTCTTCTAGATCAAGATCACGTGGCCATGACACCTATAGGGAGAAACCTTGAAGCTATGATGCATCTGTTCATGGAGAATCAACAACAAGTCCTTGAAGGAATGAAGCAATGCGCCAAAGATAATAAAGATCTTGGTTTCAAGTTGGATAGCATGTATGATCATCTTTACAAGAATAACCAGGAGCTGTATGAGAGATTTATCAATCTCTCTAATCATGTTAAGATGGTGGAAGTGCAAGTCTCCCAAATTGCAGAAGGATCCAAGAGACAAGCCAATGTTCTCCGGGAAAAGTGGAGGAGAACCCTAAGTTTTGCAAGGTGATAACAACCAAGAAGAATGATGCCATTTCACCAGCCCCTAGAGTTCAATCAACCTCCAAGAATCATGTGACAAGGCGTGAAGATGATGAGCCTATTTCAAAAGCACCACATCAAAGGAGGCTTAAGAAGAGAGAAGATCCAGTGAATTTTATCTTCCCTTGCACAATCAATGGTATTGACTTTATTGAATCTTTGTGTGATACGGGATCTACAGTGAATCTCATGTCTAAGATCATAGCAAGGAAGCTTGGGATTGTAGAGATGGAGCCTCCTGGAAAGATGCTCAAGTTTGCAGATGCTTCTAGCACAACTCCATGTGGCTTTGTGCGTGATCTAGAGATGCAAGTAGGTGGATGTCTAGTCCCCACCGATTTCCACATCATAGAAGATGCAAGATGAAGCTTCTATGTCACTGATCCTTGGGACTCCTTTCCTTACAACCGTGGGAGCAATGTTTGATTTTCGCAAGGGACAAGTTTCTTTCTCTGAAATCAAGAAGAAGGTCTTCTATCCTGGCGTTCCTACTGAAACCTCATGTTGTACAACCATCTACAGTGAGGAGAGAGCAATTTTAGACCCTGGAGATGACATTAAAAGGTCACAAGACGTTCCTCAAGAAGCTCTCTACATTAGGTCTTATGACATTTACAAGCCGGCACAAGGTGAATGCCAATGTGTTTCAAGTGATAGTGGTTCAGTTTTGGCTCCTAAAGGTCATCATACATGAGATGTTTTCAAGCTTGAGACACGTCCTAGAGCACCACCAAGACCAGCACCATCCGAATCTCCTTGGTATAGACACATTGCCAACTACCTTGCTGCTGAGGTTTCACCGCCTCAATTCTTTGGCTACAAGAAAAAGAAGTTCTTAAGGGATGTTAAAAGGTACATCTGGGATGAACCTTGTCTTTATAAACATTGTTCTGATGGTATTCTTAGAAGATGCATTCCAGAGGAGGAGGTTCCAGGAGTTCTCTTTGCTTGTCATGGTTCTGACTATGCAGGACACTTTGCTACTAACAAGACCATTGCTAAGATATTGCAAGCTGGGTTTTGGTGGCCCACCATGTTTAAGGACGCCCATACCTTTATCTCTAAGTGTGATGCTTGCCAGAGACAAGGGAACATCAGCAAAAGGAATGAGATGCCACAAAACTTCATCCAAGAAGTGGAAGTCTTTGATGTTTGGGGAATCGACTTTATGGGTCCTTTTCCTTCTTCTTATGGAAACAAGTACATCCTTGTTGCTGTGGATTATGTCTCTAAGTGGGTAGAAGCCATAGCCAGCCCTACAAACGACTCCAAGGTGGTGATAAAGTTATTCAAGTCAATCATCTTCCCAAGATTTGGCATCCCACGAGTTGTGATTAGTGATGGAGGATCTCATTTCATCAACAAGGTCTTTGACAATCTTCTGAAGAAAAATGGAGTGAGACACAAGGTTGCTACCCCTTATCATCCTCAAACAAGTGGGCAAGTGGAGATTTCTAACAGAGAAATCAAGAGGATCTTAGAGAAGACAGTGGGAATGACAAGGAAGGATTGGTCCATGAAGCTTGATGATGCTCTTTGGGCATATAGAACTGCATTCAAGACCCCACTAGGAACAACTCCTTTTCACCTTGTCTATGGAAAAGCTTGTCATCTTCCTGTTGAGATTGAGTATAAGGCGGAATGGGCTGTAAAGAAGCTGAACTATGACATCAAGACAGCAAAGGAGAGGCGATTGATTCAGCTGAATGAGTTGGATGAAATTCGCCATGATGCCTATGAGAACTCAAGGATCTACAAGGAAAGAACAAAAGCATATCATGACAAGAAGATAGTCCCCAAGACGTTCTCTCCCAATGACCAGGTTCTCCTTTTCAACTCACGCCTTAAACTGTTTCCAGGAAAGCTTAGGTCGCGATGGTCTGGACCATTTAAGATCAAGGAAGTGAAACCATATGGTTCTGTTGTGCTATGGAACCGAAATGGTGGCGACTTCACTGTCAATGGACAAAGACTTAAGCCATATCTTGCAGACGTTGAGAAGGATGAGAGAGAAACCATTCCCTTAGTTGATGCCCTAACCGACTAAGAAGAGGCATAAAGTCAAGCTAAAGACTTTAAACAAGCGCTTTGTGGGAGGCAACCCACATGGATGAAGAACCAAAAGGAGACCAATACATGGGATCTCAATCTAAGGCCGGATTTCACAAGTGATTTCAAGTTTTTTTGCAAGGACTTAACTATTTGACAGGAAGGAGATACAGAAGAGTTGTTGTAACCAACCAAAAACACCATACTTATGGCGGTTCAAAGGAGGTTTCAAAGGAGATTCATACACAATCACAAGGAACATGGCGGTCACCACTGAATGATAAAAGGAGGATTAGAGAATCAATTCGGTCGAATAAAATCTCAATTGGCCCGAGTAGATTTGAGATATCCCAATCCGGTCATTTCTCTCGGCCATGGTGCGTGCATGGAACAACCCTCGGCCAACTCCCAAACCGTGTGAAAGTCCACCAAACTTCACAGGCGACCATAAAATCACATTTGGTCGGCAAATCCAAAAGATAGGACGGAGAAATCATCACGGTTCATGAGATAGACGAAGGAGCTCATTCTGGCCGATGGCGCGCAAGCAATATGGCCGACAAATCAAATCACGGCATAGGCGCGCCAACCGGTTGGAAAACTCTTCCTTGAGCTTAACTAACACTTTTATGCAGGAAGAAACGAAAAGGAACGAGCCAAACTTCAATGGCCAAGGAAACTCCTTCCCGGAGCCAACTTGACCATTTTGTGAAGGAAGTCTCAATCCGCTCGTCAAATGCTCCCAAACTTCACCAGAGGCATAAAATACCAGGTTGGTCGATGAAATTTCAATATAGGTCATGAAATTTTTGACGGTTTGTTCTGTAGTTCACAGCACCACATTTTGGCCGACCGAATATACCAATCTCGGCCAAAACACAAACCGGCGGAAACCAAGGCCTGAAATTAAAAACTCACCGACCAATATTGCCTAAAGAAGTGTAGAATGACCCAAACCGGAACTGATCTTCATTATAAATTGGTCGACATTTGGTAACATCATCCTAAACCTTTTTCTTTTCAATTTTTCATTTGAACTTCATGTTATACCTCTCTTAATCTGATTTCTTTCACCGGGACGGTGCAAGTTAAGTCTGGGGGGATTACTAACAATGTTTGTTCATTTTGGCATTTTCATTTGCATTTTTTCCCTTTTATCGAGTCGTTTTTATTGAGTCAAAATTTTTGTCGAGAATCATGACCTTATCTTGGATCTAACCATGGTTGTACTAATGTTTAAGTGACCATTGAGCAGTTCTTGGCAATACATCTTACCACAGGTGCACTATGAGTTGATCGATCTACCAAAAACGCCTACATCTCTAAAGACTTGAGAAGGATCCATCTTTGACTCCGCCCTTAATGAACTTAATCTTCTCAGCTAGGGGCTTGGCATACAAATGGCATGATTCCTCATCCTCTCCATCAAATGAAAAAGTCTTAGTGAGTTCGTGCTTCCCTCTCTCTCCCCTTCAAATTTAAAGAAAAAGCGTAAGGTCCAAGTAACCGGGGATTCGGTGGCAAACACCATCAATACTCGCGTCTATGGAAGGCCTATGAATCCAAGCAACCGGGGATTCGGTGGCAAACACCATCAATACTCGCGTCTGTGGAAGATCCAAGCAAAACCTCTATAATAAAGAGAAGGAGTTGAATAAAAAAATACTTCGCTACCCTAAAAAAGGGATGAATCAACTCAAAGAAGTGAGAAGAGAGAGAGGAGAAACATGGAGTAAAAAGACAAGTGCCAAACAAGGGGATGAGTAAGAGTCTAAAGCCGGCTGATCGATACTCCCTAGTTGAGACCACACCTTTAGAAATGAAAGGAGTCAAGGGTGGCGAATTGGATTGTCCAAGGAGAGGTGGACCGCTTTGGGAAAATCGCAAAACTCATGGTATGTACTTTGTTCTTAATTCAAAATTTGCCAATGCTGTTTCATGTGGATTACTAAAGCATAAGTCAATTTGGATTTCCAAAAGATTTGAGAGTTCTCACGTTTTCAAACCTCTTTTCCTGCTTAGTTTGCTTGGGGACAAGCAAAAGGCTAAGTCTGGGGGAGTTGATATACCATATTTTACATGATTTTACTATATTTTCATATGTTTTCAAACGGTTTTTCAAATTTTTGCCTTTAGAGGTAGTTTTCTTGTATTTGTGGTTTTGAGTCTTAGGTGAAATATCAAAAAGGATGCAAAAAGGAGCAAAAGAGCCTCAAACCAAGATCCATGCAAGTTTCCAAGTCAAGAGCATCATTTTATCTCCAAGTGTTAGTTCTCGCTAGCGAGCAGAACGAAGCTTCGGAAGTTTGGCCGCGCGAGGAGTTCCCGACGTCCAAAAGTCACGATCTTGATATGGAAAGATAGATACTTGAGTCATGCATCACGTCGAAGTGGAATGAAGCCATTTGGATCAACCATGAGGCCGGAACTTATTTTCTACCGAGACATGTCCGGTAAGCGAGCAAACGAAGCCCATGGAGGATTTGGAGTGTCTAATGGCCCGAGCAGCAGCGCCAAAGGCCTTGATCGAATAGAGAAGAGGCCTGGCTAATGTTTGGAGCTTTCCTTGGTACAATGTCGGCCCATACACGACGTGGAGAAGAAGGCTCGCTCATGGAAACTTTCCTTTTCCGGCACTTCAATACCCTAACCGACCTCGCAACCTATATATAATGTTTTTAGCCTCTAAGAAAGAAGCGTGTGCGCCGTCAGAGAGAAGAGAGAGCCGTCCTGGAGAGCAGAAGAGAGCAGAGAGAAGAGGCGTCTCAAGATCAAAGACACACACACACACAAACCTTTACACTTTGTTCTTTCTTTTTCTCTTCACTTTGTTATTTGATTTAAGAGTTTCAAGGGAGATTTCGACTTGTTCTTCAATAGAGAAGCTTTCTTCATCCCTTATCTCTTTTAATACTCACATAATGCTTTCATACATCTCTTGCTTGTTTGTTTGCATCATGGCTGAGTAGTCCTATTGTTGGGTTCAAGAGTTTTCAAGGGATTCATGGATTGATCACTAGGTTGTTAGATTCGGGATTATTGATTGAGTTCCTCATCTTGATTTGTGCTTAATGCTTATAGCTTTGACTGAACGTCCTGCTACTGCCCTAGAGTTGATTTACTTTCCGAAAGCTTGATAAATCACTTGAAATAATCTTGATGAACAAATCACCATAACCTGCGGGAGTAGAATTATGATGCTTTGTGGAACATATTGAATTTGAATTATTTGTGCTTGTTTAACCACTTGATTGCCTATGGGAGTAGAGTGATCTTAGGTTGTTAGACATTTTAATTGACATTGCGGGAGTAAGTTGATTATCCATTCATAATTCAAGTTCTTGATCATATCTATTGATTCCTTGTTTAACTATCCAATAAACCAATCCTTGATGACCTATGAATTCTCTTGTGCCCAATGCTTTCCCTATTGATTTGATAACTTGTTTCACTTGATTTCAAGCTCACTCATTGTTATTTTCCACTGTTCACAGTTCTAAAACCAAACCCCCATATTTTAGTTTTAGCTAAGTTTTAATCTCATAAGCTCATAGTGCAACTTTTCTGGTCCTTGTGTTCGATAACCCATACTACCAACGATCCGTGCACTTGCGGTATCTACTAATAGTTGGGTAAAAGTTATCTCACATTAGGCATCCAGTTATTAGAGGCATATTTTTGATAAAAAATTTCTTAAGGGGTGTATAAATATCATTTACAAAGTTTTAACAAGGACATATTTTAGTTACTTAAATTTTTCTTAAAGGTATTATTTACAAAGTTTTAACAAGAACATATTTTTGACAATTTTTTTTAAAGGGGTTTATATATCATGTACAAAGTTTTAAAACCTTTTTAGTGATATTAATATTTATAGGGCATTTGTTAACAAATATCTTTAGTATGTGTATCATTATGTGAGTTTAATAAATGATTTTGCAACTCAAAATCTAAGGAAAGCTTTATTTAAACCATAAGAAATCAGTTTTTTTGTTTTTGCAAACTATTTACTAACTGAGAATTGTTTATTTAGAACTTGTTTATTTTATGAAGTTTTAAGGGGTTTTTTTTTTATATTTTTACTGTTTTTGTGATTTTGGAAAAAAAAATTTGAAATGCATACTTTTTAGATTCGAGTAGAGCATTTAAATTCGTTGGACCGGCACTCCACGATAATGCATGTCTATCTATATTAAGATATTTGTTATAAGGGTTAAGCACTATATAAAAGAAAGAATAAATTAACCTTGAAACTCTTAGGAACTGTTGAAAAACTGAATTCAGTTTAACATTTTCGAGAAAAAGACCAAGAGGCATACATTACTTAATTACTTGATTTTTATTATCATACTTTTTTAAAAGAACTTATGTGTCATGGAGGAGAGGATTGCTGATGTATCATTCCCTTGTGAGGTACACTCACTATTTACATACCACTTCAAAACGAGTCCAAAGTTTACTGCAACTTACGTAGAATGATACCACTTCTTCTAACTTAAATGTGATACAATTGGAGCCTATAACCAAAGCATTCCTTAGTCAAAAATCCAATGTAAGTTTGTAACATCCATTGTAGTTGTTAGGTTACATATTTTGTTATATACTAGGTGATTATGTTATTTCTTAGTTAGGTGAGCCTATTACTTGAAGTTTCAACAAATCGCCAAGACGAAAAGGTTGTAGTGAAAGTGATAAAAAGGGGAGATCAACAAGTGTGTATAAAACAATGGAACCTCATTTGCGAGAAGAACAATGTGAAGGAAAAAGATGCAATCTTGTGTGAGCTCTTCCGCACTGAAAACGTTGTTTAGGCGGTCAAAGTTCACATTGTCCGCAAGAAAGATTGTAAACACTTCTATTATAGGATGAAGAAACGTCTATAAAACTCTTTTCGTAGGAAATACAATTTTAGTTTTAAGATGAGTATTTGTAATGTTGAATTTCTGAAAATTTTGTAAACTCGATCCTTATACCAGAAAAAAAAAACAATTATTTATTCTCGGTGAAAGTTATATGTAATAGAAATTTGTGAAACATTTGTGTTATTTGTTTTCATTTTTCTCTTATATTTTTATATAAAGGTGGATGTTTTATATTTTTAATGTTAAATTTTGATTAAACTTCTTGTTTTATCCCTGTTTTTTTAGTTTATTAATTTTTGTTTTTTTGTCTCTCATTCTCAACCGTTGGATCATTTTTCCAATAAATAATCATTGGACTAATTGAGTCGCCACAAGGAAGTCATACAACATTCATTGTTATGTTTCGTAAAAACATAAATGAAAAGTGTAGTTTGTGTGCATTTTTCAAATTCTATAGGGTTTTGAAGGAGAAAACAAAGATTCAAAGGAAGAGACGTACAAAAACATAGGTAGATCTAGCCTAGATGAAGAGAAAAACATTCTTTATACATCGAACTACCAATTGGAAAATCGGAGAATTACTATAAAAATTTCTTAGATCAAAATTAGTGATGGAATTCATCCAATTATCCAAAGATTCAAGGAAAAAGGTAATGACATAAATATTGACTATGATGTTAAACTGAGGGAAGAGATCAAGCCGAATGCTGAGAATAAGTAATGAGTTGATGAAAATTTTGATCTCATTACCTATATAGATACAAAATATATGTATCTCTTCGATGATGGAAGGGGTACAGTGAGGAAATTTGGCACTCCCTAAGCAAGTAAGAATGAGATCCAATTTTTTTTTTCTTTTTCTTTCTATGGGATGCTCTCACATTGCAGATCAGTCATCAAGTAACTATAGTATAAGAACCTTGACTTATTTGAGGTATGAAGTTATAAAGATTTAACATTTTATAAACCTTTTCATAAAACCAAATATCTTTTGTGATAAGCAAAATACGATAACCTCACCCACAAATCAGATCAAATATTTGATCAAATCATTAGGATGATGTATTGAATTTGGGATTTAAAATGATTTGGGGTGATTTCATTTTTAGATGATTTAGGATGATTTTAGAGAATTTGTTAAAATTTTAATGAAATCACTCTATAATCCCACCTAAAATCATGAGATTTGGATTATCATATTTTTAACAAGGAAATCCCACCAAATAACTCTAAAATCACTTGAAATAGCATGAAATCCCTCACCTAAAATATTTACAATAACAGTGGATTTTAAAGTGCATTTTAAAATCAAAAATTCAATAACACTGAATTTCAAATTACTATTTAAAATTCATGTTTGAATTACAGAGGATTTATCATTTTAAATCAAATCACTCTAAATCACCTAAAATACCAAATTCAATTCATTACATCCCCTTAGATTATTACACTGATAGAGACAAAAATTTAAATAATGTTTGAAATAAAATAAAAAATAGGGATACTAAGTTAATAACAATTTTGAGTGCGAAAACCACACCACACAAGAGAGGAACGCAAATGGCGGTCTTATCCAGCATCTTCTCCATGACCAGAGCTTCAACGACTATGGCGTCTCTGACCAACGACTCACCTTCTCCTCTTCCTCCGTCGAAACCTACAAAGAAACCAACGAGAATCAGCCAAACATCCGGAAGTCAAAATCAGCAATTACGGAAACAACGGAGAGGGAAGAAGCCGTCAATAGCTCAGATCGAGCGAGCATTTGGCGCTGGATCATATCGTGATTCCGAAGGGTACACACAATTACGACAATGAAATCTGTAATTTCTTTCTACTCCGATGAATTTTTGAAATGTGTTGTTTCTGAAAAGGGAAATGGATATGAATACGGTGTTCGACGAGCTTCTCTTAGGTCACGCCAATAAATTCGAAGGAAAATTGGAGAAGAAGCTACGAGAGATCGGCGAAATCTTTGTTGATCGGACCGAGTCTAAGTTTCGTTCCTCCGGTTAGTGTTCGGCTATTGATAATTCCTCTAAACTATATGTTAATCACATCTAATTTGGATGATTTGGTGTTGCAGGCAAACCGGTTTTGATGTTTACAATCCAATGGATTCTTCCGGTATGGATTTTGTGTCTGCTTTTAGCTTGTGGAGTTATCAAACTTCCCTTTAGCCTCCCATTACTTGATGACTTGATCTTGTGATTAGACAATACTTATACACTTTTAGTCATTACCAAAAAAAATACTTATACACTTTTAGTGTGATAATATATGGGAAGTTGTTCACAAAAAAAAGTGTGATAATATATGGGTTATGTGATAAACATTTGATAAACTATATTCTTAACCCATTAACCTAAAAAGTCAAAAATATTCACTTGGTAATTCATTAGATAATGCGATGTCATGAACATCTCGTTGTGTTTATGTTCCACCATTTCATCGTTTCACACACACGTTATTAAAAAAAAAAAAAAAAAAAAAAAAAAAAAAAAAAACATAGCGAAAGCTACGGCCAAAAAACAAAAGAGCTTTGAAGCAATCGATATTTAGATCAAAATTATTCTGTTGCTGTGACAAAAGGAAAGTATCTACTAATTGACGGTAAGTCCAAAATTAGTGTGTGAAGCTGGCCATTTTACGTAATTAGTGGTAGGTGGCCAACATTTATCTCCACCGTATTTTTTTACTTATTTTTATGATTATATAAATTGAATAAATAATCGTCATCTTTCAATTTTATGATTATAGAAATTGAATACATATGTTTCTCCTTTTACACCAATGTTGTTATTGTTAACCATAAGGTATTTTAATAAAACGAACGAAGTGTATGTGCATTTTTATGTATAGTACTAAGATATTGCGTAGGTACACATGGCTTTGCGATTTGATATAAAAAAAGGTGCTATAAACTGATTATAATCCAGAGGAGCAGATTCGATTCTTCTTATTAGTTAGGTCATTTTAGTACTGTCAGATTTTCAAGGATATATCATTACCATTTATGCCTTGCGTGAGCTTTAATTATGAATCCCACTGAATAAATAAAAACGATCATCATCAACTCTGTTTCCCCTTTTTGATTATTTAAATAAATTTTCGACATCAAATGCGTTGTTTACTTGAAAATAATTAAAGCAATTAAATTTTATAAGAACGTACAGATAATAAAAAATATAAAATCGTTTAGAAAATTCAGAACTCTTTACATTTTTGGTCCGAATAAATTGACTTTTATTAGGAAAACCAGGAAAAATAAATATACAGAAACGGAACCAATCGCGCCCGCTTTTTTGCTTCTTCACTTTGCTCTCTCTCTTCATCGATAGTCTCTGTGATTTCCCGTGAATTTTCCCGGCTGGTTTCTTGGGAAAAAAAATCTAAAGAAGGTTGAAGGTAGAGACACGTAATCTCCGGTTTCGTAGAGAGAGAGAGAGAGAGATCTGAACGAGTCTCTTGTGGTTTCCGATGGGAACGCTTCAGTCATGGCGAAAAGCTTACGGAGCCCTAAAAGACACCACCAAAGTCGGCCTTGTCCGAGTCAACAGCGATTACGCCGTACGCGCTTTTCCGATTTCTCCAATTTTTTAAACCATTTCTATGATTGATTTTGTTTAAGAAAATCTCTGATAGATTGGGTTTTGGTTTTTCCTGAATTTCCATGTATTTGTTTAGGATTTAGATGTTGCCATCGTCAAAGCTACGAATCACGTCGAGTGTCCTCCGAAAGATCGGCATCTCAGAAGTGAGTGATTAGATTACTTTTTCATTTTGGGGTTATCAGTTACTTTCTCGGGAAACTCTTAGATCTGAATTTGTATCTGTTCTTCTCTAAATTGATTTCTCCACTGTTGCAGAAATCTTCGCTGCAACAGCGGTGACCCGTGCTCGAGCAGATGTTGCCTATTGCATTCACGCCCTTTCCCGGCGGCTGCATAAAACCAGAAATTGGACGGTACTGATTAGTGAATTGTGATTACTCTCTTCATCTTGATTAGTGATTAAAGCATATTGATAGTTTTTGAAGTTGAAGTTAGGTTCTTCGTTCCTTTTGTAAGCATAGGAAGTTCATGAATTTGATTGCTTTATGTGTATTCTCTCTTGTTTTCGATTTAACAGGTTGCATTGAAAACACTTATTGTTATTCACCGGCTTTTAAGGGAGGGAGATCCGACGTTTAGAGAGGAACTATTGAACTTTTCGCAGAGAGGTCGAATTCTGCAGCTTTCTAATTTCAAAGATGACTCAAGCCCTATTGGTGAGTCAATTCAGTGTTTCTACAACGTTTGTGTTAGAATTAAAAGAGGCTCCTATAGAGAGTGAAGCTGATTGGCAGTTTTTGTTTGTTTCTCTTAAAGCCTGGGATTGTTCAGCTTGGGTACGCACTTATGCGTTATTCCTCGAGGAACGGCTTGAATGCTTCAGGGTTTTAAAATATGATACTGAGGCAGAACGTCTTCCAAAATCTACCCCAGGGCAGGATAAGGTATTAAACATTGCTCTACTTTGTTTTATGCTGTGTTCCTACCTTCTTTTTTTCTTCTTCTGATGGTTTCTATATGCATATTGCGGATTGGCAGGGGTATAGTAGAACCAGGGATCTAGATGGTGAAGAACTCTTGGAGCAGTTGCCAGCTTTGCAGAAACTTCTGTACCGTCTCATCTGTTGCAGGGTACTTTTTTGATCTTATCTGAATCCTTTTTTTTGCATTTGTGTTGTGGCTGCATTTTCTGATCAATGAACCGTCTTGCCCCATTACTTATTTTTTCAGCCAGAAGGCGCTGCTAACCACAATCATGTTATACAATATGCACTTGCTCTGGTACGTGATTTTGATCCTTGGTCATATATTTAGAATTACCAAAGCTTCCTGTTCCATCTGGAAAGGCAAAAGCTCGAAAATTCCTTACTTTCTTTCTCTGTGATGGGATGATAGGTGTTGAAGGAGAGTTTCAAAGTCTACTGTGCTATCAATGACGGTATCATCAATCTCATTGACAAGGTACGGCCTAGTCTAGTTTAGTTATCATGTCTCTCTATCTTCTTTCCTTTCTCTCTGCTCAGTTTTTTTCATTTGTTGCAGTTCTTTGAAATGCCAAAACACGAAGCCATAACTTCCCTTGACATATACAAGCGTGCGGGTCAACAGGTAATGTTGTTGTTGGACTATTTTTGTCTGCATGGACCTCACTTGTGTAGTCACTTTCTTTGTCTAACGAGTGCTAATCGTAATCTTTCAGGCTCGTAGCCTTTCTGATTTCTATGAAGCCTGCAAAGGATTGGAACTCGCTAGGAATTTTCAGTTTCCTGTACTAAGAGAGGTACCAGATGAGGACTTTTTTTGCTAAATTCAATAGATATGCACTGTTACTTAATACAGTACTGTTGTTTTCTCTCCAGCCCCCACAATCTTTCCTGACGACGATGGAGGAGTATATTAAAGAAGCACCACGTGTTGTCGATGCCCCAGCTGAGCCACTGGTATATATGCATATTTCCTCATATAAGTGATTCAAGAAATATGGTATTTTTGGCCTCTTTAGTGAAGTTTGTCTGTCTGCATGCAGCTTTTAACGTATAGGCCGGACGATGGACTTCCTTCCGAAGATACCGAACCGAGTCATGAAGAAAGTGAAGTGTTGCCTTCAGAGAATATCGTTTATGTATCTAAAGAGACTGAACCTTCTTCCCAACCTCCACTTCCCCCTGCATCCAACACTCAGAACATCATTGATACAGACGATCTACTGGTGAAAATATTACTTTTTAGATGTTTAGTTCTTTTGCTTCCCATTACTGTTCTCAAGTATCTTTGTTCAATTTTCCACACAGGGTCTGAACACTGCTGCTCCTAATGCGTCAGTAATCGAGAACCAAAACGCACTTGCTTTAGCCATTATTCCAACTGATGGTGATCAATCTTGTTACACCCTTTTGATTACATGTTCATTTTTATTTTTTTTTGTGGCCGACTCAATTATGTTCTTTGTCTCTCTATTTCCAGGTAACCCTCCAACGCCTAGGTTTGGTCATGCGAACGATTACGATCCTACAGGATGGGAGCTAGCCTTGGTAACAACACCCAGTAACGATATCTCTGCATCCACTGATAGGCAATTGGTATGCACTCTTCTCATCTATCTGAAATTAAATGTTAATATATTTTGTAGAAAGTTGTTCCTATGTTTCTTTTTTTTGTGTAAGCTAATCCATTAATACGTGTAGGCTGGAGGCTTAGACACGCTTACACTGAACAGTCTATACGATGATGGAGCCTACATAGCTTCTCAACGTCCTGTCTATGGTGCACCAGCTCCCAATCCTTTTGAGGTCCATGATCCTTTTGCATCCACCAATGCCGCTCCGCCACCTCAGCAGCCACCTGTCAACAACCCCTTTGGTGCTTACCACCAGCCTACTTATCAGCCGCAGCCGCAGCAGCAGCAGCAGCATCAGGGACTAGCAGCACCCATCCCCACTACCAATAATAACAGTAATCCATTTGGTGATTTTGGGGATTTTCCGGTTAACCCGGTTTCACAGCAGCCGAATACTAGCGGGTTTGGTGATTTCGCGGTTAATAACCAGCATAACAACCCGTTTCGCAGCACTGGCCTCATTTGATCATCATGTCTTTTCACGTTTGTATTGGTTTTTGGTGGAGGGAGAGAGAGAGAGAATTGGTTTTCTATTTGTGAGTAATAGAATCACATGATTGGTTTCATTCATCTCTGTTTCTTATTGCCTGTAGAATTATAATCTTTGGGATATATGCATATATGAGTAAATCCCCTTTATTTGCATAGCTTCAAGTTCAACTTGTTAATTTCATATTGTCAATTGTGTGCTACAAACCGATATGACGTGTCTAGTCTAGATTCTCATTTCCTTTTTCCGTTTACGTCCATCGATAATTTGACACGTGTTGACTTTGACGAGCCGAATCACCGAATAAATTGCCCAATTGCTCTGATTCGTCGTGAAGTTCAAAATCAGGGAGAATACCGTAAATTCACCAAAAGTCATCAGTTATCACCTACGTCCATGTCAGCAATCCTGCGGGATAATGTTCTGATAGCACTACAACCGTTAGATTCGCTCTCCTGTTTGCATACCCTAACCGTCTGATCAGCTTTTCGATCAAATTATAAAGAAAACCACTTTTTACCAATTTGTTTTTTTTTCTATTTTAAATCCCTTCAACAACAGTTTCTTTCCTCAGCCCACTCAAGCAACAGTACTCTCCTCCAACCTCACTCGCACACACTCTCTCTCTCTCTCTTCTCTTCTCTTCTCTGCGCGACCTCATGTTTGACATGACGATGGAGAACTCGCTCGATCCTCAACAAGATCCAACGACGGAGCAGCCGCAGACACAGAATCCTCCCTCCTCTCTCCCACCGTATCCTCAGGTATCTATCAACTCTCACAAGCTGGCATCAGATTTCGAAGTTGTATTCTCGATTTTTACCGGTAATCGATTCTCCTTGTGGATCTGAAACTCTATCCTCTTCGATTTTTAGATGATAATGGAAGCGATCGAAGAATCTAACGACGGATGCAACAAAACGGCGATCGCGAAGCACATCGAGTCGACTCAGCACGATTTACCTCCGTCTCACGCGACGCTTCTCAACTACCATCTCAACCAGATGAAACAATCCGGCCAGATCGTGATCGTGAAGAACAATTACATGAAACCAGATCCGAATGCTCCGCCTAAGCGTGGCCGCGGCCGTCCTCCGAAAGCCAAACCTCTTGTCGATTCGAGCCAGGTGGCGATCCCAGCTCCTTCTGTTTCTCCGCCGAGGCCTCGAGGTCGTCCTCCCAAATCGAAGGAATCTCCGTCAGAGGCTCCTCCGTCGTCGTCGATTCAGGCGAAACCGAAGGAGCCGAGTGTTTCCGGAAGACCACGAGGACGTCCACCGAAGAAGCAGAAGACGGATTCGGAAACGGTCAAAGCCGATGCAGCACCCACGGTGCAGCCTAACGGTGAGCGTCGTGGTCGTGGAAGGCCACCAAAGGTGAAACCAGCGATGGTGCCTGTTGGTTGTTGAGTTAACTCGTGCTTAAGCCTTCAGCGAATCGAAAAAGCCTTGATTAGTGAGACTCTTAATCAAAAAAATTATTAAAAAAGAGTCTTTGACTTTCTTTCTTTTTAATGTTTTAATCGTCTAGTTTTATCGTTAAGTGTGTGTTGTTACTTTAGTGGTAGCCAAAAATGACGTCACCGAGAATGTAATTCGGCTTTGCTCATGTGGTGGTGTGATGTAAATTTTTTATGGTGTGCGTTTTTGCGCTTCTCTAATGTAATGGTTCGTGAAAGTTTTTGCTTTCTGTAAAACAACATTAAAAAAGCAGATGAATGTTAGGGGATTTAACTTTGTTTTCAAAATTCGAAATTGTGAGTTTTTCAGGTTTCATTGTTTTCAAGCGGGAGCTAGAATTTTCAAACGATAGCAAAAATTTGGTCCTATTTTATGGAGTATGTGAGTATGTGACTTGTGGATTAAAGATAAAGTTAATTATCCCATTTGGTTCTATTTTAGATGTGAGAGTGTGTGTGACTTGTGTATACACGGCCCAAAATCAGTCTCATAAATCTATATTGGGCCGATTTTTTTTCCTAATTTGTTAACTTAAACTTGCTCAAGACTTCCCATAAACTAGCAAATTTTACTTTTTTACGGAAGTTCTAATTAGGATATACCTTAGTGCACGGTAGCAATATTTGAAAAAAGTAAAATTGCTAGTTTATGGCTATATCCTCTGTAAAAAGTAAAATTTGCTAGTTTATGTGAAGTAAAAGTAAAATTTGCTAGTTTATGGATTGGATATACCACCTAGAGGATATACCTTATAGTGTACGGTAGCAAGAAATGAATTCAATTTTAAAGATTTGTACTGAGTTATTAAAAGAAACAAGTTCAGTAAAGGAAACTCCCTTTTTTCGTTGCATAAATATGGACAATGAATTGAAAAATAATATTGACCAACTCTTTTTGAAAGACTTTATAAAAAAAAATATAAAACACATGGAATATGAAATCTGATCTCTAGCAAACTATGATCTTACATGACTTAACAATTTACTCTGGAATAACAAAACAGTCTTGTAATAAAAATAAATTTAACCACTTAACATCACCTAGTAAACAGTAAAATCATTTGCACGCCATGGTGTCTATAACAATATTCGTCTTCCAAGTTCCAACGACCTAACCATCTTTATTCAAAACTAAAAAAACTCTTTCATATATGTACACAAAAACCGGCATGTAGTGAACAAAACCAGTGTGAACTTTGGAAAGTGCAATCTCGTGAACAAAAGACGGATATTTAATTTTTTGGAAGAATTTGAGTTGAGTGGGGGGCCATTAACAGGAATGAAAACACCCAACATAAATTATCTATGACATAGGAGTATGAACACATCGTTTTTGGTCTCTTGGATATGTCGTACTCATTTCACGGGTCGAGAAAGAAGAAAAACACACCAAAACTTATAAGTTATAACTACTCCATATGATTATGATATATTCCTCAACATATTCATATATACGTATATTAAATATTTACAGTAATCGCATATATGTATATACGTGCAGTTTATTTAGGAAAGGATCAATGGTGTAAATTCGATAATGCATGGCAACACTAGTACGTACAGAGGATGGCTCTGCGTTAATCGGTCGTTTAAACTAGAATTATAGGCTTATAGCTGTTCAAATTGTAGCTGTAATTTCTTGGTAATATGTTGACAGTCAATAACAAAAGTATTCAATATTTTCCGATAAGGTATATTAAAAAAAAAATAAGAAAACTAACATCTCTTTGACCCAAATTAAACGCAGAAAACTTGGATTATAACAAAACCCGAAATTAAGCATAAATCATGATAAAATCCACAAAGACATATAGCTATAGATGAAACATAAAACCCTTAGTAATATTAGAAGCGTGTGGACTAAACTGAAAAAAAAAAAATTCAGTTTTCACACACCACCACTATTAGATTAGATATCTATAATTCTAAACCATTAAATATAAATATTAAATCATCAAAAGAGAAACTTCAACGGTTCAACCTAAAAAAAAGTTAAATAAAGCTCCTCGTGGTCTCTCAATATCTCATGGACCTCCATTGGCATAAGCAACAACAAGCGCAAGAGCATTACTCGTTACCCTTTTCACTTGCTCAACACGAGGACGAACAGTCGTGTTAATAATCCTCACTGGCTTTTGCATCTCGTCAAAACCATCCGTACACGTCTCCTCCATCGTCATTGCTGCGGTCATATACGTCTGTACGTTATTCATCTGACACCTAAAGGTCTCCACCGGTCCACCCACTGTAACGCCGTCGCACGTACCGTTCTTGTTGCCTAGTTGTCGGAGAGAGTCTCTCATGTAGTCGATGGCTTCTTCAACGTTCGAAACGCAGTCTCGGATCGCGGCGCGAGTTATTTCTCCTTGGGAGTGTTTGGCGGTTACAGCGACGGCGGATTTGGTGAGTTTGGAGAGAAAACCCGCCGTTGATTTGGCTTCCGACATCGAGACTCGGATCGCGAGTTTGGCTAGCTTCGCCGGACTTTTGTGAACGGCGGAGGCGTAACGGGAGAGAGACGTGACGCACAAGTCTGGATATTCTGTGGCGTTGCAGCTCGTTCGGATGAAATCTAGGTCGTTGGTTGTTGTGTTTCGAACATGGACGGCTGAGATCGACTGGGAGATGAAGAGAAAGGTGGTGAAAAGGAGAAACATCGTCGTATGAATTTGGCTAACCATTATTACTGACTTCTTGTTTTGATATTTTTCTTTCTGCTCCGGTAAAAGATGTTTATAGGGATAAGGTTGATGTAATAATCATGGATTTACTAGATCACCTTAGCATTCATTTATAGAAATCACTAACAATTAGTTTCCATAAAAACTCAAATTGCAATACTTATCTTAAACTATCCAAATATATGGTCATCAATACATATATTGGCATCGAATCTTCTACCATAGTTTCTATTTTGTAAAATAACGTAGGAGCACATTCCTTTTATGGCCTTCCTCTCATTAAAGATCAGCCTATCGAGATCGAGACCCGCCTCGTCACCGACTTAAAAAGAAAAGAAAAAGTTGAAGAGATAAAGAAAATAGCGAGAAAAAATAAAAGAATAACAAACAAGAAGATTTCCTAAATTGATATGGAAAGAGAGCTATAGAGCAATTTGAAAACTTAAACACTTTTTAACTATCGCTTTGTTATTTTCTAACCCAAAAACCATCTCAACATATTTTTTGTCAATCTTTTAAGCTTTGACTTGATTATTCTGGTTTAACAGTATATGAATCAAAATTATGCGTGTCTAGGAACAAAGTTCTAATCCATGAAAATGGTGTTGTTATGTTGTATATGATGATAGTAGCTTAGCTTATAGGCTTTCAAATTGTAACCGTCAGTTCTTGGTACTACTTTGACCATACCAATCGATTCAAATATTGCACTGTTAAGACCACCTTGCAAAACAACATCAAAACACACACAAAATTGGAAATATGAGATCTCTCTAACCCCATTATAGAAAACTAAAAACCCAAATTTAATACATTCATACATCAGAATCATATCCATTATCCACATGGAGACGAGGCATAAAGCCATAAACGTACGTACGTTTCAGAAGCTTGCACAGTTAACTTTCAGTTTTCACACTGCACACCACTATTAGATATTTTTATAAATTAAACCCATAACATATTAAATCATCAAAAGAGACACTGAAATTAAAAGTAAAAAATAAATCGTCATGGAGCTCCATTGTTAGCATAAGTGTTAACAAGGGCAAGAGCATTACTCGTTAACCTTTTCACTTCCTCGACACGATCACAAACGGTACTCTTAATTATCCCTCCAGCTTCATCCATACTCTCGAATCCGTCCGTACACGTGTCCTCATCCGTCAATGCTGCACTCATCCACGTCTGCACGTTACTCATCTGAAACCTAAACGTCTCTGCCGATCGTCGAGACGCCGCAACGCCGCCGTTAATGTCCCGCAGCTGTCGGAGAGATCCTCTCATTTCGTCCACCGCGTCTTCGACGTTCGAAACGCAGTCACGGATTGCGGCGGAAGCTGTTTGGTGGCCGTCGGAATATTTGGTGGTGGTGGAGGAGGTTGTTACCGCTGCGGAGCGTGAGAGTTTTGAGAGATAAGCCGCTGTTGATTTGGCTTGTGAGAGCGAGACTCCGATTGCGAGTTTGGCTAGCCTCGCCGGACTGGCTTGAACGGCGGAGGCATAGCCGGCGAGAGACGTGAAGCACACTTGTGGATATAGCGTCGCGTTGCAGCTTGTTCGGATGAAATCTAGGTCGTTGGTTGTTGTGTTTAGTGGTGGAGGAATATGGACGGCTGAGGTTGATCGGGAAATGAAGAGAAAGGTGGTGAGGTGGAGCAACGTCGTCGTTTGGCTTTGGCTTACCATTTTCAGTGATTTTTCGAACTTCTTGATTTTTCTCTTTTCTTTCTCCGGTGAGATTTTAGGGAGTGATTGGCGGTTTATGTAGGCCTCAGGGATGAGGTTGATTTACACTTTAACCAATCCTTGTTACGTGTATTTACTAGATTGCCACTAATCATTTTGTCCGATGTGTGTGAATTCACGGATTAGTTTTTCGGTTACTAGATAAGCCACAAGAACAATATCTACAGTTTCACATTACTATTTTACTATGAACCATATCTGTTAGAGCTGAAATTGGCACAATTTCCCTGAGCCCATCATAATTAATAATATTATGCGAATCCGGCCCGTTTCCACTTCCACCTCCTCAAAGAAAAGGGAATACTTGGAGAAAAAGACTACATCCAAGAAAAATAGAAGGAAATCAACGCCAAAGAATAATATTTCCAAAAGAAATATGAAAGAATATCTTGAAGAAGCCAACCTCCTCTCCATATAAATAGAAGACCCCCTATTCCTTGAAGATCATCCACAATCCTCCAGAAGTATTCAGAAAACCCTAGTCATAATTCGTTCTTTGTTCTAATTTTCTCTCTTCTTTTCGTATTCGTCTCGTCAAGCCTTGTCGTCGAGACGAATCACCCCTTGTATCATCTTTGTCTTTGGTTGATCTAATAAAGAGTTTCTCCTAAACCTCACATCTCTTATCTTACTATTACTATGTGATTTTGAGATCTAACAATATCGTAAAGGAACTGCATGTGGTTTGGTTATGTCTTCTATAATTCCAAGGAAATACAAAAGCTGGAAAAAGCAGTATGAAGACAAAAACCAGCTGATTAAGTTCTGCCTTCTGAGTACTCGTATCCAACAATATTTGTTTACAAATACAAGTGAAAGTTAAATTTGATATTGCATCACATTAGCTCGATTTATACAAAACTATTAAGAGAGTTTATTTCAAGCAACAAAGATTAAGATATTTGTTTTTTAAAAAAACATAGATAAAAGATTCAAGTTACGAGTACTTAGGCTAAATGGTGTATAGAAATATTAAATCAGGTGATTAAAAAAACCCTAAATATTTGAATGAGACCTATAAAAGTTTGGAGGTTCCATGGAGATTGGAGATCCGCTACCTTTTTATTTTTGCGATTGTGGGATGGTGTTTTCATATGCCGTACCAAAGTAATCCGTTAGAGAATATTTGGTAACGCAATATTTTAAACATCATTCATCTCCCATTTCTTTCTTCTTAAATCTTATTTTCATTTTGTTTTACGTCTAATCCTCGGTCGCGTACATATTAAAATCTCAACATTTTTTCACACAGAATTATACTGGTACCGTCTAATTTTGTGGATTTAACGATCCAATTTAGAACAAATTACAAATCAGTGTGAGATTGTGACGTAGGTCAAAAGGTTACATATCCAAATTAGTTGACTATATATGAATCAAAATGTTCAAGGTTTGTAAATGCTATGTATGTGTCATTTTTTGTATAGAGTTTCATAACATCAAGAAAAATTCTGTTTCCTAATTCATTTATTTTTGTGGGCTCTAACAACAAATGAATATATAAACATTAGATTGAATCGCATAACCAATCACATTTCCATGATAACAATGATGTTTCATACTCCAATGCGTATACGATATATCTAAAAGCTCTTAAACTTTTGCATACTAGCTATACGATTTGAAAACCCATTCCTATCATGTCGTTAGGAACTTAGCAATTGAAAAATAAATTTCTTATGGTATTCGACCAACCATGCTTTTTAAGGAGGCATATAAAACTCCACATAATGGTACCTTTTGGGAAAGCAAACACTTAGGGTTATGATGACTATAGATAATAAAGTTGGGGAGGTAGCTGACTTATTGTTATTGCGTAAGACATAGTGTATAAATACACGCATGCATACTCGTTTTATATTTTGTGATATACGCTAAAATTATTTTACAAAGGAGTGTTGGTTGATTAAGAATGTGATGGAGGGTAAGTAACAACTTCTGTGAATTTGTTGTCTTCTTTTAGAAGATGGCCATTGACATTATCTGCGAGGAGGGTCCCTCTTGAATTTAGTCAGCTTTTCAAAAAAACACAATCAAATGATCACGTACATAATGATAACCATAATTAATAACGGACTTTAACTTTCTAGAGATTGCTGGCGAGATTGGCTCAAAATGAAATATTAGATAGGACATAATCAAATAGAGAGGCCACATGGGAACATTTATTCTTCTGACGTTCCCTTTTGTTCCAAAAGCTCTCTCAGCTGACAAGTAACAAACAACCACGATCAAATTATTTTTGAGAAAAACGAATGATATGTTTTAACCGTGGGCTTGATTAATAACCGTTTTATGCTGAACAATAAATAAACGAGAATGTTTTGATATACGTAAATGTAAGAGAAGCAGACTAGTCGTAATACAAACTTAATTTGATGGTTCAAGATTTTGTGAAGGGAACATTGGATTTTGTGTTGTTCTTTTACTCGAAAGTTAACTTGTGAAGTCAAGTGAAAAGTCAAAAGGTTGATTAACCAGCTTCCATTTAACCAACTATCATCATACGTCCGAACGCCGTGAATTATGGCAGCATATATGACTAATCATGCACGGGTTTTTTAGAAGCCGTGGTTAGTTTTTGAAAACGAAAATAGTTTTCGTCTAATATAAGTTTCTCTTTTCTGAATTTGACTCATTTTCCGGTGACATTTTCTTTCTTCCATAGATATGTTTTCAACCGTCTACAATATTATATTGTAGAATTGATTTGACTAATACGTGTAGTTGTTACTAGTTAGCTAGTGGTTCATGTTAACGTTTTTTTTTTGATAACTCTGGTATCCGGGCAGCTACATTTCCGACTATCCCCACAAGTGGGGTCCAGCACCCCAACGGAAGGGATGTTAAATCCGTTGTGGCCGGGACTCGAACCCAGATGGCGGGTACCTCAGCTGAGGGTCCTTTAACGTTTCCGGTAAGTTACCATTTACCAATTCATATTAATCGTTTGCTCAAAAAAAAAAATTTACCAATCATATTCAAACTTGAATACTTGTTAGCATCAATGTTAGCACATTAACCTTTAAGTTCATTTAGCTCCACATGCACGTCTTGATGTATTCATACAAAAACTGTTTTAATCTGGCTGTATCTTCAAAAACCTTACTTAAACTTTCTTACAGAGACTACTTAACCTAAGCATTGTTCGTATTTGGTAAGGATAAGTGATGTTTTGTTTTCATTATTTTTAATGCATTATATGTCGACGATTAAATTAGCAACAATCATTATTGTTTTATCGTTTGTTTAACCATGTATTGTAGAGATATATCGCTATTTCAAAATGTAAAAGACTGTAGTTTAACGATTGAAATTTGAAATTTTCGGTCACTACACTAGTCGTTGTAACTTGATACTGAAAAATATTTTCAGTCGGAAACAACAAATCGATTTTTTTTTTACCCTGTACTATTATACTCTCTGGTCGCTGTCGTTCTTCGCTGTGTTCATCAAACTAATATCGTTCGTCGTTATCACTCTCACCTAAAGGATTGTTTAAACGGGCGTTAGGCCCAACATGATCTAATTAAAGCAGCCCAAATAGACTCGGTGATCAAAGTTCGGTTTGTTTGGCATTGCTTCATCGCTTAAAGGATAAGAAAATCAAATTAGTAAAAGAGAGAGAAATTTTAGAAACTGAAAAAGCTTTGATAAAACATGAGGACAGAGGAGAAGGAAGAAGAAGAAGAACAACAATGGCGATCAGTCCACGAGGTTCTACTGATTGTTCTTCCTTATCTTCACTCTCTGTTCGAGCTTCTCTCTATGACTCGCGTTTCGCGTTCGTTCAGAGACGCCATCAGAGACGAAACCGCGTTGTGGACAAACGTCGTCGTCGAACCACCGCTGAGCTCTCGTCTAACCGATGATACTCTATCGGAGATCACTTCGAAATCAGCCGGAAAACTGAATACTCTGATCCTCCGTCAATGCCTTCGAGTCACCGACAACGGTCTCCGACGTGTGATCGACGCGAATCCTCTCATCACAAAGGTACTCTCTCTCTCTCGTCAATTTCTGGATTTCGATTTTAGATTAGAATTTCGCTGATTCAAATTGAAAATTTTGTCTCAGATGATTGTTCCGGGATGCACGGAATTGACTCCAGAAGGAATCATGAAATGTGTCTCAAGCTTGACGAAGCTGGAGACACTTCACATCAATGGCGTCTACGGCTTCACCAAACACCACATCTCATCACTCTCTTCCACATACCTGCCTCGGGAGGGATCAATCGACGTGGAGGTCTGTCCCAAATGCGACGAAGTCAGGATGATTCCATCTTGCTCAAGACGATCATGTGTAAGTGATTTGGATAGAGAAGACTCTTAATAATACTAATAACTAACATGCTTCTTGGTTGATTGAAGAAGCAGAGGCAAAGCAAGGAACGCAAGTGCAAGGGATGCTGGTTTTGCGTATCTAGATGCGTGGAGTGCTCGGTTTGCCTAGGGCCAGAGACTGAGGTTCAAGAAGCAGCTTGCGGTGGTGATGTTCTCTGTCTCGAGTGTTGGATTGTGCTTCCCAAATGCTGTTTCTGTAACAAACCATATTGCACGAGCCACAGCAGCCTGCGGCATGAGATTGCAAGCAGTGATGATGCTGCTGCTGCGGCGGCTAGGCCCATGTTTGAATGCCAAGCTTGTTACTATAGGGAAGGTACAAACCCTTATGACGCTTTCGACTATCAAATCTAAATACACCAACACTTTGTTCTCTTCTCTGCATCTTTTGTTCATCTTGTACTTTGTATGTGTAAAGCTTGGGATTATTATGATAATATTCAGTGACATTGAAAGAAAGAAAGAATCAAGCTTTTCAACACAGGGATTAGTTACAACCGTCGATGATCCTGAAGCCGAAACCTACCCTCAAATGAACTCCTTGTTGAAAGGAGATGATCAACAAAACTGGGTAGACAATCCAAGCGTTTGCAAGAAAGAAGTTAACAATCAAGAGAAACAAGAATCGGAGAGTTGCTCATGTTCTTTTTCAGAGTTTTCTACAAGAATACTAAGGCAATGATCAGTAGAAGGGAGAGGAGTGTTAAGTCAGTGAAAGAAGCGTGATGGTGATGATAGCCAGAGGTTGTTGAGTTTGCTGATGGTGCCAACGCATTGGTTGTGTTCCCAAGTGTCTTATTGCTTTTCGCACTGCAAAGTCAAACACAACAGCAGTGAGCTTGATTAAAAGTTTGAACCTTGTTGTTAGAAGAAGAAGAAGAAAGTTACCTTCCAGGGAAGACGCACCTTCCTCGACCTGCAGAGAGACACAGAAGAACACAATTTTTCAGAAACAGAGCAAAAGATCTAATCTTTATCTATCTGCAGGCGGGTTTAGAGTCAAACATACTTGGATCAGTAGTGGTGACTGTAGCAACTCCTTTGAAATCACAGCTTCCTGAAGCTTTTCCCATCTTCTGGTAATAAGCATTAAACGCATAAGTAGAATGCGCAACCACATCGTCCGGCTCATAGCACGCCTCCCCCTGCATCAGCGCCGAGCAATCCACTTTCCCCGGACCGCAAGCCCAATCAAGAGCCGCCTGAAGCATCTTCCTATCAACTCTCTCCTTGGCTACACAAAACGTCTGGTTCGTAGTGTCATTAGCAAGAACCGCACCAGCACCCGCCAAACGCAGAGTGTAAACAGGAGTCCCGTTCGTATGAAACAACCCCCAGTTTTTCTCAGAGACCGGTCCTGGCCTCAGATCCTCATTGTAAAGCTCGTAGATGTACGTAGTCACCGCGGTTCCGGGGTGTTTCGGCGTTCCAGTCTTGTTGACCACGTGCTGGATCAAGTTACTGTTGTAAGTGTTTGCGTTCTCAACCGTAGCGTCGTGCTCCGATGAGTCTCCTTTAGACGGCCATCCAGATTCCGTGACCACGATCGGAATGTTGGTGAAGTTGAGATAAGACATTGCGAAGTACGCCGCGTCCACGAGGGCGTCGAAGACGTTAGTGTAATGTAGCAAAGTGTTGGCGTCGACAGCTTCTTTGTTGGCCTGGAGAGGCTGGAAGAGCGCGTAGTCGAGCGGGATCACGCCGTTGGAGTTAACGTAGTCGAAGTAAGGGTAAACGTTGAGCAAGAACGGCGAGCCAGTGGACTGGAGGAACTTGAGGAGAGGAACGATGACTGGATCCCAAGTCTTGTTGAAGAAAGCTTGAGAAGGAGGGAAAGAGTCGAGAATGATGGAGGAAGCGTGAGGCGTCGAGACTTTGATCTGACGGTCGAGGTTGGCTGTGACTAGAGCGGCTTGGATGTATTTGAGGGCGGAGACGAGGACGGAAGCTGCGTTCGGGAGAGAGGTCAGGACTTCTGACCCGACGGCGATGGTGGTGATGTTTGTGGCGGGGTAGTACGCGGCGACGTTTCTTGCGACCCAGTTGGCTGCGGTTGCGTTTGATTGGCTGATGCCGAGAAGCTGCTCGTTTGGGACTGAGATGATCACTTGGACGCCGGTGTGAGCGAACGCTAGGAGCATTGAGCGGTCTGCGTCGAAGAGACGGACGCGGTTTATGCTCTGTGATTTAAGGAGTGTTACTACTTGTGTTGGACTTGGCATGTTCGTCACTCCTGTGCCAATATTCACACCGATTGAATCTGAAAATACAAAATATTAAAGAAAAAACGAACATTTAGCATTTAGCATATGTATTAACGAAATCATGTTTTAGTGCAATTAGCATGAAAATCAGTAAATTGGTCGGTTCAGTTCTGAGTTCTCAATTAAACAATTAAATATCAAATGCAAAAGAGTCAAAAAGTTTTATATGTATGTGGAAACACACTAATGTTGAAAAGTCGAGAATAGACTTGGGAGAGGGTATGGATTGAGCTGAGCTACGAGGGCAGTTTAGTCCAGTTACAAAATATCAGATTGCAAGAGTATGTACTGGAAGCATATGAGCTGGGTTGCAATAGCCTTGAGATTCTCATTCCAATAAAAAAGATGGAAGATTGGGGAAAAAGAAATAAAGATGGAAGATTTTTAAATAAAGTCTTCATCTTTATTCTGGGGAAATGTAAAAACTAAAAACCATTGATGAAATGAAGAATACACAGAATCTCGAATCGAGAAAATACAAGAAATTCCCTGAAAATATCAGCTTTTTATTTTCTTTCTTGCATTTGGGAAGAAAGAGATATTACGAACTAACAGTTGCAAGAAAAGGAACAACACATTGTCTAATTAGTAGGCATAAACATATAACAGAGAGATCTCTTCCAGCGAAAGAACACACAGAGAAACAGACAAGACACAAGAACCATAAAGTAGAATAAGATTCAAATTTTTATTCCTTCTCCAGGAGAGAGAGAGAGAGGGGGAGAAAAATCAACAAATGGGTTTTAGTGGATTTGAAGATTATGAGAAGAAATTTTACCTTGAGAGAGAGCAGAGCTTGCAAAGAGGAAAAGAAAGAGGAGAAGAAGAGCAGCCATTGATGGAGCTTCAAATTCTTGGAGATGCTTTGATTTGCCTCTGAAGCATAAAGACAAAGACAAGTCTCGAGGTTCTCTGAAGTAACCCACGAGAACAAAATCCAACCAAGACAAAAAATATATAATATATAAAAAAAAAAGAGAAAGAAAAAAAAGGAGAAACAGAAAGAAAGAATCAGTTCGCTTCAAATTTGGGTGTCTTGAGTTGTTTCTTCTTTTAATTTGCTGAAAAAAATGTATCGTACCACAAAATAATAATAATTTATTTTTCGGTGGAGAAAAATACTTTTATTTTTCGTCTAAAATGACATTTGTTAATAAAATGTTCTAGGATTCTTTTCCTTTTCATTCAAATTTAAGGTAAATAAATTAATTGTCTTTTTATTTATTGGCAGTGTCTTAAGTATTTAATTTTGTAGTGGCAGTGAATTACAGTTGATTCAGCTCAACGGTCATCTATGCATTTTTTTTTCTTCCAAATTTTGGTTTCTTATAAGTTTAGATCTAGACTATTTATATACTTCATGATCACGAGCAATCATTTTTCTGGTTTTTTCTTACAATTTTTCTTTTCATATATGAGAGATTCTTAAATCTTTTACAGGCTGGATTTTTTGTTGTTGCTTTCGTCAGTCTTTTTGTTGCTCATCTTTTTCTTTGTTATTTTCTTCTTGCCATTTCCGGTCTAAATAAGGTTCGTATCTCTAAGTTTTTACTTTTTAAATCCACCCTTCATTTTCATAGTATCTTATTATTATTACAAAGCCAAAATTTATGTCAGAAAGAATAGCAAAAAGAACAAAAAAAAAAAAAAAAAAAAACTAAAAGAAATGTTTCCCTTTGGGCTCATAATGGGCTAACGTAACTGTCGAAAATCGCACTATCCGGGTCGGGTCATAAGATCCGGACTTTGAAAAGTATTCAGAATCCACCACTCTCCTTGTTCATCTAAAAGACAAACCCTAAAACTTTGTTCGATCAACTTTCGCCATTACTCCCAAAGTTTGAAATCGTTGAAGATTCAAGATACTCTGATCTTTCCAGAATGGGCAAACCGAGCAAAGGGTTCGGCTTTTTTCTTCTCTTGTTCCATCGATCATTCATCTGAGCTCAGATTTTATTTGATTTACTGATTGTCAAGTTTCTGAAACGCTTTCAGATCGGATACAGGTTCGAAATCTAATAAGAAATTCGAGAAGAAGCTCCAATTCTACACAAGTAAGCCCTGATTTGTCTCGAATTTGAACAAATATCAATTGGATTGCAATGTGAATTTAAAATATTTCCGAAAAATTGTGTTGCGTTATGCAGAGGTTAAAGATACACTTGCTTCTTTGTCCGTCCAAAAGGAGATTGGAAAGGTAAAAACACTTTTCTTCCTCTTCATTGTTGATCCCATTTGCAGAAAGTAGTAATCTTTGTTAAGAATGTTATGAAAAAATCTCAACTTTCTTGTTGCTAACAAAGAGAAATTCGAATTATGGTTTTGATCAGAAGAAGAAAATCCACAGCCGTCAAAAGAAACTAAAGGCGTATGATCTCTCCACACTCTCAGAGTTTCTTCCAGAGTTTAATGCCTCGCAGAAATCAGCTCTTCCTGCACCAGACTTGAAGATGAACTGCAAAAGGAGACAAGAGCTAGTGTACGTCTCCATTTCCATTTTATGGTTTAAAACTTTGCTTCTTTCTTGCAACTGAAATGATTGTATTGTGTGTGTGTGTGTGTGTAGAGTAACGGAAGGGGAAAGATTGAACAAGGTTCTAGAGCATCCAGCTTTCCAAGCCGACCCAATGGGTTCGATATTTCAGCACTTGCAGAGTCAACAGCCTCCCGTGGAAGAAAAACCCAAGAAGAAGGCTAACACAAACGGAAGCAAGAAAAGGAAAGTGAAGAAGAAGGCCAAAGCAGATTCCATGGATTTCTGATTTTTGAGTTATTATTAGTACACTCTGTTTTGTATAAGGACCAAGATTTTGGGTATGATGATGAATCTTTCGAATTTGACTGTTATCATTATTGCGTAAAGTACACAAATGTTTCCATAAACCCTATAATGTGTTCGAATCACAAACACACGAGACAAATCTGTAAAACTTAATTCAATGGTTCTTCAAGCCAAATCTTCAGTGGAACACAAATGGTCACGAGAGTGGCTCGCTGATCTCGAGGAGCTCATTGCAGAGACCTGTGAAGACGAGAGAGTCAGTTTCAATCGGCCTAAACCTGATGAGCGCAGACGGAACAAGCTCTTCGTCCTCCAGAGTGATCGGTTTCTGTCCCGGAGCTGGCGTATGCGGAATCACACGCCGTTTAACCAGCACCGGATCCAATAGCTCGAACTCCAAACTCGGCTCTTTCAATGCAGAGCTCACAAACTGAGATAACAAAAACAAAATAAATTTCAAACTTTTGTTCTTAACTTAGTTAAAAAAACTCAAACTTGGTGTGTTGGTTAACCTCGTAGAGAGCAATGGTTTGTTCCCAAGGAGCAAACACACCTTGAAGCACAACTCCATCTGGAAACTGCACTCTTATCATACTCCTCTTGTACCTCTTCCTCGCCGCTTTCGCTTGCTTCTCCTTGTAAGACCTCGGGATCAAAAGCTGCGACTCCGCAATCTTCTTCCTCCTCAAATCCGCCTCTCTCTTTATCTCATCAGCAGAGAGGCTGTAGAACGAGTCAGGCACCTCTATCCTCGACGCTACGCTTTCAGGAACAGAGAAGAAGACACGAATCTGAAACACACAAGAAAACAACAACTCAACTCACTAAAACAAGAATCTCACTTATCTCCCAATCTTTAGTCTTTACCTCTCTATCGATCTTCTTTGGAGCCTCTGCTACAAGAACAACCTTGTCATCTTTCTTAGGCACATCTCTCTTCTCTAGAATCTCGACAACTTTATTGATCAACTGAGATTGTTCTTCTCGAGGAGCTTCCATAACCGCCCAAACCTCACCATTTTCTTCTTTCAGTTCGAATCCGACGAGCTCGAGAAGCTCGACACCTCCGGGGACATCACCGATGGCTTCTTTGATCTTAGCATTGCTCATTCTGATCTTCCTAAACTTGCCATTCTCAGGCTCTTTCACTATGTTCTTAAGCAGCCTAAGCAAAACACCAATCGAGCTCTCCGTTGGTTTCCCGGAGAGATACAAAACCACGAGCTTCTCTGTTTCGGATTCGTCGTTATTATCCTTCTTCTCGGACTCGGATGATGCAGATTCGTCTCCGTTATTGGTCTCGATACAGGTCTCTACGTGGAGAGAGACTTCTTCCTCCGACGTGAATGGAGTTTTACAGATGGGACACTCGAACATGTTGAGAGAGTAACCGTTCTGAGATCTGTTGGAAGAGGTGATCAACGCACCGTACGGGTCGAATCCGTCTTGTGGAGGAGGAGGAGGAGCACGAACCGGATCAGGATCCGGATTTCTCGTTGACCCGGAGGATAACGGAGCTGAAGAGGAGGCGCTCGATGGCGGAGATGGAGAAGGTTTGGGTCTGGGAGTCGGATTTGGATTCGGAGTTTGGGAAGGGTTAAACCGGCTTTGAATCGGGTTAACGGGTGCGGAGGAAGAAGAGGATCCGAGAACTCTGCCGGAGCCTTTGAATTTGCCGGAGGAAGAAGAGATATTGACTTTCTTCATGAATCCTTTTAACTTATCCTTAACGTCGTCCATCTTTCTAAGTCTTCGAAAAGAGAATTGAAGCTGCAAAGCTTTTTTAAGATCTTTCTGAGATAACTTATCAGATAAGAAAATGACGGAAAAGTATTGTGAAGGAACTCAGAAGAGAATGGTGTTTTGTTGTGGTCGGCGAAGAATTTTTGGTTCTGGTTTTGTTTTGCATCCCTTTTTTCCTTACTTGAGCCAAGAAAATATTGTGATTACTGCGGCATAACTCGAATTGATGGGCCGGTTTGGGCCAAACATTGTATTGATTATAATATTCGTGCCAGTTGCTTTTAAGTCCATAAACATAGAGGTGGCTGTTTTCCGACTGCTATAATGGGAACAAAACCATTTTGGGAAACTAACAATTATTGGTCAATGCTATACGGAAAGATGGATGAGGACTGAGGAGAATGTTATTATGGCTTGTTGGTAAGATAATTGGCTGTTCGAGTCTATGCTGAAACCCTTGGTGAAATTTTACTAGCTTATTAGATGATGCACAAGGTTGAGCTTGTTCTGATAGGGATGAGATGGTGAATCTACTAGCTGGCCGTACAGTTATCTCTAGAAGAATCAATGAGATGGCGTGAACGAAATGATTTATTCACATAGAGTATGATGAGCTCTATAATAAGTCTAACTTTGAATACAAGAAATCCAAATGAAGAAACTACTTATTGTTTTAAAACAAGGAAATAAATGAAAGAAAATAACTAATTGAAACTTAAGAAGTTCCTGCAAATCAAAAAAGAAACTGATAGAGTAAACTAGGGAAGAGAGAGACTGAATAGTAGAATGTGAATACAAGCAAAGAGGATCTCCATCACACTCGATCTTATCCTAGAGTTTCATGGCGACTCTTTCAACTCAATAGCTTCTCTACTTGTAAATGCATAAAGAACAAATCAATAATAGAGCTACTATTTATTTATCCGTTAGCTTGTTTGTGTAACCGTAAACCTTCTCTCTCAACTAGAAGGTTGACTAACAAACTCTTCTTCTCCTGTCAACAAAACACGTGGATCTTTCTTCTTTTTTCAATAATAGGTATTATGCACTCTATCAATACCCTCCCCTTCAAAAACCAGCTTGTCCTCAAGCTTATCATTAGGGAGCTACTTGAAAAACTCTGCTGACTGCACCCAAGTGCTCTCATGATTTGGTTGTCCCTTCCACCTGATCAACGACTCGACACAGCCTGTTGGACCATGGCGTTTTGCGAGTACCTCTTTTGGTTCCAGATCAACAGTATGCAAGTCAGTCACTGCAGCAGGTAATGGCTGAAGCTCATGCTCATTGCCTATAGCCTTCTTCAACTGTGAGATATGAAAAACTGGATGAATTTTTGAACCTGAAGGCAATGTCAATTTGTACGCCACCATACCAACTCGCTCCAAAATTGTATAAGGCCCAAAGAAACGTGCTGCTAGTTTAGGACAAAGACGCTTCACCACCGTATGTTGCCTATACGGCTTGAGTTTCAAAAAGACTTTATCACCCACTTCAAATTGTAGATCACGATGATGCTTGTTTGCCGATACTTGCATCAAATTTTGAGCCCTTTGTAACTGAGATTTAATGTGCACTAGCATCTCATCTCTATCTTTAAGCATCTCTTCTAACTAAAAATTCGTCGTAGAACCCGCCTCATACTTCAGAATAGTCAGAGGTTCACGTCCATAAATCACCTTGAATGGAGATGTCTTCAAAGAAGTATGGTACGAGGTATTATACTGAAGCTCTGCCTAAGGAAGCTACTTAAACCAAGTCTTAGGGTGCCCTAAAGCAAAACAGCATAGATAAGTCTCCAAGCATCTGTTCAAAACTTCTGTCTGACCATCTGTCTGAGAGTGAAACGCAGGACTGTAGTTGAGTTTTGTGCCTTCGAGTCGAAACAACTCTTTCCAGAACTTGCTTAAGAAAATCTTATCTCTGTCAGATACGATCGAACATGGAAACCCATGAAGACGCATGATCTCTGAAATGAAACTTTGTGCCACATCCACTGCTGAGAATGGATGACGAAGCCCAATGAAATGACCATATTTGCTGAGACGATCTATAACCAGTTCTGTGTTCAAATCATCGGTAATCGTTAATCGGGCGGTCGGGTCGAATTTTGGGATTTTTCAAAAAAAACGGGGATTACTCGGGGATTTTTTTTTTCCATAATCTTATTAAACATATATATATATATAATAGTTGACACAATTCTGTGAATAAGGCGTGGTCTAGTGGCTCGCTGGGTCTTGTTAGGACCTCAGTGTCATGTGTTCGAACCTCAATATTGTTAATATTTTGTTTTTTTTTTGTTTAATGAATTGCAAAAATACAAAAATACCCCGTCTTCCTTCTTTGTCTCCAACTTTTTTACCCTAATTTTCGTCGCTCCAATTTTTCTTTGCTCATTGTTGTGATTTTTTTCTTACTTTTCATGTAGTTTTTACTTAGTTTTGAATCAAATGAAAACTGGATCCAAATTACACGAAAATTGGCACTTAATTGTTAATATTTTGTTTTTTTTTTGTTTAATGAATTGCAAAAATACAAAAATACCCCGTCTTTCTTCTTTGTCTCCAACTTTTTTACCCTAATTTTCGTCGCTCCAATTTTTCTTCGCTCATTGTTGTGATTTTTTTCTTACTTTTCATGTAGTTTTTACTTAGTTTTGAATCAAATGAAAACTGGATCCAAATTACACGAAAATTGACACTTAAACCCAACCAGTTACACACAAAAATCATTGACATCAGTCAACGTTTGACTTAGTGGAAATAACCTCCGATTTTCATTAAATTGCTCGGTGGCCTGCCGTTCAACGATTTTGTGACTGATGTTTTGCTAAAATCGGCGATTTTTTTAACACAGATAACCACTATTATCACATTGAAGCCAAACGACACTGGTAATCCCTCTACAAAATCCAAACAAACATCTTCTCAAACTGTATTTGGAATAGGTAAAGGTTGTAGTAATCCAGCTGGAGATAATGTTGGATATTTGTATTGTTGACACACCAAGCACTTTGAGGCGTAATGCTACACTCCCTTGTACATTCCCTGCCACTGGAAAGCCAATTGTATACGCTTGACTGTCTTTAGAACACCCGAATGACCTCCGCTCTGACTGTCGTGACACTGACTGATAATGATCCGAATGAAAGTAGAATCCTTGGGTATGACTAGACGTTAACGGAACCAAAGCTGCTCATTAATGACTTCATAATCAGAGGACGCTAAACCCTACTTCACTTGTGAGATGGGCATCTGAATATGTTGATCAGCTTCAATTTCTTTGTTAAGATCGTGAAGTTGTAAGGCCTCTGGTGTAGTCAAAGCTAATAACGTAGAACTGATCAGATCCGACTTCGTTGGTATGCAAGATAAACCATTTGCTGCCTTGTTCTCACACCCTGGTTTGTACATGATGTCAAAGTCAAATCCCAAGAGTTTTGTAAGCCATCTATGATATTCCAAAGTCACCTCTTTCTGTTCCAAAAGATACTTAAGCTCCGTTGATCGGTGTGTATTACTTCAAATTTTCTTCCCACTATGTAGTGTTTCCATTTCATGACCAGTGGCGGAGCTAGAGAGGTGGCAGGTGGGTCAGCTGACCCAGGTGGAATAGGATAAATAAATTTTAATGTACCAAATCTTCAATAAAACTAGCAGCTCAATTAGTATACTTATAGGCAATGACCCACCTGAAACCAAGTTCGACCCCCTATGACCTCTTTAACAAAAGCTTTCTTCTACATTGTTGTATTTTTTATAACAAATTTTTTTGTTATGACCCTTATGAAAAAAAATCCTAGCTCCGCCACTGTTCATGACTGCCATGACGATAGCCATAAGTTCTCTCTCATAAGCCGGTTTCAATTGTTCTCGTGTTGTGAGGCCGTGACTGAAAAACGCTTTCAGTTTCTTCTCCTACATTAAAACTGCTTCCACTCCAAACCCTGAAGCAAATGTCTCGAAAACAAACACTTTCTCAAAATCTGGCATGGCTAACACCGGTGTTGTTGACATTGCCTCTTTCCACTGATCAAACGCAAGTTGTGCTTTTCCTGACCATTCAAACTTATATTTCTTCAACAAATCTGTCAAGGGTCGTGCAATAACTCCATATCCTCTGGCAAATTTTTGGGCAATCCCAAGAATCCTCTGAGTTCTTTCACACACTGTGGAGCTGGCCATTTCAACATTTTTGTCGTCTTTGCCGCATCAGAGGCTACTCCTACTGCTGAAATGATGTGTCCCAAGTATTCCACCTGTGGTATCCCAAAAACACATTTGTTCTTATTAGCGAGGAGGGTCTGCTCTTCAATGACTCGGAGACACCCTCTGTAAATGCTCGGCATGTTGTTCTACACTCGAGCTATAGATAAGAACATCGTCAAAGAATACCAAAACAAACTGATGAAGGAAAGACTTATAAATTTTGTTCATCAAGCCTTGAAACGTTGCTGGAGCATTTGTAAGCCCAAATGGCATGACAAGAAATTCATAATGTCCCTCCAATGTACGGAAAGCTGTCTTGTGTATATCGCGTTCCAGCATACGAATTTGATGGTAGCCTGAACGTAAATCCAGTTTGGAAAGATTGATGCACCGTGCAGCTCATCCAATAGTTGGTCAATGACCGGAATTGAGAATTTCTCTGGGATTGTAGCTCTGTTTAGTGCACGGTAGTCGATACAGAATCTCCAAGCATTGTCCTTCTTAGGTACTAACAATACTGGGCTAGAGAAAGGGCCAGAACTAGGTCTGATTATTCCCGCCTCTAACATCTCTGCTACCATCTTTTCTATTACCACTTTAATAGCATGAGGTTACCTATAGGGTCTTACTGAGATACTTGTAACTCCTGGAGCAAGGTTTATTGCATGCTCTTGACCTCTAAATGGTTGTAACCCTCTTGGATCAGCAAAACCTTCATTGAATTGATCCAAGACAGTGGTAATTGGTCCCAGAACTGTTTGAAGGCTGACGGGTGTCAAACTACTGAGTAACAGAGGTGTTTCATTTGCTTGAAGTCTTGTTTGGGTTTAAGTATGGAGAAGGAACTGACTGGAGTTTCAATAAGACTGAGCTTCAAGGAGTTTGGGAGATAATCGCTGATGGAGTTTACTCATCTTCAAGGTTTAAGGCTGCTCAAATCAGGAGTCCAGTCCTTAGGTATGTGCACAAAGAGCTGGGCAATACTTTCTTTGCAAGAAAGATCACATGAACCATTACAGAAAGAGAGCTTCAGCTGCTTGATTTAGGGATCAAACCACTTCTTCATTTCATGAGAAATGGGAACTCAATCCATGGAGACACTTCAGATATTGGAACCTTCATCCCTTTCTTGGATCAGCAAATGAACTACAGAATCACTGCTTATGCAAACCGATGTACATATTGAAACATATTGAAACAAATATTAATCAATCCTTTCATGATTCATAATCATATTGAAACACATAGCTTGAGCTCTAGAGAAGAGCTTTCATTTGCTTGGAGATGATGAACAAGGTTGTTTCCTTGGTTCCTTGTAAAACCAGAAAAAATGGTGTTGGCGATGACTTGAATGGTACAACATTCTCTTCTTGCATTCCTCTTACTCTTATGATCTCGGCCTCTTGATGCTTCTTTGTGAGCTCTTGTCCCTCTTCTAAGTCTAAAGCCTTTGGAGTCTTTTGTGTGATCTCTGTTGTGAGCAACTTCTCTTTGAGTTCTTCAGGCTTCATAAGCAACTTCTCTTTGAGTTCTTCAGGCTCCATAAGGGTGATCAAGCTCTCTATTGATTGGTTAAACTCTTCTCTCATGCTTTATTGGTGATCTGCTCCTCATTATCGTTCAGGTTAGGATCGATGGCCTCATCATTAGATGTAGAATTCACATTTCAAAAGAAGATGAGTATACTTTGTAGCTCATAGTAAAATAGTTGTTATTCAGGTAGTTCGGCGATCAAATGGATGGATACCCAAGGTATCTAACAAAACAAGTGATTTTACACAATCAAATTGAGATATTTGCTCGCAGTGCATGATTTGAAGTTGAATTATCTTTCAGCAAAAATAAAATAAAAATATCGATTTTAATTACCAACAACAACAAAAATATCGTCCTTCCGTTCCATATGCATCATCTGCTAAAGAAAATTTGGAACATTCGAACAAAACCAAAAAATATGAGTCTTCTTCTGGAAGGAATTACTCGGCACTCCACGTCAGTAGCGAAGCAGTTGGTCACGAGTCACGACTCACAAGAGTGATGAATGGTGGCCACTATCTGTTATAAGAGCATCTCCATCCCTGTATCTAAGGAGGGTTTTAAGAAAGTTTTATGCAATTAAATGGAATTAAGAAAAGGGAAAAGAAAATAAAATTGTGGAACCAGGTTTTTAGCAAGAGATTTTCGTCTTGGTTTATAACCCGACACGCGTCGAGAGGATATTAATGCGGCGTTTGAAAAAAAAAACAAAAAATAGAAAACTCAAATTTTTTCTCTCTTTTCTCTCTCTCTCGTTCTTTCCGCCGAATCGAATCGGCTTCCCTCAGTCGATCAGGCTCTGTCCGATGTATGATCGGAAAAGATTATCTTGGTTTCTCTCTTTCTCGCCCCGTATGGCTAACCTTTGTCGCCCTACCACGAATCTCACTCTCTCTGTCCATATCTCTCTATTTCTCTTCCACCAAGAGGTTTCCGGTCACGATTCTTTTCTTCATCTACACCGTCGACGGACTGAGCAAGGCGTCGCTTCTTCTGCACTTGTGGATCTCACTGGACGCCGATCCGAAAAGCTAAGTCTCTTCTCTTATCGATGAAAATTGGTTTTGTATGTATGTGTTTTCGTTTTGGACTATCTGATTTTGACTCTTGAGATTTTAACTTCAAAATATATGCAATTGATTGTGTTTTTTCCCCCTTTAGACCTTGAAAATATAGCTTATGTTTGTGTTTGGTTGAGATTGTTTGATGCAAGTGACTGTGTTCTCTTACTTGTGTGGAAGTTTAATTCTATTAATTTGATGTATAAGTATAGCAATTTTTTCACAAGCTCATCATAGTATTTATTATTTTGATTTGGTTTTCACATTTGGATGTATTTCCATGATTAGGTGCAAGGTTCATTGGCTGGTGGTAGCATAACCTTTGAGGCAAGCAGCAAAATGGAAGGCTAGACCATCAAAGATTCATAGGTAATCTCTGTTCCTCTTAGTAGTGTTCCTAACTGAGTAGATGATAGGTTTTGTTTGTATTGTTCTCTATACAACTTATGTGAAATCGTTTTTGCTTTCATTGCTTTGTTGCCTTTTCATTAAATGGAATGTTTTGTCTTATTCAAATTGTAAAATAGTTGAAATGATGTGTGTTAGTTGTTAGGTGATTCATCATTAAAGTTTATGGTTATGCGAAAGGATGGGTTTCATTGCTTAGTTAGAGTTTCTTTGTCTCTGGTAGCTAACTAGAAGTTTAGGTTAGTTGCTTTTGATTTCATTGTTCATTGTTTAGTTACGGTATCATTAAATGGAATGGTTTTGTCATTTTCGTAATTGTGAAATATTCTGGTTATGCACTGCATTGGTTTGGTTTCACTGATGTCTTATTTGGTAGATAACTAGTTGTGTAGGTTAGTTTAATGTGATGTGATTACTGTGGTTGAAAATAAGTCTTTAATGCGACAAGAGTATTGTGGTCGTAGTTCATTGATGAGTTGTGTAATGATGTGTGTTGTGTAACCATTGATTGATTTTTCTTTTCTTTATAATCAAGAAGTTGATCTCTTCGAAAACACATACCAGCTTCCTTCTCGGCTCTTTTTCCATTTCCTTTTCGTGATCTTCTCTGCTCTCTTTCGTGCTCTTTCTTTTCCATTTACTTCTCCTTCAACCTCTCAAGGCATAGATTTAGGCTCACCCGAAGTTCCATTTTACTCTCACTCGCCTGATGCTCCGGTGGTAGAGGAAGAGACTCTTAAGAAGCGTAAAGTCAGAAGAAAGTGGGGTCCAAGAGAAGATAATGTCCTCATCAGCGCCTGGCTAAACACAAGCAAAGACCCTATCGTTGGCAATCAACAGAAAGCAGGAACGTTTTGGAAACGTATCGCTGTCTACTTTAACTCAAGTCCTAATGTGGCTGAACTTCCACCAAGAGATCAAACAATCTTGAAGCAGAGGTGGCAGAAGATAAACGACTTGGTTAGCAAGTTTGTTGGTGCCTACGAGGCAGCCAAAACTCAGACAACCAGTGGCCAAAACGAAAACGACACTCTCAATCTGGCTCACCAGATCTTTCACAACGATCACCACATCGCCTTCACACTAGAATATGCTTGGAAAGTTCTTCATAATGACCAGAAATGGTGTGCTTCATTCAATACCAAAACTGGTGGAAGTTCAAAGAGAAGAAGGGGTGATGGAAGCTCGCCAATAGTTTTAGAGGATGTGGATGAAGCCATGGCTCAGCCTATATGAGTGAAATCAGCAAAAGCGAAAGCTAAGAAGGGCACACAGGAAAGTGGACCCATTTCCGCGAAATACGAGAGCATGTCCGCTGAGAGGAAGCAAGACTTAGCCATGAGGGAAAGGCTGTCGAAGCATGCAGTTCTAGATAGTCTGCTAGCTAAAAAGGAAACACTTAGTGAGAAAGATATTGTTTTCAAGGAGAAGCTACTCGATTTCATGCTGTTAGATTAGCTTCTATGTGTTTTCTAGGATCTAAATGCTATGAATTAAGTTCGGCTTCTATGTTTTCCATGTTCTCATAACTTAAATTTGGTTTTGCATGTCTTCAGTAAGTTAGTTTTGAGTTTGGAAAACATTTTCCCTTTGTAATTTGTCTTTCCTTTCTTCGGATAATAAGTGTTTCCGGATTTTCATGTGTTTTGTACCATCGAATGATATAAACATGTTTTTTTAGTTTGGTTTGAATTTGAAAGTGATTAACATTGGTTTGTTTCTTGTTTGGTTTCTATTTTACAAGTGATTAACATTATTGCTGAAGTTGAATGTTCAACGAGATACACATGAAGATGGACTTGGATGGAAGGCAGCCACATCTCTCAGGTTTGTTAACTTATCTCTGGTTTTCTTTGGATTAGTTATGGTGCTTGTTCTTGATTTTGTTGCTTGTTCTTGATTTCCGAAATCAATGTTTATACTTAACGTTCCTTGCTGTTATTACATTACATTTATGAAGTTGATACTTAATGATTCTTGTGTTATTACTTAAAGGAACATATTAGCTTTGTGGTTTTGTCTTAGGATTAGTTCTTCTCTTTCATTGTTGCTTATGACTTATTTACTAATATTTGTTTTAAATTGCAAAGTATCAGACAAGATAGTCTATTGGGGTGATGGAACATGAGTAAAGACACAAAGCTTACTCACGTGAAGGCAGAAGGTAAATGAAAGAGACAAAGCTTTTACTCACGGGAAGGCTGAAGGAGGAGACAAAGGCCAAGGGGACAAAGCTTCACGTGTTTTCTTTTCTTCTTTACTATGTTTGCTCACATGACTTTTCTGCTGTTCTTGTATTTGTTTTCTTACGTTCAAAAGTTCTTTATGTTGAAGTGTTCCTCGCTAATGCAAAACCAACAACCTTGTAAAATTTCTCTTCTCTTGTTCTTCTTCCTTGTTCACATTTCTCTGGTTTCTTGTTCACATTTATCTTCTTTTTGTTTCTAGAACAACAAAAGTAAACTTCTTTTCTCTTGTTCTTGGTTAAGATTTCTTCTCTTTATCCTTGTGCATGCAAAACCAAAACAACAAAAACTTCTCTTGATCCTTGTTGATGCAAAACCAAACTAACAAAAAACATCTACTCTCTTCTTGCAAATCCAAACTACCTTAATAAAAACCCAAATCCAAACTACTTAAAAACCCAAGTTTCTAGTAAATACCAAGTTTATGGGTTCTTCTTCTAATCATCACTTCTCTCTTCATGATCACCATAATCCTTACGACCAAGAATCTGACAAAACATGAGATCAAATCTTTGAGCAAGCAACTCATGGATATGGTGAGCCTAGAAAGGAGAAGAACAAAAATATATATATATAGAAAGAAACCGTGAGGAAGGCCAAGAACGCTTATTCAAAGATTATTTCGCCGAAGATGCCACATACCCGGTGCATATGTTTCGTCGACGTTTCAGAATGAACAAGCCCTTATTCGAGAAAATAGTTGATCGACTCTCCACTCACATTAAGTACTTTAAAACAAGACCGGATGGTTTGGGAAGGTCTAGTCATACCGGATTACAAAAGTGCACACCATCTATCCGTATTTTGGCATATGGTTGTGCAGTTGACAAGCTCGTGAATACCTTCATATCGCTGAAAGTACTGTATTGTTATGCGTGGAAAATTTCATGGACGGCATCATATCCTTGTACGGGGATGAGTATCTAAGAAGACCCACAAAAAATGGTCTTAAACGGCTACTTGACGTCGGAGAGGCACGTGGATTTCCCGAGATGATAGGGAGCATCAACTGTATGCATTGGAAGTGGAAGAATTGTCCAACCGCTTGGGCAGGACAATATACATGTGGCTCTTCAAAACCAACAATTGTTTTAGAGGTTGTAGCTTCACATGATCTTTGGATTTGGCATGCGTTTTTTTTATGCCTTGGTACCTTAAACAATATCAATGTTCTAGATCGTTCACCCGTTTTTGATGATATTTTACAAGGTCGAGCTCCGGCAATGAGTTACTATGTCAATGGGCGGAAATATAATTTGGCTTACTATCTCAGAAATGGTATTTACCCTAAATGGGTAACTTTTATGCCAACAATTAAAATTCCACAAGATCCCAAAGTATCGGTATATGCTGAATATCAAGAACATTTCCGGAAAGATGTTGAACGAGTTTTTGGAGTCTTGCAAGCTTGATTTGCCATCGTAGAAAATCCGGCTCTTTTTGGGATAAGGCAAAAGTTGGAAAAATTATGAGAACATATATCATACTGTATAATATGATAGTTGAAAACGAACGTGATGGATACAATCTTATCAATGTAACTGAATTCGAGTAAGGAGGAGGAAGCACTTCACAAGTGGAGAATCCGGTCTTTACCAATATGGATACAGTTCTAGATATCGACAATATGATGGTCAATCGAAATTGAATTCGTGATTTAATAAAATACGAACAATCGGATTTGATTGAGCATGTATACCATAAATATCATCCGAATGAAAATTAGTTTTTTTTCTGTTTTAATTTGCAAGTTTTAAGTCGAATATTTTGTATGTCATTCTATGTTTCAAATTTTATTAAATGCAATATAATTTATGTTTTTTATGTATTATGTTCTAAATTATAAATTTTGTATTTTTTTTTTGTTAAGAACCAAATAAAAAGTTTTATGGATGGAGGAAGAAATAATTAAAAAATCAAACAAAGGTTCTAAATGGTAACAGATTAATTATAGAATGTGGATGAATGCAGATTAATTTTTCAAATATGTTACCAGTTGCAATTGTAGAATAACTGAAGAATTGTGTAAAATTCACTGTCAACGAAATAGTGGAAATCTGGTGGGACACAGTTGATTTAAAGAAAAAGAAAATCCAAAACAATAAAGACACAAAAAGACAAAACACTAGAACTTTTTTTTTTGGTATGAATTTCAATAGATAAATAAAAAAACTGAAAGTATCAAAATTTATAATTGAAAAAAAACAAACAAGAAAATAAGAAAACAATTTCATGGGTGTGTTTTAGTTGAGTTATAAAAGAAGAGTTCTACGTTTTCAAGCCATATCAGTTCTTCATTCCATTTCTTTGTAGTACAAGTTTTTAAAAAACATCAGAGACTGCAAAATAATCAAACAAAGCAAGTAAGTTCCTTCCTTTTTCAAATTTCAAGTACATAATTATAACAAACATTTTTAGCTATATTTATAAAAAGCTAATCCAAACTTTTATATTAAAGTAGAGATAAAGTTTTAATTACTTTTAATGTTGAGGCTTTTTATTTAGACAAAATAGTGTATAGATAAGTAACAAAATTTAAATATTTTTAAAACTAACCATCATTCTAATTATCTTTTTATAAGTGAATTTTATTTTCAAATAAAATGGTGTAAATTTTAAAAACTTATGAAACCTGATAAAATATATAATTTTATATTATAAATGTATTGGTTTATATATAATATATGTTTATATGCTCAAATTATTATTAAGAATTTTTTTTCTATTAGAACATATATTTGGTTTTAAAAATAACTCAAATTATGTTACATCTTAAACAAAAACATTATTAATATGTATTTATAGATATTTCTTACCATGAAGAAATAAAATAGCAAAATATGTTTCGGTAAATAAAATAAAAAACTAAATTTATGTTACATCTTAAACAAAAATATTATTAATATGTATTAATAGATATTTCTTACCACAAAGAAATAAAATACCAAAATATGTTTCTGTAAATTTTACAGATTTAAATATTTTTTTAAAAGGACTATTTCTAATTTTCTATACTTTTTTAAATACTAAAGCACAAACTGCTGAATTGTTTTTCATGTGGATTTGTTTATCTATCAGAATTAAAACGAGTGGTGCGGGAAATACTGGACCATCAAACCTAAAAAATACGGTAATATTATTTGTTTGAGTTTTTTTCATGTATTATTTATAAATTATGAATTAGTTGTTTTTTATTTTATAATTGTAGACTTTTTCTAGATGATCGCCAGAATTAAATTCCTTATTCATTGAATTATTAGATGAAGAATTGCAAAAGATAAATTATATCTCAACGTTACCATATAAAGAGGGTAAAAATAATATAGTAAGAAAATTCCGCAAGCAAACAGGGTATATAATTGATTGGGAAAAATGTAAGAGTAAACATGATGATTTTGGATCATTGTATGTTGCATATCAAAGACTTATTCGTCGTACTGGTACAAATATTGAACGTGAAACCGTAAAAATAATTATGGATACAAGTTGGTGGAAAGATCGAATAAAGGTATAATTATTGCTTTAAAGAATTAAATTCATATTTGTATTTTAAAGAAAATTAGGTTTATTTTTTTTAACAATTTTTACCATATATATTTTGTAGCATACCGAAGGAGCATCAAGATTAAGAAAAAAATCCTCTACCGTGTATAGAGTTGATGCATAAGGTGTATGGTCCTCATTGTGCTGTGAATGACAATATGGTTTCAGCAAGTCAAATAGATGTGATTTGTGAAAGTGACGATGACGAAGAACAACAAGAGTTTGGAGAAGAAGGTGGTAATAATGAAGAAGCACATATTTATGGTATAACAGAATCAGCACCACATCAATCAATGGGGAATCAGCCATCAGTGTTGATTGAGATACCTAAACATAAACGACGATCTAGGCAACATGGTAATAGAGGTGGTAGAACTATTAGTAGGGGACGAAACCAATCTAGCCGCCAGATAACACAAACCCCACAAAGAAGAGCTGTTATGGACACGCACCTAACTAACATTGACTCGTATCTTGCAACTATGCAAACGCCAATCCAGATGCTCAATGCACGTAGCTGATATACCTCTATTTTACATGCTTTTTATACTATTTTACTATGGTTTTCTAGTGGATTCTTGTGTTAAAAGGTAGTTTTTATGGATTTATACTGCAAAGAGTCATTTTAGGTCAAAAGGTGCATTATGGAGCAAAACAGAGGATTTGGACTTCAAACCATCCAATGCCACTGCATCAACTTTGGAGGGAGCTAAAAAAAGATCTACTCAATGGATTTCATCAAGACCAGTTCCCTGCGTGCTCTGATTGAGTTAACTTTCCAACGCAAGTGGAACGGCCTCATTTGGATGAGTAGAAAAGGAGTTATAGCCAAAATAGCGAAGACAGGTCCAGCGGCTCTATCGAGAAACCGCGCCAAGCCGTGCAGACGGCCGGCCGAGGAACGCATGTTCCGCGGTCGGCCAAAGTTCAATCCCGTCCAAGCTACGGCCGAGCACACACACGACCCGGGAAACAATGTCCCGCGGTCGGCCAAGTCACGATCATTCAGCCAATGCGCACACGACCACGCCGCGCGAGCCGGGAAGTAACGCCTCGCGGCCGCGCAACTCACGTACCACGGCCGATGCGCCGTCCGACCAGGAAAGCCGCGTCCCACGTCCGGCCAGAAACATCGGCCAATCCTTCATCCGTCCGACCACAGCGGCCGACCACGAAACATCCGGCCACGACCGTTCCGACGTGCCGATAGCGACCACGACCCGATGTCCGGCCGATCGTCCCGACCGACCGTCCGAACGCCGCGGTCGACCCGAAGCCGTTTTTGAAGCCCAATCCGCACAATTCAAGCCCAAAGCCGGCGCCGACTAGCTAGATTAGGTCTAGCCGCTTTTTCATACTTAGTGCATTATAAATACTTCTTTTTAGCCTTGTAACTCAAGAAGGAGAGAGACCACAACTATTTTACATCTTTAATAAAGTTTTGCTTGCTTTTACTTTGTTCTTGCTTGTTCTCTTTCTAGAGAGGATTCGAATCTCTGTTCTTATGAATATGAATTCGTGTTCCTTCTCTATGTCTGAGTAGTTTACTTGTTAAGTGATAGGAAGTCAAAGGATAGCATTCATGTATGCTTGATGATTGATCACAATTAGGGTTTTACTTATAATCTTCATCTTTGCTTATACTTAATGCTTGTTGTTAATCTGGCCAATTAGCATATGATCTTTAGGTTGATTTGAGCCTCGAAAGTGCTGTATCATTCGCCTGAACTAGTATTTGGTGGGCAATCTCTTTTAGACTGCGAAAGTTGATTTACTTGTAGGTTGTGAACAATTGAACTTAATCGAACTAATGCTTGATTTAATCACCTAGGGACATACCAAAAGTTTAGCGACTAGGTAGATTAACAAAGGGGTCGGAGCCTCGACAGTGGAATGATCATACCATAGTGTTTCAAGTTCTAGATTGGCACCTAATTGCAGTAACCCTAATTGATTGATTTGCTGCTCATGAATTGCTTATCTTAAGACTATCCTATTGCTTAGCCCTCTCTCCTATTGATTCAACTTCTTTATTACTTGCATGCTTTACTTTTATGCACTCAACCAACTTATACTGTTTGCCCTAGCTCGATCTCAATCTTATAGTTTGTAGTGTGCAATCTGGTCCTCGTGTTCGATACCCGTTTACTACTTCTGACCTGTGCACTTGCAGAATCAGGGATAGGAAAAGGGAAGACCTGATCCCGCGATCAGTAGCCAAGCGAAAGAAGATTATGAGCGTGAATCTTGGTTGCAACTAAATAACTTGCAAAACATAGAAAAATTTACAGATTTTTGGTGGGCATCGTCTGAGATTTTGAGAGATCCCTTCGAGCAAAAGAGGTTTGTGCTTTTGAGTTGTATTCACGTGGATTACATAACCTCACAAATGATGAGCTACTTGAACTATTTTTCTGGAACATGTGGATATCATGGAAGTACTCTTCAGGCCTGTGATAGATTATTATAAAATGTATTTTGATCGACAGCCAATGAGTACTGAATGGGGTTTAGGATGGAGCAACATTGAAACAAGAATTTATAATTATCCAAGAGATTGCTTGCATCTTTTGAGGATGCGTAGAAGTTTTTACACGTCTATGTGAGACATTACGTGCAGATTTTGGAGTGAAAAGCACAAAAAACATATCGGTGGAAGAAACCGTGGCAATGTTTCTCGTGATATGTGGTCATAACATGACACAACATTCGGTTGGGCTCTTATTTGGACGAGCACAAGAAACGGTTGGACGCAAGTTTCAAGAATGTCTTAAAGCATGCAGAAACTAAGTGGAAAATTATTAAGAAAGCAGTCTCCAGAGCAACTCGACAAGTACCTCGAGGTTTACGAGATAATACTCAATACTGGCCTTATTTTAATGGTTTTATTGGTGCAATGGACGGCACTCATTGTACGGTCATGGTGACTGGTGGCGAGGCAGCTCGATTTTACAACAGGCATTCCCAAACAAGCATTAATGTTTTGGCGATATGCAATATGATATGTTATTCACTTACATATTTGTAGGCTGTCCTGGATCAGTACATGACTGCTAGAGTTTTGTCTTATGCAATGGAGCGTGATTCAACATTTTCCGACTCCTCCGCCATCCAAGTACTATCTTGTTGATTCTGGTTATGCTAACACAAGAGGATATTTAGCTCCATTTAGAGGTCATAGGTATCATTTGCCACATTTTCAAGTAGGCTCTCCACCTAGAGATGAAGAAGAGTTATTTAATAGATGGCATTCTTCTCTCCGCTCAGTGATCGAACGAACATTTGGAGTTTGGAAGAAAAAATGGAGAATTTTATCAGAGTTTCCGAGATATGATCTGGAAACACAAAACAATAATCATAGCACAGCTGGTTTGCATAACTTCATTCGTCTTTCTCAAATTCCAGATTTTGATTTTGATGATGCTTTACATGTTGACGCAATTCCAAGAGAAATGGAGAAGGTGGAGAGAATGAAGAAGTAACTATTTGCAAGAACAAGAGGAAACAACAGATGGTGCTTATATGCAAGCAATACGGATAATTTTCATTAATGAATTGTTAAAAAAAAATATGAAATGTTTTTTATGTGTAATAATATGATTCCAAATTTATAATATTTATATGTTTATAATTTGTTTGATTTAATATTGTATTAATTATTTCATAATATATATTTTATTTCATCAATTAGAGTAAATATTTTGTTATTTTCTTATATAATTTTTTTTATTTACTTATTCTGCATTGAGTAACATTCAGCTGTTACCATTCATATTACTAACTGATTAGCCAGATTTTGCAAGAAATCATCATATTATTCTGCCAGATTCCGCATTCCGCAACATTCAGCAACATTTTTGAGTTACTATTTAGACCCACATGTTCGTGTATAATTGCATGGCCAATATGAGCAGTTTATTCAAAACTACCAGTTTCCTATTAGGTCTAAGTAAACAATTCAAGCCAGAATATGCTCATCTAAAGGTATTTCAATAATTGTTTTGCCAAATACTGGAAACAAAAAAAATCTTCTTTTTAATGTAATAGTCTTGTCAAGTAAATTATTTGAAAGAGCTAAAGTGCAACGACTAAAGAGTAATTTTGAGCCATACAACATTAAGTTAATCAAGTACCAATCCTAACAAAGCAAAATTGGTCTCTCTGTAAAGTTTATCCTCTCAAGGGCAACTTTGACTTCTCGTCTTTGGCAAAAAAAAACACACACACACACATACGCACACATTGACTTCTCGTGGGTCAGTCATCACAAATTACGCCGAGAGCATGTATACGAGATGTAAAAAGAAAGTGCCGATTATCCATGGCCGATGGGCTCGAGGCGGGAGCTTTAATTTGTGAATTTAACTCTGGTAATCCTTTATCTTAAAATAAGATACTCGATTCAAATTTATACTGAAATTTTGTCAGTACGGCTACTTTTAGGATATTGGTGCATGAAAACGTAATATAAAACATCTGCCACTCACATAAATGTTGCAATGTTTGTTTCATATAATTTTACCTTTTTTGGGCAAAGTTTGTTTCATATAAATAACATACGTATAAAACTGTTATGATCGAGACAACAAATACTATAGTGTAGACCGTAGATGCTTCTTTTTGGCCTAGGATAAGGTCGAAACAAGAAAATGGAATAGAAATACAAAATATGTAAGTGCAAGAAGCAATAAAAAACAATTTTTCTTTTTATTTTATAAACTATGAGCGATAATTGATGATAGAGATAGAGAATGTGTCACGTAAGCCGATGGTTCCACATATATGTTATTCCATTCCCTCCCTGCTTTTGTATGAAACATAATGATATTAATTTGACCACTTTATAAAGTTTCATTTACTTATTATTTATATGTGACACACTATATAGCATGATTAGTATCAATATCAATCAACTTATACCCACCATTTGACACCTTTTTACTTTATATTTCGACTTTTGTATGTTTTCATAGCCGTTGGCAAAATTTTGATAGAACAAACTATACATTCATTTATGCAGTTTTTTGGAGAACATAAATTAAATTTTACAACCAATATTAAGTGATTATGATTTATGATAATTAGTGAGATATCAAAAACAAATTGCATGGCAACTTTTTGTAATGTTATTATTAAAGATACGGATACAAATCTAAACGGCGTGAGTTTTCTATACATTTGAAAAATAAAACTTAAGTTAAAGTGGGTCAAAAAGGAACATCTTTTAGGGGTTGAGTGGAGAATATGAAGAATCTCTTCGCTTTTCTTTCTCTTTAACCTTTTTACAAAAGCCCCATAACGTAAATTATTTCCCACCTAAGAAAAAATAGAAGCATAATTAGATGATGTAAAAAGAAAAAAAAAAAAAAAAAAAGTCGGATCCATAGTGTCCTTGTCTTGGGTCCATTATAAATTGATCGTTATATCATATAAACATTTGGTTGTGATGATCATGTTCCATTGCTTGTTTATAAAAATGAAGATGGGTTATTTTACTTACCTTTAACTCTCTCACACGATTTTGCCATAAAAGAAAGTAAAACGACGAGTAACGTAACTCCAGCAATTAAACCAACTATGATTGCAAGTGTCTTCTGTATCTCATCGTCATTATTGTCACGATTCCCACCTAAAATCCCATATCAAAAATAAACAAAAATACGTTTATCAAATATTACATGCATATGAAAAACCAAAAATAAAATATACATATACATGCATAATTAAATAAAGAAATTATACTATGCGTTAATATAACAGTCTAGACTCTAGAATACCAACAGGCAACAGGCTTTGGTGCCAAAAAAGAGGGAAACTAATAGAAATAAAATTCAAAAAAATAGAAACTTGCTAATTAAAGTAATTCCATAGCTTAAAGCCTTAAACACAAAAAAGAACCTTAAGAGAAACGAAACCAACGGAGCAGAGAAGGCAGGCTTTACCGTAAGCGTTGGTTCGGGAGTGGCTTCCACGCGAAGAGTATCGCGCGTAGCACTTGGCTAGATACACGTCACCCCAAGCGGCTGTTCCACAATCCGATCTCAGCCGTCCGATCGCCTCCATCAAACAGTCTTGACACTCGCTCGCACTGAGATCTCCGGTGCACTGCGCCGCACCTTGCAGTTGCCCCGACACTCCCACTCTGTATGATCCACCGCTGCTCGCCGCTAAATAACCCACCACCGAGTCTCTCCGAGCCAACTCGTCCGAGTTATAGCTCCCAACCGGTGCTCCGCATCGTCTAACCACCACCGTCTTATCTTCAACGCCGAGGAACGTGGAGTTGTCGTACTTCACGAAGCAGCCTTCGAGCTGCAGCGCGCCACCGTACGCANTACAGAATCAGCACCACATCAATCAATGGGGAATCAGCCATCAGTGTTGATTGAGATACCTAAACATAAACGACGATCTAGGCAACATGGTAATAGAGGTGGTAGAACTATTAGTAGGGGACGAAACCAATCTAGCCGCCAGATAACACAAACCCCACAAAGAAGAGCTGTTATGGACACGCACCTAACTAACATTGACTCGTATCTTGCAACTATGCAAACGCCAATCCAGATGCTCAATGCACGTAGCTGATATACCTCTTTTTATGCTATTTTACTATGGTTTTCTAATGGTTTTCTAGTGGATTCTTGTGTTAAAAGGTAGTTTTTATGGATTTATAGTGCAAAGAGTCATTTTAGGTAAAAAGGTGCATTATGGAGCAAAACAGAGGATTTGGACTCAAACCAGTTCAATGCCCTGCATCAACTTTGGATGGAGCTAGAAAAAGATCTACTCAATGGATTTCATCAAGACCAGTTCCCTGCGTGCTCTGATTGAGTTAACTTTCCAACGCAACTGGAATGGCTCATTTGGATGAGTAGAAAAGGAGTTATAGCCAAAAGAGTGAAGACTGTCCAGACGGCTCTATCGAGAATCAGCGCCAAGCCGGCAGACGGCCGGCCGAGGAACGAATGTTCCGCGCTCGGCCAAAGTTCAATCCCGTCCAAGCTCGGCCGATCACACACACGACCCGGGAAACATGTCCCGCGGTCGGCCAAGCCACGATCACAGCCAGCCGCGCACGACCACGCCGCGCGAGCCGGGAAGTAACGCCTCGCGGCCGCGCAACTCACGTACCAGGCCGATGCGCCGTCCGACCGGGAAAGCCGTCCCACGTCCGGCCAGAAACCATCGGCCAATCTTCATCCGCCGACCACGCGGCCGACACGAAACATCCGGCCACGACCGTTCCGACTCCGATAGCGCCAAGACCCGACTGTCCGGCCGATCGTCCCGACCGACCGTCCGAACGCCGCGGTCGACCCGAAGCCGTTTTTGAAGCCCAATCCGCACAATTCAAGCCCAAAGCCGGCGCCGACTAGCTAGATTAGGTCTAGCCGCTTTTTCATACTTAGTGCATTATAAATACTTCTTTTTAGCCTTGTAACTCAAGAAGGAGAGAGACCACAACTATTTTACATCTTTAATAAAGTTTTGCTTGCTTTTACTTTGTTCTTGCTTGTTCTCTTTCTAGAGAGGATTCGAATCTCTGTTCTTATGAATATGAATTCGTGTTCCTTCTCTATGTCTGAGTAGTTTACTTGTTAAGTGATAGGAAGTCAAAGGATAGCATTCATGTATGCTTGATGATTGATCACAATTAGGGTTTTACTTATAATCTCCATCTTTGCTTATACTTAATGCTTGTTGTTAATCTGGCCAATTAGCATATGCCTTTAGGTTGATTTGAGCCTCGACAGTGCTGTATCATTCGCCTGAACTAGTATTTGGTGGGCAATCTCTTTTAGACTGCGAAAGTTGATCTACTTGTAGGTTGTGAACAATTGAACTTAATCGAACTAATGCTTGATTTAATCACCTAGGGACATACCAAAAGTTTAGCGACTAGGTAGATTAACAAAGGGGTCGGAGCCTCGACAGTGGAATGATCATACCATAGTGTTTCAAGTTCTAGATTGGCACCTAATTGCAGTAACCCTAATTGATTGATTTCATGCTTCTTGAATTGCTTATCTTAAGACTATCCTATTGCTTAGCCTCTCTCCTATTGATTCAACTTCTTTATTTTTACTTGCATGCTTTACTTTCTCTGCACTCAACCAACTTATACTTTTGCCCTAGCTCGATCTCAATCTCATAGTTTGTAGTGTGCAATCTGGTCCTCGTGTTCGATACCCGTTTACTACTTCTGACCTGTGCACTTGCAGAATCAGGGATAGGAAAAGGGAAGACCTGATCCCGCGATCAGTAGCCAAGCGAAAGAAGATTATGAGCGTGAATCTTGGTTGCAACTAAATAACTTGCAAAACATAGAAAAATTTACAGATTTTTGGTGGGCATCGTCTGAGATTTTGAGAGATCCCTTCGAGCAAAAGAGGTTTGTGCTTTTGAGTTGTATTCACGTGGATTACATAACCTCACAAATGATGAGCTACTTGAACTATTTTTCTGGAACATGTGGATATCATGGAAGTACTCTTCAGGCCTGTGATAGATTATTATAAAATGTATTTTGATCGACAGCCAATGGAGTACTGAATGGGGTTTAGGATGGAGCAACATTGAAACAAGAATTTATAATTATCCAAGAGATTGCTTGCATCTTTTGAGGATGCGTAGAAGTTTTTACACGTCTATGTGAGACATTACGTGCAGATTTTGGAGTGAAAAGCACAAAAAACATATATCGGTGGAAGAAACCGTGGCAATGTTTCTCGTGATATGTGGTCATAACATGACACAACATTCGGTTGGGCTCTTATTTGGACGAGCACAAGAAACGGTTGGACGCAAGTTTCAAGTGTCTTAAAGCATGCGAAACTAAGTGGAAAATTATTAAGAAAGCAGTCTCCAGAGCAACTACGACAAGTACCTGAGGTTTACGAGATAATCGTCAATACTGGCCTTATTTTAATGGTTTTATTGGTGCAATGGACGGCACTCATTGTACGGTCATGGTGACAGGTGGCGAGGCAGCTCGATTTTACAACAGGCATTCCCAAACAAGCATTAATGTTTTGGCGATATGCAATTATGATATGTTATTCACTTACATATTTGTAGGCTGTCCTGGATCAGTACATGATGCTAGAGTTTTGTCGTATGCAATGGAGCGTGATTCAACATTTCCGACTCCTCCGCCGTCCAAGTACTATCTTGTTGATTCTGGTTATGCTAACACAAGAGGATATTTAGCTCCATTTAGAGGTCATAGGTATCATTTGCCACATTTTCAAGTAGGCTCTCCACCTAGAGATGAAGAAGAGTTATTTAATAGATGGCATTCTTCTCTCCGCTCAGTGATCGAACGAACATTTGGAGTTTGGAAGAAAAAATGGAGAATTTTATCAGAGTTTCCGAGATATGATCTGGAACACAAAACGAATAATCATAGCGGACAGCTGGTTTGCATAACTTCATTCGTCTTTCTCAAATTCCAGATTTTGATTTTGATGATGCTTTACATGTTGACGCAATTCCAAGAGAACAATGGAGAAGGTGGAGAGAACGAAGAAGTAAACTATTTGCAAGAACAAGAGAAACAACAGATGGTGCTTATATGCAAGCAATACAAGCAAATATGGGATAATTTTCATTAATGAATTGTTAAAATCAAATATTATATTTTAAATGTATTTTTTTATGTGTAATAATATGATTCCAAATTTAAATATTTGACATATGTTTATAATTTGTTTGATTAAATATTGTATATAATTATTTCATAACTATATATTTTATTTATCAATTAATTAAAGAGTAAATATTTTGTTATTTTCTTATATAATTTTTATTTATTTATTCTGCATTGAGTAACATTCAGCTGTTACCATTCATATCACTAACTGATTAGCCAGATTTGCAAAAATCATCATATTATTCTGCCAGATTCCGCATTCCGCAACATTCAGCAACATTTTTGAGTTACTATTTAGACCCACATGTTCGTGTATAATTGCATGGCCAATATGAGCAGTTTATTCAAAACTACCAGTTTCCTATTAGGTCTAAGTAAACAATTCAAGCCAGAATATGCTCATCTAAAGGTATTTCAATAATTGTTTTGCCAAATACTGGAAACAAAAAAAATCTTCTTTTTAATGTAATAGTCTTGTCAAGTAAATTATTTGAAAGAGCTAAAGTGCAACGACTAAAGAGTAATTTTGAGCCATACAACATTAAGTTAATCAAGTACCAATCCTAACAAAGCAAAATTGGTCTCTCTGTAAAGTTTATCCTCTCAAGGGCAACTTTGACTTCTCGTCTTTGGCAAAAAAAAACACACACACACACATACGCACACATTGACTTCTCGTGGGTCAGTCATCACAAATTACGCCGAGAGCATGTATACGAGATGTAAAAAGAAAGTGCCGATTATCCATGGCCGATGGGCTCGAGGCGGGAGCTTTAATTTGTGAATTTAACTCTGGTAATCCTTTATCTTAAAATAAGATACTCGATTCAAATTTATACTGAAATTTTGTCAGTACGGCTACTTTTAGGATATTGGTGCATGAAAACGTAATATAAAACATCTGCCACTCACATAAATGTTGCAATGTTTGTTTCATATAATTTTACCTTTTTTGGGCAAAGTTTGTTTCATATAAATAACATACGTATAAAACTGTTATGATCGAGACAACAAATACTATAGTGTAGACCGTAGATGCTTCTTTTTGGCCTAGGATAAGGTCGAAACAAGAAAATGGAATAGAAATACAAAATATGTAAGTGCAAGAAGCAATAAAAAACAATTTTTCTTTTTATTTTATAAACTATGAGCGATAATTGATGATAGAGATAGAGAATGTGTCACGTAAGCCGATGGTTCCACATATATGTTATTCCATTCCCTCCCTGCTTTTGTATGAAACATAATGATATTAATTTGACCACTTTATAAAGTTTCATTTACTTATTATTTATATGTGACACACTATATAGCATGATTAGTATCAATATCAATCAACTTATACCCACCATTTGACACCTTTTTACTTTATATTTCGACTTTTGTATGTTTTCATAGCCGTTGGCAAAATTTTGATAGAACAAACTATACATTCATTTATGCAGTTTTTTGGAGAACATAAATTAAATTTTACAACCAATATTAAGTGATTATGATTTATGATAATTAGTGAGATATCAAAAACAAATTGCATGGCAACTTTTTGTAATGTTATTATTAAAGATACGGATACAAATCTAAACGGCGTGAGTTTTCTATACATTTGAAAAATAAAACTTAAGTTAAAGTGGGTCAAAAAGGAACATCTTTTAGGGGTTGAGTGGAGAATATGAAGAATCTCTTCGCTTTTCTTTCTCTTTAACCTTTTTACAAAAGCCCCATAACGTAAATTATTTCCCACCTAAGAAAAAATAGAAGCATAATTAGATGATGTAAAAAGAAAAAAAAAAAAAAAAAAAGTCGGATCCATAGTGTCCTTGTCTTGGGTCCATTATAAATTGATCGTTATATCATATAAACATTTGGTTGTGATGATCATGTTCCATTGCTTGTTTATAAAAATGAAGATGGGTTATTTTACTTACCTTTAACTCTCTCACACGATTTTGCCATAAAAGAAAGTAAAACGACGAGTAACGTAACTCCAGCAATTAAACCAACTATGATTGCAAGTGTCTTCTGTATCTCATCGTCATTATTGTCACGATTCCCACCTAAAATCCCATATCAAAAATAAACAAAAATACGTTTATCAAATATTACATGCATATGAAAAACCAAAAATAAAATATACATATACATGCATAATTAAATAAAGAAATTATACTATGCGTTAATATAACAGTCTAGACTCTAGAATACCAACAGGCAACAGGCTTTGGTGCCAAAAAAGAGGGAAACTAATAGAAATAAAATTCAAAAAAATAGAAACTTGCTAATTAAAGTAATTCCATAGCTTAAAGCCTTAAACACAAAAAAGAACCTTAAGAGAAACGAAACCAACGGAGCAGAGAAGGCAGGCTTTACCGTAAGCGTTGGTTCGGGAGTGGCTTCCACGCGAAGAGTATCGCGCGTAGCACTTGGCTAGATACACGTCACCCCAAGCGGCTGTTCCACAATCCGATCTCAGCCGTCCGATCGCCTCCATCAAACAGTCTTGACACTCGCTCGCACTGAGATCTCCGGTGCACTGCGCCGCACCTTGCAGTTGCCCCGACACTCCCACTCTGTATGATCCACCGCTGCTCGCCGCTAAATAACCCACCACCGAGTCTCTCCGAGCCAACTCGTCCGAGTTATAGCTCCCAACCGGTGCTCCGCATCGTCTAACCACCACCGTCTTATCTTCAACGCCGAGGAACGTGGAGTTGTCGTACTTCACGAAGCAGCCTTCGAGCTGCAGCGCGCCACCGTACGCGCCGAAGCAGAGACTTCCGAGCCGGCTAACTGCTCGAGCGACACATCTAGCGCAATCGCCGGAGCCGGACGAGAGATCGCCGCGACACTGGTACAACCCGTAGACGGGGCTGTCGTCGCCGCCGGAGATTCCGTCGACGGTGAAGTTGTTGTATGTGTAGAGAGAAGCTGAGCTAACGAAGGAGGTGAGTAGCGAGTTGACGTTCGACTCGTAAGGCGATCCGGGGAAGTATTTTGGTTGCGAGCAGCCGCCGTAGACAAAAGTATCGACGGCGGCGAATGAAAATGTTACGAGAAGGGACACGACTGTGATAAAGAGAAACGTTTTTGTCGGGAACATGACTTTCGCCGATCTGCTCTGTTTTTACTTTTTAGTGTGTGTGTGTGTGCCTGTGTGGTATGGTATGACTAGTATCTAGAAAATATGACCATGCAGCTGTTTTATGCTTGGAGCGTTATTAGATGATTGATTATGAACACATATAATTATGTTTTTTAATTATTATTGCTATAGTGTATTGTCAACGTTATTTTACTCGATAATTTAAATGGCAAAGTTACATAAAAAAAACCATCAGGGTTGCCAGCCAAACTTAAACAAATTACATTCAATATATAACACTAATATTCTGATACTATTTATAATATTTTCAACTTCAGTTATATATCCAATAACAGTACATAATTTTTAATGTGTAACTGAGTGATACTTATGGTTTTTTATGTGATTTTCTTATTTTTTAAATGTCATACACGGTTTATTTTTTATTAGGTTTACAAAGTATACACATCATGTACTGGATATATGTTACTCCCTTTGTCCATATTATAAGCAATTGGGCAAAATGTATCTGAAAAAAAGTGGATGTATCTGGACGGAATTGCTAATAATATGGGACAGAGTGAGTAATAATTACAAAAGTATTTATAAAATTAAGTTTTAGTGATATATTTAGCCAATGTCTTTGCTTAATTAATTAATTTTTATATGGCATAGTTTTATTGGTCAATTAGAGATCTTGTAGTAATGGTTTTTTTAACTTGTTTCTACACTGGTAACTGTTTTCTCTATAATTTTTTGGTCAGTTATATTTTTACAATACATAATTTTAATCAATAAAATTTAGTGAGATATTTAGCCATTTTCTTTGCTTAATTATTTGTATGGCATAGTTTTATTGGTCAAATGAAGATGTTGTAGTAAATTTTTTTTTTTTCTTGTTTCCAAATTAATAGTAATCTTTTTTTTTTATAATTTTTTGGTCAATTATATAACTTTAAATGAAAGAGGAAATCTATAAAACTCATAGCTAAAGACTGGAGAGAGTTGGTTAATTAATTGATTTCTAGTAATTAAAGTTAATTAATGTTCACAAAAACAAAATTAAAATAAATGTCCATCAAAAGAAAATTAAAATAAATTTACATTTTTAAAGAAGTACTTTAGTCCCCTAATTCGCTATATAACACAACAAAATTACAGTTTGATGTATACTAGTTTTTTTCAACAATACCACTCAAGTTTTACATTAGATCTTATAACTAAAACTATGACTTGTTCAACTCTCTTTACATTTTTTACCATAAATTTTGGTGTTTTCGATCTATTTTGAACCTAATATTGAAGCTGTGAGTTTATCTGCATAAGTGATATTTTACAACAAAAAACTCATGACATGTGTTGTAAACTACAGTAGAAACTTTATAAATTAATATTCGATAAATTAATAAACACACGATAAATTAATAAAATTTCAAAGTTCGGATATTATTAATTTATAGAGTTTCTACTGTATTTTCTACACATGTCTTTTCTTATGAACGACAAAGTAAAATGTTGCATGTTCCTTCGGAATCTCAATCTGAAAAGGGTTATTGTGACGGATTGTAGGAGAGAAAGATGACACATTATAAAGAAAGATCAAGATCTTGAGTATGAGCCGGGTTCTAATGAATTTTGGAAAGATCTTCCTGCGAGATTGCTCCGAACTAGATAATTTCCTTGTTTTTTTTTACTTATTTACCTTCTTCTCCTTCTTTTATCAAACTCTTCTTCGAGTAAAAAAATCAAGCAACAAGCGATCTAATTTCTGAAGGTCAATCGACGAAACAAGGTTAGCAAAAAATGATTACAAATTTAGAACAGAGGCCCAAAATTTAACAAATGAGCCTCGCCCAAATGGAACTGGACACGGGTATGACAAGGCCCAGAGAGTTATCTATTTATTTCCCAAAAAATATCATAAAGTAGAAAACTAGAAACAGAGACACCATTTGAAAAACGTAACTTGTTGTGAATTATCTTTACTAAATGAAAGCAGCTAATTGGGGCCTCTTAGAGTACCTCACAGCTTTCAGCCACAGAATGCCACGTGGCATTTTACAATAACAGGTTAAAAAAATAAAATCTGGCTTCCCCGCAATTCAATTACAAAATTCAAAGTAATTTACTTTCTAACCTTTCAACTTCAATCGTTTTCGTTTCGTCTGCTTCTTCTTCCCCTTCTCTCTGATTTGCTCCGTCGGTTGCGTCATGTCGTCATCCGATCCGCAGCATCACCGGACACCGATGCTCTGCGGTAGTAGTGATGATTCTCCTTCTGCTGGGCTTTTCGTTAGTGACAGCCGACGATGTGTCCTGGTCCGACGATATCGGCCTCAAGTCTCCTGGATGCACAAACAAGTTTCAAATGGTAATTCGATCTTCGTTCACCGGAGTTGATTGATCGATTTTTACTTTCTCCTTCCCTTTTTTGGCTCTTTACTCTCTGATTAATGCGATTCCACACACCGATTTTAAACATGTGAGCAGAGAGAGAGACCTGAATCATTTGTTGAATGAATGGTCGTTTATACAGGTTAAGGTGTTAAACTGGGTCGATGGTGTTAAAGGTGACTACTTTACTGGCTTAACTGCTCAATTTGAAGCATCGGTGCCTTCTTATGCTGATCAAAGCGTTAGGTAGCTTATTGGATTATTTATGACAAAGAAGGTTTGGGTTTTTTGGATTGAGATTTTTGTTTGTGTTTGGTAGCTTTGTATCATCTAATTTAGTTATGATTTGTTATCAGATCTTGATGAGATGGGATGTATGGAAAAGGATACATCTTTAAATGTAAGCATACCTGTCTTGATGATCTCTAAGTCAAGCGGAAATTGCTTATTGACCTTATTGATCGTTGTGTAGTTGAGCTTCTGTTGTATGCACCAAAACGTCCTGTTGTGGACTTAACAGCAGGGTTTTGATTGCTCATGGCGGTTGGAACTGTCGTCATTGCATCACTGTGGTCAGAGCTTACAGACCCTGACCAAGCTAATGAATCTTACAGCATATTAGCAAAGGTTAGCCTTTTTTTTTCCTGCTGCTCCTTTTCTACTTCATGTCATCATGGTTTGTATGGGTGCTCACCATCTTTTTCTGCATCGGCGGCATGCAGGTAATCTTCATTGACATTCCGGTGGTTTTGACAGAATATTTAGATCAATGTGTGTGTGCTTTAACGAAACGGTTGTTGTTTTCAGGGTATGCATAACATCATTATGGCAGTTATATTGAGGTATTCTGAAATATTCGTAAATGTTTTCACTTCTCTCTCTTTCAGGTTAGCAGATCTTGACGGATATAAATTTGTGATCTGCCTGTAGAAAATGCAGAAATCTTGGTAAAAAATCTGTGAAGCACCCTCTGCTTGGGACAATGTCAGTGTTGTCGCTTTTGGTGATCATTTTTTGCTTGGCATTTGCTGTTTTCTGGTTTGTAAAACGGCACGCATCTTATTCTTGGGGTGGGCAAGAATATTTAGTTGGTTAACTTTTCAAAGGTAAATTAACATGGGAGTAGGGAGATGGGGATCGAGGGAGGAGAGGAAAGCTGATCTCTTTTTTAAAACAGCGACCAAATAGAAGGTAATGAAGGCTTATCATATCTCTCATTATTATATTTTTTGTAATTTGTTCAGTATTACGATTTCCTGTTGAATTACTCCTTCTCATGAGACTGTTTTGTTTACTTGATCAGAGATATGTAGGTTTGAAAAATATGATCTAAAGATTTCAACAGAAGTTTCTGTCTTTTCACTATTGTCTTCTTCTTCAAGCGCTGGATAAAATGGTTTTTGAAAATTGAAGAATAATATTGCTGAAGTTTTGTTTCATCAATAGCTAAAAAGATCAATAGACCATAATTAGTTACCAGCATTTGTAGTTGATCTACCCTAAATCTTTAACCTTTGTTTAGTAACTCTTACTCTCCTCATTTGCTCACTATGATTTGGTTGGAGGACGACTGGTATGTTGCATTTCTTGGTCTCCCATGTTGGAACTTTCTTCAAAGCCATATTATGTGCGTGCTCTGTCTCAGTCAATTCTCTGATAATCTCACTGCAGACAGTGGAGCAAGTCTGTCCTTGCATAACTGAATTTCCTAGCCAGCATGATTCCACATAAGTGAAACTTTCTGGGCTCTTCTGTTCTTGGCAATATGAATGTAGAAGTTACACTAAGGTGGTTCATTTCCTGTAAAGAGTTCATGCGATTTGCTCCTCAATTCAATCGTGTTTGCTGTTTGTTATATGAGAAATAGCGATTTTGAATGCATCGGACTTGAATTTGTTTTTCACAGGAGATTAAGCTGTAATCATTTTTAAGAAGTGTATGTAAAAGTGATTCCTGTGGCTTTCTTATTGTGATTCTTATGTAATGAAAGATGGGTATGTGTTCCTTTGTACAGCTTAGCTTCTTTTGTATATGTATATTTTCTATGTTGGATCCACCAATCACACAGCCCTACTTCTCAGTAAAGTGTGGGAGACATGATGTAATGATGAAAATAGTAATGCGTAAAAATATCAATGCAAGCCAGAAAGCCAACCAAGTTTAATTATCCAGTGAAAAGAGGGTCCCTGAAAAGACGATGAAAAAGACCGAAAGTTATTGAAACACGAAAATAAATTACAACTTCAAGCAAAAAAACCGAAGGGCAAAAATTGTTTCTCCCAGGTTTGAAAAGGTCAAGGCTCAAGGAAGTGGAAACTCAGACCATACGACGGGATATTTGTTTCGAAAGAAAAGTGTCACACTTTATGCAAGTTCATTTCACTCACACTGCGACCACACAAAAGCTGTTGTAAAGTATGTACATATAGATGTTGTAAAGATTCAAAGCTTTGTAAAAAAAAGTTTTCAAAGTTGCTGGAAAATTTGACACCACCGCTAAAGTTAAAGGAGATCACAGTGACCTTAAACGTCTAATTCTAAATACTTAAATCTAATTTATACTTAATCAAATTCCAAAAACGTAAGCAAAAAGTCTTGAACTCGATTTCAAAAATGTCAAGTACAACCGTTATAGCAATGATCTTTGAGCCCTTTATAACTCTTTACAAAAGAAGTAACTATAATTTGCTTCAGCTTTCCTCCACAATAGTAAAACAACATACGTGAGGAAACGAAGAAAATTGAATACAATGTAATTGGAATTTAGAAGAAAAAGCACGCTAATGAGAACACAAATAAACATGTTATGAATGAAGAATTGATTAATGACAAATAATGAAAACAAACATGCCAAAGAAATATATTAGAACAATAAGACATTATTAAGAAGTACTGAATTTAACATATGTTTACCTATAGTGTTCCTTAGAACCTCTTCTTTTTTTCATCACGATGAAAAAAAAATTAAAAGATTTAACTAAAGGAGAGTAGATTGACCATACTGTTACTCATAAATAAAAAAAATCTTTGGTTAGAAAATTCTGGAATAATAGAGATTTTAAAGCAATATAACAAAGAAAAATTATTTGTAAAAAGTTAAATGATCACCAAATTTGTTGCTATATTGTATTTAGACAATTATAAAGAGGAAACTTTATACTAAATGTTTCTAAATTTTAGCAAAACAAAGTGCAAATTTTATAACATAAAACCTGCATATAGCGCGGGAAGGACACCTAGAATATAATTGGATCTCCGTTGTTTTTCAAGGTTACCAAGTCAATGACGGTGGGTGTAGCTAATAACAATAAAATGCTGGAAAATAACTACAAATGTAGATTTCTATTGGTAGAGCCCAAGGTAAGATCATACATTTTTTTTTATTTGATATTAAGAATGCAATAACTCTCAACTGTAGGATCTATATTTATGTGTTACTAAAGTTGTATGACATTAATGCATTTTAATTTTTAACAATCTAGAGTTTGTCTTATGAGCATTTTTAAATATGTAAAAAACTTATATGCTCAAATACAAAATTTTATAATTATCATAAATAAATAAAATGTTTATAACAAAATCCCCGGGCGTAGTCCGGGATATCCCCTAGTATATTAAAAAAAGACCAGTACACGAAAATATGGATCAAGTATAAGACGTGGATCTTTGATCTTCTCCAAATTATATGGTACTAAAATCGATCTAGTAGACTTCCAAATATTGTCTTTTTCAATTGCAGCATAAAACTTTGTTGAAAAACAAACAATCTAACTAATATTGTTATTGTGATCATCATATTAAGTTAGTAGTATTAACTAATGGCTAAGATGTTGGTTGGTGACAATGAATAGGTAGCTGGAGAAAATCGAACAAGCTAATAAAAATATGAACCAAAATTTTCTAAAAGATTAAAAAAAAAAAAAAAAACAATTTTTGATAATGACTTATCAACCCTTTTTAATATTTTGATAATAAATTTGGAAAATGACAGTTTTCTTTTCCCTTGCACAACTACATCAATTATATCAAGCATATGATTGGAGTAATGTATTCCCACTTTATTTTCTTGTAAGCAATCACATCATGACACGTTATCACCTACTTACATAAGTCTCAATCAGAAAATTCATTATAGAAATATAATGTCTTCATTGCAACTTCAAAAGAGAGATGAAAAAAAAAAACATAAACAGAGGGAAACACAATTGTACAGTTTTTGCTTGCACTCTTTTGTTTATCTTCTTAACTCTTCATCATCCCTTAAGCAAATCTTGCAGAAAACATTATAAACACTAAAACACAACACACAAGACTTCTTAAATCAAATGGATGTTCTTTGTCTTGCTCCAAACTAAAACCTAAGAATCTACCCATTTGTTTTAGTCCTGCTCGGCATCTGCTTTTCGAATCAGATTTTTGGCTGTCTCAATACTAATTGAAACCCATCTAGTTATATCTACAGAGATCCCATTAGCTCATAAAGTCCCATCACGATCAGCACATTGTTTCAATAGAGATTGAAATAGTCTTCTCTTCCTTTGGTTGGTTCATTGGTGATGAGAGTCTCTCAACCAAAACATCTAATGCTTCTTTCATCCACCAATCTCTACAAGCTTCTCTTGCGTTCTCTACATTCATCTGTAATCTCCGTATAAAGAAAACACGAAATCAGTATAAATATTGGTAAAAACTAGATATGATTCAAAATATATATTTTTTTTCAAAAAACAAAGATTTGCTTTTATTTTAGCTACTGACCCAGGCTCTTTGCCTAGCATGTTGTTCAGGCCAAAGCTCAAGTTGTTCTGTAACAAGCATAGGGAACATTAGTCCTTCATAGTATGTTCCTCTGCTTTTGCTTAAGAAATCCCATTTTCCAAGTTGATGCTGCCAAAATTAAAATACAAGAAACAAACAAAACAAAAATATTAATAAAAGAACGTGAATAATATCATCTCAAATACAAGCAGAAAACAAGAGTTTAATTTAAAATACCTCAACGTTGCCAAGAACTCCAGCTTCTTCAAGAGATTCTCTTGAAGCAGCTTCTTCTACAGATTCATCAAGCTCCCAACCACCCTGGATTTTTATAAGTTAGTTACAGGAAAAAAAACAATTAGTCCCCAGAAAAATGTTTCTCTTTAAAAACTCCATAAACCATCAAACTAAGTATTGGTTAAACATATAAAAAAAAATTTCAAGAAAATTAAGATTCTTGATTAGCAATAGGATACCTTTGGGAACATCATGGCATGACCTTTTTGAGAAGATATCACAAGAACTTCTACTTCGTCGCTAAGTTTACCATCGCTTGATAATTTGAATCTATACGGAATACATCTGCAATTCCCACCAAAAATTTTCAATTTTCAGAAAAATAAATTGAAGATAATATATAACTCTTTTTTTGTCTCTAGTTTTTTCTTTTTTTGGTAAAGGGTCTTTGTCTGTAAAAACTATGCCCTGATCTATATATAAGTCTCTCTGTATTGTGTGTGTGTAGATGAACATACCCAACGACTTGACGACGACCTTTGTTGTATCTTTGGAATTGACGACCAGTGCGAGAAACCAAACACACCATTTTCTCAACACCCATTTTAGCTAAAGAGGAAGAGAAAGGGGTCTGATGTATATCAAGATTCTGAAGAACAATAACCTTCCAGATAAAGAAAGAAGGAGGATGAGGAGGAAGAGAAGGAGAAAGGGGTCCGATGTATATGAAAAATAAAGATTCACCGTTAGGTTTAAAACAGCTAAAACGGAGCAGAATCTGTGGTCGGTTTATAGATCGGACGTTTTAGTTATGCTTAAGTGTTTGTGATTCGATTGGTTGCGCCTGAAAAGATTTGAGAGAGAAGGAGAAGGAGAGATAGATGAGACAAAAAGCGTTGGTTTCAACCTCCAATGGCTTATCTTCTTTATATAAAAAAACGGCCGCACTCTTTTCTTGTTTTTCCTGTATTTCTTTCTCTTCTTGGAATTTTCTTCATTGGCTGAGAAAATTAGCTAATCAATTAATTAAGCTAATTATTTTTTTTTGGACATGTTAGTTTAAAGTACCATAACATATCTAAAAGACTAGTTTTATCTGATTTTCTAAAATGAATTAGACTAATCCGTCTCTATCAAATCTTTTTTTAGTTAATTTATGTTAATATTGTTGACATTTGTATCAGCTTTATCTATCAGAACTTTATTTGTTAAGTTAATTATCCTATCTTAGAACATTATTTATAACATCATTATTCATTAGAATCTCATTTTGTTTTAAAATTAATAATTTTGGTAGCATTTTTTGAAAACTTTGATTTACAATTTGATCTACCTATCTTTTTTGCTGTCATTTTTTGAAAACTTTGATTCACAATTTTAAAATGCTGTATCTTTTCACCAGGATATCCAAATATGATGATGATGATGCTGTAAGTTTTCTTCGTATATAATACATTCATTTGAAAAAGAAAAAAAAAATGAGAAATTTGGAAATTTTTGTGCATGTAGTTCAAGTAGGGCCCCCAGCAACAAGTGTAAACATTAAATACGGACAAACCAACCAAACTTTTGGATTATAATTAAAAACACTATAAATTGCAAGTGTGAAAGAAAATTTTGTATCATACTGTATAACTTAACGACAAATTTGCTGACACCAATACACTTTAACATAATCTTCTATAGAACAGTGTTTCGAGTTGAGATATTTTTTCATACTATAATTTGAGTAACTAAGTTATGGTAATTCATTTAGTACGTAATCATCGTTCTATTAGTTGTAGGCTTCTAGCCAAAGATCGATTTTTTTCAAACTAATTCTTTCTTTGAGATAATAAAAAAGAAAGATAATATGGGTTTGAGGGTTTCAATATTAAACGTCCGGTTATACAAAATGTTTACATTTACGTAAATATTGTGGGTCAACAAATTTAAGAAGTAAGAGAATAAAAATTAAGGCTTAGCCAATAATTTAACGTAATTAATAATTGGCCGTGTCCCTGTCAAGGTGTTTAAGAGGTTTCTCTGTCGTTTCGTGGTCTATGCTTGTAGGTTTAGTTGGTTAATAACGAGAGACATTAGGTTAATAATTAATCACGTAAATTTAATTAAAAAATTAAAACGCAGTAAAACAACAAAAGTCTCTTCCCTTACGCGGCACGTTTATGTTGACTTTGGAAGAGACATGGTCACGTGCGTCGACGTCCCCTATCATTTCCTTAGGCTCGACTCGATCAAGTGCGTGTTTGAATCGCGGTAGTAAGCGGACGCGTCTGCGTCTGATGTATGTTCGATGTATCTGCCTTTTTCTTACCCGAGTGATGCAAGTCGTTAACATATTGCAACTTTGCAAGTAATTCGATCGTATTATTCAAAATAAAACTGCTAATGTATAATGCGTGGTTTGGACCGTTTTTAAAACACGGTATAAGTATATAACCCATTTGAAAAATGCATATCTTTTTGATTTTAGTATACCTACCATGCATCCACATGCATGGAACACACATATTGGCACAAAATACGCGCGACAACCGATTAGGGCTTTATAATAATCGTAACTCTACAAAGATTAACTTTTTAGTTTTACGGTTTAATATTTCTTTTTAGTGCACGGGAAAAATTTCTGTAATCATTTTATTAGAAACATAGAAAGTATCTGATTAATTCAGTTATGTAGTTTATAAACAATAATATTTTTAGTGTGTGTGCAAGAAACAATAGTGTATCACTTACGTTAACATAAAGAAATGTGGTCAAGATTGATAACATAAAGGAGTATATATATGTTCAAGCTGTTTGGTTGATAATTTTCAAAGTCCAGTAGTCAGATAGTGTACGTAGAAAATACTACGAAAAGAAACGATCTCGAAGATTGAGTAGGTAGTCACGTAGACATATAGGCTACTACATACACCAAGAAGGTTCATTGAATTTTGCGAAATAAAACTATTATCATTATTATTAGATAGACTTATCAAATGTGGATACTTTCTGTAAATGTGTAGTACGTGGATCATTCTTAAAATGCTGCAACCATTAGTATTTAAATTTTTGGCCACCATTTTAGAATATATTCTGTAGAAACCCAAAAAGGTTTTTTCTTTCATCAGTTGATTTAAGTCTACGTAACCCACCATAGTTCCTGCGTTAAAAAAAAAAAAAATTCAAATTATGAGTATTAAGATTATTCCTTTATATGCCAAATATAAACAAATTATTTTATTGTTTATATTTTAAGTAGGTATGGAAAATAGTTAGCATCTCTTACACTTAGGCTACATTGGACGAGCCATAGTATTATCAAAATTTGGAACACTACAGAAGGAAGTTTTTAGAGATATCAACTTAACTGGTGTTATAAAAAGAAAAGTTTAATACTATTCAAACTTCTAAAGCTATGCGAAAATTCTAATGCTAATCCGAAACCCACGCCACTTTTTGTTTTCCTGATTAAATGTGTTATCTAGAAAACATTATACATGATCAAAATTCAAAGCTACTTCTCTGGATAGATAAATGAAAGAGATAGCGCCGCACAATATGTTTCTCCCACCCACAGACTCTTGCCTACAAATTACACGGACAGGAAAGAGTCTCAATAATCATTAACCAATAATCACTTAATGTTTTATGAAAAAATAATAATTATTCGAAGCTTCCTCTTGTTCTACATGATAAAATATGGTTCCTCAGTCCTTTTCTATTTTCTATTGGGTCGTGTGGTGTGGTGCGGTTTTTGGAAGCTCTTTCGATTCCAGTGTCTTGTTTGCGTTGAGGTTTCAATTTTTGTATCCTTTTACATCTGTTAAGTTAATACTTAATATTATCATCAAATGACAAAAAAAAATTCTCTCAGATTATTTTTGATTAGATAATGAATTATAATTTTTTGATGGTCATATATAGCCCAATTTTCCTATTATTACACTAGTTTTAAGCTTAATACAAGAATATTTTCCTATTATCTTTTCATATAAAGCTTTTTCTTTCAATTAATCAATGTTTCATTTTTCAAAGCTCTCCTAGTTTATTATTTGTATTTAGATATGTTGGAAAAAATATTTTGATATTTATACTACTTTTATATTTTATTAGTTTTTTCATCTTTTTTGTATCAATGCATGTTTTATGCAGAAAAAACTGCAGCACTATCATCACATGACTTAGAAAAATAAAATCATTGAAGTTTATAAAACATGCATAAATAAAGATGTGATAAATAACAATAAGATTAAAACATAAATGCATGCGTACAATAAACAAAAATTAGAATTTCCCCTTTTATATATATATATATATATATATGTCTTTAATCGGTTTAGACTATTAGTGATTGTTGCAAGAACATAAACTTCTAGAAATATTATTGTAGTCTTAAGAAAAAAAAAAGACAACATTAGAAAACGACTTTGCCACATCAGAGTTTTCTTCCAGAATTCACATTAAAAATTGGGATTTTCCCATCTAAAACTATAAAATTAGAAGAAGGAAACTGGAAAAGCGACATTCTAGAATTTGGTTTGAGTTTTAGACTTTTCACAGACATCCGTTTTAGTTTTGATGAGAAGTAGACTGAGAAGCAAGGAAATCTTCTTAAATTTGTGGGAAATATGGTATTTTAATTACAAATCCTAAACCTAACCACAAAATAATAATCGAAAAGAAAAACCACATAATAATAATAATATTGTACTACTCTGAATAAAACAAAATACGAGAACGAAGTTGAACGATGCCTATATATAAACAGTTAGATGTACGACGTATGAGGTATGACACAATAAGCGTGGAAAATTGGTTGCATGGGTTTAAAAGTAATTAAAAACTACATGTGAAATCTCGCACCACTTTTTATAAGATTTACTTTTCTTAACTACTACATTTTTTAATTAAATGTAACTATGTAATGGTATATATATATATATATATATATGATTAAGAGATTAGTTTGAATTTTGAATGGGAGAATAAACTTAATATATTTTGAATAGAACCTAAACCTATATAGTCTAAAATGTTAGAAATTTTTAAAATACAAAAAAAGAAAAGAATATGTCGGCATCAAAGGAAGACCGGAGCAAGTCGTGAGAGTTTAAATGGTCGGACTCCACATGCCCCCTTTCCCTCTTCAATAATACCTCTTGAGCCCACCCTACTTATCAACTCTAAATTGTGGGTTTTTTTTTGTTTTTTCGTTTCTGACCAATTTACAAGTTATGGTTTGTTTTTGCTGTTGTTTTATTTTATGGGTTTCTAATAGGGGTGTATTTATTTTGAATGCGTTGAAATTTGTTTTTGATATTTTAATAAATATACATTCATTACATATTTTCTTTAGAGAGTTATTTTTCTTCTTATTTTTACTTCTACATTGGTTTTGTAGAAGTAATTATGTCTCTGAACACAAGGTTTTTTCCGTATAGCTATGGACATTTTGATTTCAAATGTTTGGTAATCTTCCAACATTTATAATGATTACACGATAAAAAATACTCTCTCTGTTTTTTTAAGATGAATTTTATGGACATTTTTTGTTGTTTCACAAAGATAAATTTTTTAGCTTTTTGTAATACTTTTTCAGTTTTCAAGAAACAATAATTGGATTTGTTAGATTTTTATTGGTCTAAATTTATAGAAAATTGTTTTATTGCCAAAATCTATACATTAATGATTTGAAAATCAACTTTTCTTAATATGTGCGAAAACTCTAGAAAATTCATCTTAAAAAAAAATGGAGGAAGTACTTTAATTTATAAAAATAGTAAAGTGAGATTCAATCAGTACCACCATGTGACCTGATGGGCTTCTCGTAGACAGGTGTGGGGTCAATTTTGTTGGATCAACCAAACCAAAGATTTAGTATATTATAGGTATACATACTAGCATTAAAGATTACATAAGTAGTAAATACTATATAAACAATTGTTAGAGTCAAATTTATACGAAAGGTGGACCCAACTCCTAATAAAACTGATTTACGTCAGCTACTGTTAAGGATCTTAATGCATATATATTTTTTTTTTTTGGGTATGATATACATCATGCTTCCACGTAATTATGTTTTTTGTCTACTAAAATGTGCATGTCTACTAATTATGACTAATTTTCATTGTTGACGATAACTTTCAAGTTTCAACTATTAAGTAGTATTATATGTTAACGGTAGCATAACACGTGGAATCCAGGTTTGTAGAGAGCTTAAAAAAGTTTTCCCACCTCAATCTATTTGCGAATTTCTGAAAAATATCAAAGGTTTGATCGGTATTTCCCACTATTCGCAAATACAATTTTAGCATATAATAGTGTTAGTGACCATTCTAAATTTTTCAAAATCAAAGTTATTTTCATGGGTATTTGCGGTTAAGATGATTACAGATAAAAAAACAAAAAAACAATCATGATATACTCCCCATATTTCAATATATATATAGGGTTTTAGAGTTTTTTTTTGTTTCATATTATAAGGTGTTTACAAATTTATATGCAAAACTAAATATATTTTTATTATATTTAATTATTTATATTCTGCAGATTATTTTTTCATGGCTTGAAATATTTTGAAATTGATGATAAAATATATTTTATTATAAAAGTATAAAAATGAAAAGAGTTATTAATATGTATGCAAAAACCTCAAATCCCTTATATTATGAAACAAAAGAATATGATAATCTTCGTAGAAAATTAAGATTTGAATATTATAATCTCAAAATAAATAAATAAACTTGATATTTTTAGTTAATATTCATTAATGACCTTTCATAAATTTATATTTATAAGATTTCTAAACCAAATTATATTGATAAATGCTATTTTTCGCAACTGCAAAGTATAAACCACTCAAACCCTAACACACTTTGTGGAAAGACATCATATGGTGAGACTCATCACGCAGACCTTCAAATAAATGTACTTAATTAGAGTATTATTACGTCTACCAACCGACCTGTAAATTTTGATGCGAGTAAAACTAGCAGCATGTATCAACGGTCTACCATATATATATATATATTTCTTTAGGTACCCGATTTTATTGTTTTCTCTTATAAATATTACGATAAACTCTTGTAATATTTATGTAATAAGTTGCTCTGAATCATGTAAACTCTTGGAAAATGGTATGAAATCTTAACATGATTACCAAAATATATATATATATATATATTACGATAAACATTACTTGAAAGTCATTAGAAACTCATTCTTGAATATAATTTCTTAAGAATATAGCCATAAATGATACTCTCCATAACTCAAGAATACCTAATCTTGCGTTTACTCAGCTTGTTTTGTTCTTCTCAAGCAATTTTTTTTATCAACGCGTTGAGAATTTTTGAAAGGTAATATGCTCATTTACTTTTGAAAGTATGCTCTCTGTAGTTCCAAAGATCAATCGCAAAATGAGGAAGATCCAAATTTCTGCCACGAAAACATATCATTCTCAAGTAATGGGTTGCTGATGTATACCAATGTAAATTATTTCCTATGTCTTATATTATAAGTTGTTTTAGCTTAAACACAAGAATTAAGAAAATTATTTTGCTTTAAAAAAGTATCACTTAATATATAGATTAAATATCATTCAACCAATCATAAAAAATACCTGCAAAATATAAGTGGTCACACAGTTTTACATAAAGTAAAAGTGCATTGAAATGTCAAAAATGCTTATATTATGGGACAAAATTTATAAGCTAAAATAGCTTATATTATGGGACAGAAGGAGTACTTAATAACTTAAAACCAGTTGTTGGACAAAAGAAAACTTAAACTAGTTTTCGTTTCTTCCATACGAGTTTTTGTTTTACTTGTAAACGATTTAGCTGCAAGACTACAAAACTTTATACGTTGATAAATGGTATATATGTATTGGATCCAAGTAGGATCCAAGTAGGATATCGAAGACTTTGAAGGTCACATCTTTTTCAAACGACTTACTTATATATTTAAATGTATAGTAAAAACATTTTCTTAATTAAAAAATAGTAAACATTTTAAAAAAATTAAATTTTCTAGAACACATAAATCTCCGTAATAAGATAATTTAAATTAATTGTACTTGTTTGTTTTCTTGTACTTTGGTTGTTTTGTGGATAAAATCCAAAAATGATCATATTGGAGATCACTATCTGTCGACGTGGCTCACTTACGACTCAATCCCTTTTCCACACTTTGTTTGTTTGTTTTTGTTTTGTAACGACAAATGATGGTGGTCATTTGGGTCGGTGGTGGGTTCCGTCTCCTGCGACGCTGACGGTGCCCAAGTGTCGTCAACGTAAAACATCGAGAACAATGCAAAATTCGTATTACTTTGTTTCTTAATGCTAATTGTTAATGGGTTAAAGCCCAAATCAAATATGGGCGTAAACAATATAGAAGCCCTACTTTGAAATCTGATATGTACTCGAGTTATGATTGGCTGCTTGGGCTTAGTCTGTACTCTGTTTTACACTTTTACTCAACTGTAAATTTGGGATCCAATTTGAGATTTTCCTCGAAGAAAGTGGAGATAAAAAAATTGGCAGGTGAAGAAAAGTATATATATTTTTATAACTCAGGGATAAATTTGAGATCTATGAAGGATCCAACTTAATCCCTATAGAAGAGGTGCAATCAATAGATAGATCTTTTTTTCGAGTATTCAAATGGACTCGTAAGCAAAGTTCATATCTGTATAGATATTCTAGACTAATGTGTTATAGTTTCGCGTAGCAGGTAAATCGAACTTCAAACGTGTTGGCTTTCCAAATCCGTCTCTTTACACTCGACCAAAAGGCTCAAACTATATATTTTTTTTTTATTATGATTATAGTATAATTTTGTTTGAACAGAAAAACTATTTTTTTTAGTCTTCACGAATTATATATATTTAAAATGACAAGGCATTTTAATTTTTCCCCATAATTAAATTGTTTCCAACTGTCAACGGTCCACATGATCATTCGTTATCTATACTAGAAACATTAAACAGAATAATATTTTTTTAATAAGAAAAACGCTGCTGTCTTATCAAATTACGAAAAAATCATTTAAATACGAATTATTGAAGTGGAAAAATTCACAGACCATTCAGGGTTTGATACTTTGATTGATGAAAGATTCGATTATCTTTTTTAGCGTCAACTCCCAGACAAAAGAAAGAAGCAAAAGCTTTTCAAAAAAAAAAAAACATTTCTTTTTTCTTTTTAAAAAGACAATAAAAAATCACACAAAAGCAAAAGAACCCAACACGGTTCCACATGAACTCCAATTCGATTGCAAAGCAAAACTAAAACAAAAAAAAGTCTTTTTGAAATTATTGAGGAAAAAGAAAAGGAGAGAAGATCCAATATTGTTCATAATTTCATATGATGGGGTTTGGGTGAGAGATTTCTAGAGAGAGAGTGTCTGTGTGTGTGAAAAGTTAAAAAAAAAGTTTGCTTTGAGAGAAAGCTCAGAGCTTTACGAAGATGGAGGCGAAGCAGATGAGGTTCCTTACTCACCAAGCTTTCTTCTCCTCCGTTCGATCAGGAGACCTCTATCAACTGGAAGAACTAATCGACAAATTAACCGGAGACGAGGTAAGCGACGAGTCGTCACCGTCTTCCGCGGTGGCTGAGCTTATGTCCGTGCAAAACGACAACGGAGAAACCGCCGTCTACATCGCCGCCGCGGAGAATCTCGAAGATATTTTCCGTTACTTGATTAGGTTCTGTAGTTTGGAAACAGTGAAGATCAGATCCAAATCCGACATGAACGCGTTTCACATCGCCGCCAAGCGAGGTCACTTGGGTATATATCTCTAATTTCCAAAATTTCTCCAGTTTCCACTGAGTTTTGCTCTGATTATGATTTCTGACAAAACAAAACTCAGATCTTCGAGATAAGTTATAAATCTGTGTACAAGCATAATCCAATTCCTGCAGATTTCACTGAATTTTGGTTTCTGAGATTTAAACGTCAAATGGCTCTGTGTTTGATTTCTACAGGAATTGTGAAGGAGCTACTGAGTCAATGGCCGGAGCTCTGCAGAATCTGCGACGGTTCCAACACGAGCCCGCTTTACGCAGCGGCGGTCCAAGATCACTTGGAAATAGTAAACGCAATGCTCCACGTCGATCCGAGCTGCGCAATGATCGTTAGGAAAAACGGCAAAACCTCTCTGCACACGGCGGGAAGGTACGGCCTTCTCCGGATAGTGAGAGCGCTCATAGAGAACGACGCGGCCATCGTCGGTGTCAAAGATAAGAAAGGCCAGACCGCTCTTCACATGGCCGTTAAAGGACAGAGCGTTGAAGTCGTCGAAGAGATTTTGCAGGCCGATTACTCCATTTTGAACGATCGAGATCGTAAAGGAAACACCGCTCTGCACATCTCTACTCGAAAATCGCGGCCACAGGTAATTGTTTTGCAACCGCGCAAATCTGCGACTGCCAAACAAACAACACTTGATCTCAATTGCAATTGCGATTGCGCATTTTCGAAAAATGCTGGTTTTTGATTTTTGTTTGATTTTAGATAACGAGCTTGTTGCTGACGTTTACGGCGATAGAAGTGAACGCGGTGAACAATCAGAAAGAAACGGCGATGGATTTGGCGGATAAGCTACAATACAGCGAATCGGCGTTGGAGATCAATGAGGCTTTAGTAGAAGCTGGAGGCAAGCACGGGAGGTACATTGGTAGAGAAGACGAGGCGAGAGCGTTGAAGAGAGCGGTGAGCGATATCAAGCACGAGGTGCAGTCGCAGCTTCTGCAGAACGAGAAAACCAACCGCCGCGTCTCGGGGATCGCGAAAGAGCTGAGGAAGCTCCACAGGGAAGCGGTGCAGAACACGACGAATTCGATAACGGTCGTGGCGGTTCTGTTCGCGTCGATAGCTTTCCTGGCGATATTCAATTTGCCTGGGCAGTATTTCACCGACGGGACGCAAGCCGGTAAAGCGGAGATCGCCGGGAGGACGGGATTCCGGGTGTTCTGTCTGTTAAACGCGTTTTCGTTGTTTATATCGCTGGCGGTTGTGGTGGTTCAGATAACGCTGGTTGCTTGGGACACACGGGCGCAGAAGAAAGTAGTATCGGTGGTGAACAAGCTCATGTGGGCGGCTTGTGCTTGCACGTTTGGAGCGTTTCTGGCGATTGCGTTTACGGTGGTGGGGAAAGGGAATTCGTGGATGGCGATCACGGTGACGCTGCTTGGAGCGCCGATTCTGGTTGGGACGCTGGCGAGTATGTGTTATTTCGTGTTTAGGCAGCGTTTTAGAAGCGGGAACGACTCGCAGAGAAGGATTAGGAGAGGGAGTGGGAGTAAATCGTTTTCTTGGTCTTACTCTGCTCATGTTTCCGATTTTGAAGACGAATCGGATTTCGAGAAGATCATTGCTCTCTGAATCAATATCTTTCTCTCCTCTTTTCCTTTTTCCACAGAAGTTTCTGTTGTATGTATGTATTCTTAGAAAAATAATAAAAAAGAAAAAAAAATTATATATAATCTCATTTTTCCGATGGAAAAATTGATTCAAATGTGGTTATAGACTATTATAGATTCGTAGCTGTAGCTTTTACAATTTTAACACAGAAATCGTTCACATGCAAACTAAGTAGGAGATGTTATGTAACTGAGAAAACAAGAGACATCATCATAGAAGGATGAGATTTGCAGAAGCAAAATCATAAAGGAGCATCATTCAACATAAAATATTCAATAAGTCAAATCTCTACACCAATTTTCTTCTCATGTGGTTTTCCAGTTAAAAAAAAACAACACAAAACCACATGATGAATTTTCTTTTTCTTACATCCACAAAGGTATAAAATAATATTCCTTCGAAAAAAAAGAACAATGAAGCAAATTCAAGAAAAGAAACCCAAAAAAGGTAGACTGAAGAATCTCTCGTAAATAAAACCGGACAGAGAGATAAGAGAGGATGGACACGACCGTAGCTTTTCCACAAGTTCCGAATGAAACTTGAAGAGTTACTAAAAAAGAGATATACAATTTTACAGGAGACAAAAGGGATCGGTGGTGTCCAAACGAAGAAGAAGATGATGATGCGGAGGACGGATCTTATTATTATTATGTATAATATTGATATTACCAGGTTAAAGCTGTAATTGACCAGGGCCTTTTCTTGAGGATCTTGATGGAGGTCGATTGTTGTCTCCGACTGATGATGATGTCGAGGAAGGTGGTGGTCGCTGCTGTTGTTGTTGTTGTTGCTGCTGCTGTTGTTGTTGTTGTTCTTCCGATCTCCTAACCTCCTGACACATCAAAATTAAAGCACAATGAGATTATATCTTAAGCTAGACTCCAGTCAAGGCCTTGACATGTTGTGTTGCATTGTGTGTTACCTTTGAGGTAGAGGAAGATGAGCTGCTATAAGAGTAGTTCACTTTAGTCCTTGCAAGGCCACGGTGCTGATTCTGTACGTTCTCGAACTGTTGTAGCCGCGCATCAAAATTGATTCCTTGGTGAGAATTGTTGATATTATTATCTTCTTTTCTGTCACCGTCCTCGTGATGATGCATGTACTGAGAGAAAGGCACTGAGGATGCTCTGCTTATTTGTTGGTCTCCACCGCTGAAAGAGTATGTTGGCACGGTTTTAAGCCTTGTCCGAAGTATCTTAAACGCCGCACTTTGCTGCATACAAAACAACACCAAGAATTTTCAAGAACCATCAACAAACAAAACAAGCTGATGGTCCTAAGTATCTTATTTTTTTCTCTCTTTTACCTGAGGAAGTAACATTAGAAGACCATACAGTGTTTTCAACAACCATGTGTATCTTCCTGGTTCAAGAAGCTGCAAAAGAGAAAAAGGGCTTCATTATTAGCAACGAAAAGGAGACGCAGCTAACTAACTGGTTTGAGAAAAATCAAGCAAACCTGCAATCTAAGGTACGTAAAGATTGGAGTTTCGAGAAGCCGGATCAATTTATCAAGCTGTACAAGAAATTTGACGTTAATGTCTTCTTCTACCAATGATTGAATCACCACACTCGCGTGCTGGTAAGCCTGTCAATAAATTCCATTTGCTGATATTCAATACCGATTGGTGAACAATCATGTCATAAGAAGCATTGTGTTTGTATTTTACCTGAGCTAATAAGCAGAGGCTTATGATTGCCATGGGTGAATGGCACCATGAAGCGTACAAGGCAACCAAAAGTTCTTTCCCTTCGCGATTGACGAGTGAACCTTTCAAAAGATCTCTTAGTTTTGATAATTCAGGGGAAGTAAGCAAAATCAAATTCAATGCCTGAAAACATAAAACAAAAATAAATAAGAAAAGACTGTATATATGTTACCACATCAAAAAGTTAGGAAATACATAAACCAAATAGACAGCCAAATCCTTGTAACATTCCTTAATTGAATAAATCTAGGAAAGGGAGATAATACCTGAACCATGGTAGAAGCAAAGTCAAGATTATCTTCTCCCTCGAGTATAGTAGAGAGCTCTCGGTACACTCTTTCAGCGTCCAGAAGGACACACAATCTCCGGACGATAAGGGCACCACGCCTGAAACGAGATTTGTTTTGACCAAGTAAATAATATGTTCTTACCAGAAACTTAAAAAGGCAGATTATCAGATGGGACTAACCTTTCCAACAAAGAATTATCAGCTCGGAAATTGTGGACTAGAAAGACGATGAGCTGGCGAAAGTGCTGTGGATCTTTTGCTACACCAGCGTGAACCTCCAGAACCAAGAGCACCACCTATGATATATTTTTATGACCACATAAGTTTATTACAAGTCAAAACTAAGCTTAGATAACATCAAATTCACCAAAGAAACAAACAAACATTCAAGGGGATAAACTTACGTCATCAGAAGAATCAGATAATGCTTTTAAAAGGGTGTCAAATATGTCGTTCAGGAAGCACAGGACCTGTTACAATATCATCAGCTTAGCTATAAAGCGGTAAACAAAAGGAGTAACTTGAAAAAGAATGACGCCGAACAAAAACCAATCTCTTCACCTCGGTACGGTGCTTGTTTAAAAGTGTTGATATCCAATTCAATGCTTCAATTCGAGTAGCCTCAAAATCACTTGATAGCTGTCTGGTGAATGCAAAAACTCACAAATCACAAAAAGGCAACATTGATAGCATTGAAAAGGACCAAAAACAAAGACATAGGAAAAGAAAAGTAACCTCCTTGCTACAGAGAGAATTGCGCCAACATCGAAACCATCTGATGGTTCAACATGGATTGTACGCAGTTCTTCGTTGGTTTCACGAGCAACCTAACGCAAACAAAAACCAAAGAAAGTGAAAAGTTGCATACGAAACCTACAGTTTCAATCACTGTGGAGAAGGAGCCAAACTTACCACCCTGATTTTTTCCTCTTTGTCAGATATGCAAGGCAAGATAGCTCCAAGAATATCAGCATAGTAACGCACGAGCTGATCACCCCCGAGTTTTACAAACTCGTTTATCTACAAAAGTACAATTTAGAAAAACACCTATTCTGAGCTGAAAATCTCCTGAATATTAAAGTAAAAGTAAGCACCCATATCTGTCACTAGAAGAGGCCAAGCAGAAGCATGGTTTTTCTGCTTACCCACGTGATGGCTGTTAATCGAGTGAATTCATCAGGAGAAGCAGCCCTCTGCACCAGTATTTCAGCCATGCGACCATAATCTACAGACTTTCAACATAGCACTGCTACAGTCAGAAATTTACTGATGAAATCACAACAACAGAAATGATCTAACCCAGTTCCGAAGACTTTCAAACAAAGCATTTGGATGTGTAATTAAGATATCTCAACAGAGGGTGTGCAAATCTTCCAAAATGAGAAATTTACAGAAAAGCAGACTGAAGAGGGATTTTATAGCAGAGTTATAAATCAGGACACAGCAAAAATCTTACTGGTGAATTTTTTATCTCTTGAAGAAACTCTGAAAGAGCTGAATCAGCCTGTTGTCGAATTTCATGACTAGAGTCGCTCAACATATTGAATAACCCTGGAGATATATTGACAAGTTAGCTCAGCCGAACACACAAAAATAAAACTTGAAGAAGGTCAAATATATCTACTTTAAGTCATCAAAATTTCAATTACCATCGAGAAAGTCGGGCAGAAACCCAAGCATATCAATGTCTGGAACACTGTCAAGAACAGTGATCCATCCTACCAGAAATTGTCGAACATAAGGGTTTAAAACGTTCATGCGTTCTTTTAACAGAGGTATGAACTCCTCAATACTGAAACGATGAGAGTCATGTCTGTAACGTTAATAGTAGCATAGTTGTTTTCCATACACAGAAAAGAAAAAAGAGAGGCTAACTTAACACACCTGAACTGATCACTTTCCGTCACAATATCCTAATTCCACAAGGCATAACTCTAATCAGCATATGTTTATAATCAATATACCACTCAGTGTGTAAGAAAAACTATTCACACCTTAACAAGGCGATCCAAAAGATGAGCAGCACTTTGGACATTGGCATCAGAATCTGCTGAGAGCTTGCATAAAGCATCAAAAATCTGATTGAAGAAAATAATGAACTCGCCTCTCACAACCTGTAGTAAAGCCATAAAAGAAAAGGCAATGATGCATCAATGCCAAATAACACACAGAAGAATAAACCAAACGGCATGTATACTACTATAGTCTTTACCTTTGCAATATTATAGAGAGCTTCGCATGCATAGTACCGAACTCGGCTATCTTGATCAGAAAAGGAGTTAATCACAGGTGGCACTATTTGCTTCATGTTTCATGAAATCAAAAAGAACAATTAGAGAATATCCTATAATCCAAGAAAGAAAGTCCAATGATACCATAGATGGATTAGATTATAGTAAAACAAAACTTTCATTATATTGCTATTGAGCAGCTTTACTATTTGTTATACCTCAAGATATTGAGCAGCTTCTGAAGACAAACCAACTGTTACAGCAGCTAAGCCAATAAGTCCACCCTATTTAAGAAAAAAACGATCCAATAAACCAGTACCCTTGGATCTAAGTGAATTCAAATGCTAAACAATCGATCAAAATGCAAACCTTTCGATGATTTGCTTGAGGGGATTTGGCAAATTCCTTAATCAACACCTCAATGACTTTCGAGATCTTGTCATGGTCACCAGCAGAAGTTAAATTCTTCACAATACCCTCAATCTACAATTAAAAGGGCAAAAGTTGTATTCATCATCTCAGCTAATGAAAGAGATAACACAGAAATATATCCAAAAACCCTAAGAAGCAAAGGAAGAGAAGTGAGAAAAAAAAACAAAAAAAACTTCGATGTCAAACCTCAAGCGCTGCATTTTTCCGCTTCTCATAGAGTTTATCGGAAAGATTGCGATGAAGAGCGGCCGGAATCGGAGAAAATGCGTCTGACATGTCAGATGAAATCCAGAAAGAGAAACCAAAATCTCCGACGACCTAAATCGTCTTTCCCCAAAAAAACAAGACGGCTTCGAATCGGTGTATGAAAAAATTCTCTCTTCGCGATCGGAAAATTGTTTCCAGAATCGATCAGAAGAAGTGAAGAACGGCGGATTATTCAACGTCAAAACAAGAAAACAATCAGATCTGGTCAAAAACGAGGAACTGATCTGTGGCTACCAGTTACTCGGTTTCCAGAATTCGATTTCCGGAAAAAACAATTTCCTGATTATTATTAAATTTTATTTTTATTTTTTCAACAACTCTCTTTTTTTCCTTTGCTTCCTTAATCCTTAGTGGATAGCTTATTTTCTTGGGTATTAATCAACACACAAGTAATATTTGAAAATGAATAATATAATTCGAAAATATATAGACAAGTGAAAAGTGCGTGATCACTGTGGTAAATGACAAATACACCCATAATGGAGGGCAAACCAAAGGGGTAATATGATATTTCACATACTGGTATTTTTTGGTGATTTTGGCTCATTCATACTTATAAGACTGTTTATTTGAAAATATATTTTTATTATTATCTGGCTTTTAATCTATCAAATTTTTGCTTGTTTACATATTGTTGTTTAACTAAATTACTAGTTTAAAACAAATTAGCTTATTATAATGAGTTTTAGGTGTTTAAATTTACAACTATATAAAATACTAGATATGGACATGAGCGATGCACACGTTTTTATAAATTTTATTTAATTTTAAAAATAAAAATTTGAAATTGAATTTTATCCAAATTTCCGTATTATACATATTTATTATGCTTGAATAATTACTTGTTTGAGATAATTTAATTTGTTATAATGGTACCGAAAGATGTTAGATATAAGAATGTAGCATATGAATTAACTGTTTAGATATTTAAATTTACAATTATAGAAAATTATAGAAATTTCTCAAAATATTTATCATGAAGGTAATTTTTATCCAAATTATTGAAAGTTTTAAAAATAAGTTAGATGATATAACTATTTCAGTATACTTTCTATATTATATTAATTTTTAATTATTATCATTTTTTTTCCGATATCCACAAAAGAAAACATCTTCTTGTATAAAGGATTCAGCAATATCCAAAATATTCGGCTCATTTTCTAGAGCAGCAAAAATGTGAATGTCTTAAGACACTAAACTACGGAAGAAAACAGATTTCATACTGTCAGGAACATCTGAGTTGCTCGATCAAGTTTGTAGTCTCCAATCCCCATTTGTCTTCTTATTTCATATGTGAAACAAATCTAATCCAAACTTACCTTAATCTTTATATTGTACAATCTTTGTTCGTATAGTGATTGTAATTCTGAAATTTTAAAAAGTAATGGTTTTAACTAGAGGTTCTTATCTCTACTATTACCTTATACTAAATTTTACAAATATACTTTGAATACTATTTTTCGATAGATGAAGGATCCTTACCTCTTATAATTCTATCTTTTACACATTTTTGTATATATAAGCAACCGAACAAAACTTTACACACAAATTTGTATATAAATTTTATGAGTACCTATTTTTTATTATTTTCCTTTGGATTTTCAAATACTAATTTTCATTTTTTATTGGGAATTGTTATTAGCTATATACCCACTTTAAACATTCTTGGTATATAGCTAGATGTTGCTCAATAGATATGCACTCTCTGTCACTAGGATCGCTTGGGTAAAAGTAAAACTTAGCTAGTTTCATCAACTTAAACTAATCAAATTCAGAGAACAAACTAATGAGAGATAAAGAAGCTGAACAAAATAGCATATAAGCAATTGACTTTGTAGTGATGCATATTTTGCACTTGTGGTTTTTTTCTTTGACAATTTGATTCAACAAAATCTTCTTCCATGTCCACCATCTCAATATCTTTTTTTCTTTCACAAAAAGAAGAAACCTTAGTCACAAGAGAATCCCAAACATCATTCTTAAAAGTTTGGAGCTATCTCTTCAGTGATTTCACCAGTTACATAACATCCAAAAATTCTTGATCCCTTCTTTGCAAAGCCATGAACAAGTTATTTGTAAGCTTTCAACATTTGTAAGTTTGTGTAGACGAGGGGGTTATAAGGAATTTCTTATGTAGCTTAAGGAAGCTCTTCAATGTAAGGAAGATGCCGATGGTTTGGGTTATGTGGGAAGTACCGTTTAGGTTGCGACATGTATGGTAGATAGTGGACAAATCTCTGTATCAATTTTTTTTTGTATTGTTCTCATGCCTTGAATGCAAATTGAATAGAACTCGATCTTCAAGGAATAGTTAAAACAAGCCAATTTTTTTTGTTGAATCTTCTTTCAGTCCATATAGTAACCGCAAGTATTTTGGATATATAATTATGATTGTATATAATACTATGATTGTATATAATTATGATTTCTTACTAAAAGCAAGTATCTAGTCACATTATTGATTTTCTTTTGAACAATTGATAATTTGTAAAAAAGACTTTATTTGGTTAAGGCAAGTAAATACGGAATAAGTAGCAGATATCGTCCAAACATCAAGTAATGTCTATTGGATTACATGTCCGAATAACATTTTTGTTAATTCTACATGAACTAAATATTACAAACAGAACCTCCTATACTCCAAAATAAAAATAAAAAATTGGAAAAAGAAACGTATGAATTTTCTTATTAATCAAGTTTTTTTTCTTCGTTAATTACAATGTTAATTTTTGTTTCCAACACACAGCCAATCAGAGCCTTCATATCTGTTCTTCATCATCTTCTCTTCTCAATAAAAACAAATAGATCTGCTCGCCATTTCTCCGCCATAGCCGTGGTCACAGAACCGAAAAGGATAGGGTCCGTCGATTGAGCAAAGGAGGTTTTTGTAATCGAAGAAGAAGATGGGAGAAAACCCAAACCGACCTGAAGCCGAACGTCTTCTCGGAATCGCCGAGAAGCTTCTCGAGTCACGAGATCTGAACGGCTCAAAAGAGTTCGCCATCTTAGCTCAGGAGACAGAGCCGCTTCTCGAAGGCACCGACCAGATACTCGCCGTGGTCGACGTCCTACTCTCCTCCGCGGCGGAGAATCGCGTCAACAACCACCCAAACTGGTACCGAATCCTCCAGATCGAAGACCCAAGCGAGTCTTCCGCGGACCTGATCAAGAAGCAGTACCGCCATCTCGCTCTGCTCCTCCACCCGGACAAAAACCGTTTCCCATTCGCCGATCAAGCCTTCCGATTCGTCCTCGATGCATGGGAGGTGCTATCAACGGCCGCGAAGAAGTCCCAGTTCGATCGCGACTTGAACATCGTCTACGCCAAAGTAGATCTCAACGGCAACAGGCAGAATCATAAGAAGAAATCAACAAGCGAGAGGATGTCGACGTTTTGGACGGCGTGTCCTTACTGTTACAGTCTCCACGAGTATCCTAGGGTTTACCAAGAGTACTGCATCAGATGCCAAAACTGCCAGAGAGCGTTTCACGCCGCCAGTATACAGCAATTGCCTCCGTTGATACCTGGAAAAGACGAGTATTACTGTTGCTGGGGGTTTTTTCCGATGGGATTCGTCGGCGGGAAAGACGGAGAATCCGGCGCCGCAGCAGCTGCTAATGGAGGTGAGACAACGAAATTCCCGAATTGGATGCCTCCGATTTTCAACTCTGGCCAAAACCACACTGTAAATGGCGGCGCCGGAGCTCCTCATAGTGTTAACGGTGGATTCGCGACGCCAGCATCCGTTACGCCTCATCCTCCGTCTTCTTCTCACAGTGTTCCGGTTAGCTTTGATGGATGGTCTGGTGGTGCGGGGAAGAGAGGCAATGAGGCGGTGAGGAGCAACGACAACGGAGTTAACTCTGATGGAATGCCGAAGAAGAGAGGAAGAGGAAGGCCCAAGAAAAACCAGCTTCAGTGATCTTTTCAAGCTCCGGCGATGCTTCAATTGGAGAAAATTTTCGAAGGCAGTTTTTCTTTTTGTTCTTCCTTAAAAGGCAAGGAAAATTAGGATCAGTGTTTGTTGTTGTAGGCTTGTAGCGTTAATCGTTTACTGTAGTTTGTTAATTTAAGCTTCTTCTTTTTTGCCATTGTTCTCTGTATTTTGTTGTTATATCTGCGTTACCTTCATTTGCCTCTCTTATTCGAGACTCTTATCCGCGCGAAATCTTGGGAGGAAGTTAAATGCAAAATACTATCACCAATGGTTCATTAGAAACAAAAAGAGTGTCAAAGATACAACAACTACGAAAGGCAAACAGCAACTACAAAATTTAGTGTTCTTATAAAATAAGAGGTCTATTTCTTGTAGGAGTCTATAAATGAAACCGCAAGAGATTTCTACTTCTTGGCGATATTGAGATCGATGTGTACATAGGCAAGAGAAGCCACAAAGACGAAGAAGAAAGCCGATACAAGCATGAATGGTTCCGCAAGCATGTATATTGGTTTGAACGTATAGTACACCTGCCAATAACCCATCACACAGTTTTATAACGTAATGTTGAGTTTTGAGCCTGTTACTAATACTATATGTGAGTATCATAAGCACAAATACTATTGCACCGGAGGCTTTTAATTTTTACCTGGAAGGGTACGTTGTGAGTGGGAACTACATTATCCTTTTGCAAGACGACCACGGTTCTTCCCACAATGTCAAGGTATGAGTACTTGACCTGAGGCAAAGACCAATATAGATTCATGTTGCGTATAACTATAGCTGAAAATGTAATTCATGTATGTATCTGTGTGGCTAATGAAGATACCTGTAAGTCCTGATTGACTGTAAAAGGCAAAACAGCGGAAGGGTCCTTTGATCCTTCAGGAAGCACGACCTGAAACAATATCTTCCTGTGTTAGCTACTGATTTCTAACCACAGAGCTTGGAGAAAAAACAATAGTAGGAAATGATAAGCAACCCACTTTGACAGTCAACTTGTTAACTACAGTTTCAACGAGCGGGCACCCAAAGGTAAAGTTCAAGTAACGTCTCCCATCGGATGCTTCAAAGAGATAGTCCTCCAACGGAACTCGGTAGCCGATGATAAAAGTTGCTCTCCACCCTCCAAATAACGGGTACCGCGGCTCAAATTCAAGTTCTGACTGCAAAGACCAATAGATTTTTTTTTTTGTTTTGAATAACAAACATATCAGATCACTTTCTTTGAAGGTAGAAAGTTTGAAGTATACGTCCCTAAGTACCATTGTCAATTAATGTAACACACCGTTGAACAATTAGAGTCTTAGGAGTAAGTAAATATCACTGCCTAAATGTCTAGAGATAAAGCCAAGAGAGTAACCCAACCAACCATACCTTTCTAAAGCCTGTACGTAAATGTGAAGTTGAGATGTTTCCGATTTCATCTCTGTAGTAGACAGAGTTAACCCTGGGAGGCAGTACTGCAAGGAGCCCAATGAAAGAGGATGCACCACTGATGGAACGTTTAGACTGATAATCAACCCTGCCAAAACTCAAATCGTTTCAGCAAACAGACATACATATGAATACAATAATCATAAATAGATTTTGACAAGACAGTTTCACTTCAGTAAAAGAGAAAAGTTCCACAGACTACATCCTACATAAAATAAGACATTACATACCTTGAGAAAACACCCTTATGCCGAGCTCCCCCATGAGTCAACTTGTAATTCTCTGTAATCTGAAGGCTACCCCAGTGTGAAATCTCAATCTCACGCACAAGTTCCTCAACAACAGCAAACGGACTGTTATTCTCAAAGTGTACAATAACAGGTGTGTAAGAGTACGGAGCACGATCCTCATACGGTCCATACTTGATCTCTTTCCCAGCTCGGTTAGCAGGTTCGACGCTAGTGAACGACTCTACTCTAGTACTAGGAGTCTTAAAGAAAGTTGTCTGTTGCTTAATATGATACGGCGATAGTATCACTGCACTATCACGGTAGTAAACCAACTGAGATTCTGACTGGGCTATCTCCATCGGGAAAGGCTCTAAGGAATGAGTCAATATGTATAGCACCTCAAGTGTAACGGTTTCACCGGGTCCCAAGGGGCTAGCAAACGAAATACTGAAGTGTCCAGCGTCATTTGGTGGACCACTTAGTTCGGTTGGTTTTACATCTAGAGGCAGGTAGGTTTTCTTCTTCTTTTTGCCGGTAATTGCCAGAGCTTGGACCATAGCAAGATTCTTGATCTGTGTAGGTGGGAACGCAAGAAGCATCTCCGCAACAGGACTTTTCCCAATATTTTCGACCTAAAGAAAGAAAATGCTAAAGCTACTAAGTTCTGAAATCATCAACAAATCATCAACTAGTGTATAACATATCCACAAGGGCTTCAAATCGCAGTCTTAAGTTCCAAGCTTCCAGAGTATTCTCAAAATGAAAAGATCTACTATGAAATCTTAAAGAGAGATAGATACCTTGAGAGTCAGGAAGGCCTTGACGATATGTGAGCTTACATCAATCTGCAGACAAAAACCAACACAAAGAAAGAGCATTTTAGAATCAAATCTCACTTTCAGGCAAAGAAGATTTTGCGAACAGGTTCCATCGTTAACCTCTCAGATTACTGAAATTGAACGTAAAACTGGTGAAAATTGAGTGGAATTATCTATTGAAATACAAAATTTGATCCATCTGTGAAGTGATCAATCACACAGTAATTCTACAATACTACATAGATCGGAGAAACGATAACACTCAACGGCACCTTCATTAATTCGAAGTTCCAATAAACGTAGAAACGGATCCATTAAGGAGAGTAGATTTATATGAATTTGTTACAGAAGAGAGAGAAGATAGATCGGATACCCTTCGCTCGGCATTTACGATCTGGAGATCCTGAGCTGAGGAAAATCCAGAAAGAGATAAGAATACAGCTACAACGACGGAGAAGATCCAGATACGAGCACCCATTTCGTCACTGCACGAAGAACAAAACCCCATTAGCTCGAAGATGGCGAATTGATAAGATCAGGAAAAGGAGAGAGTGAAGACACCAACAGCGAGATCGCAATACGGAAAAAATAGATACCGACGGAGGAAGGATCGTCGGCCGGCGAATTCACGTGAAGGAGGAACACTGATCCGGTCAACTACAAAGTCTCAGTCGCTCACGAGTACGGGGATTAGTCTTTAGGAACTTTTCTTCCTCAGAACTAAAAACGACATGAGACGTCGTCGTTTTACCTTTTCGTAATTTAAAGGGCTGTGAGAGCATTGGGCTTTCCTTTACTCTAAGCCCATTTATAATAATCAGCAACGGACACTTTGCCGCCATTCTCATTCTCTTTCGTTTTCGTTTGTCGACCTAATCAAAACTTCCATTGAAATCGTGTTTTTGGTTTTTCTTCTGTAACATCTACCATGGCGATCGATTGCCTAGTACTCGGTAACAGTACTTTTCTCTTCTTCCTTTTTATCATTCTTAAAGTTTGGAGATTCAGTATTGATGTCGATAGTGGTGTTTTCAGGTGCTGGGCAAGAGATAGGAAAGAGCTGCGTGGTGGTGACGATAAATGGTAAAAGGATAATGTTCGATTGCGGGATGCACATGGGATGCGATGATCACAATCGATACCCAGATTTTTCTCTGCTCTCCAAATCCGGTGATTTTGATAACGCGCTTTCTTGTGTCATCATCACTCACTTGTATTGATCTAGAAAAGCCCACGATTTTTCTCCTTTTCTTTTTCTGGGATCGCATGGATTCTAATTGTGTGTGTGTTTCCGAGTTGTATACAGCCATATGGATCATGTTGGAGCGCTTCCTTACTTCACGGAGGTCTGTGGGTACAATGGCCCGGTTTACATGTCGGTGAGTTATAAGCGTCCTCAAGGTGTTCGATGAAATGTTTTTTTTTCCAGGTAAATGTTGTTTACTCTGATTTGTTTCTTTTTGTAGTACCCAACGAAGGCGTTGTCTCCATTAATGCTTGAGGACTACCGGAGAGTGATGGTGGATAGAAGAGGAGAGGAAGAGTTATTCACCACTGCCCATATTGCAAACTGCATGAATAAAGGTGCTTGCTTTTTATGTACTAGTTTCATCTGATTCATGTATCTATAACTTGGCGTCCTTTTGTTTCTTTTTTTTAGTAATCGCAGTGGATTTGAAGCAAACAATTCAAGTTGATGAAGATCTGCAGATACGGGCCTATTACGCTGGGCATGTAAGATAGTCATTGCGGTTTTTTAGAAGAGTTACTTTGGACTTCTTCCTAATTTTGTTGTTATATTCAGAGTTTCTTTATTTTGTAATGATCATAAGGTCCTTGGAGCAGTGATGGTATACGCAAAGGTGGGAGATGCAGCGATTGTGTACACAGGAGATTACAATATGACTACAGATAGACATCTGGGAGCTGCTAAAATCGACAGGCTTCAGTTGGATCTTCTCATTTCAGAGTATGGAAAACAAATACAAGTTACAAGTTTGTTCGCTGTTGTTATTTATGAGTCCTCCCTTGGAAAAAATATACTTGATGAATGTTTGACTATGCGTTTTAGGTCCACTTATGCAACGACCATTCGCGGCTCTAAATATCCCCGGGAGAGAGAGTTTCTTCAAGCTGTATGTGTATCCTTGATAATATCATTGCTGTCTTGTTTCCTCATCAATATGATAAACTACCCATTTGATAGGGCTTAGGCTTTTGTTTGTTAATTGTCTGAAAAATCTTCCAGGTTCATAAATGTGTTGCTGGCGGAGGGAAAGCACTCATTCCTTCATTTGCTCTTGGAAGGGCTCAGGTCTGTCCTCTTACAGAAACGGCTCTCTGTGATAGCTTCTTAGAAAAAAAAGTCTCTTAGGTTCTTCTCTATGCCTCATTGACAGTTGAGTTTGTTTGTTCAGGAACTTTGCATGTTGCTTGATGATTACTGGGAGCGCATGAACATAAAAGTTCCGATTTACTTCTCATCAGGTCTGTGAAAAGTGAAAACACCATTAATCATCTTTTGAAATCATTTCCGCAGTTTGTCAGTTCAACAAAATCTCTGATATCCTTTGTTAGGTAAATTTATCTATCTGCTGGAAAATTGATCAATTGGTATGTTTTCCAGGTTTGACCATCCAAGCAAATATGTATTACAAAATGCTCATCAGCTGGACAAGCCAGAACGTTAAAGAAAAGCACGCTACACATAACCCATTTGATTTTAAGAATGGTATTGTCAACTACACTTTAGAACTAACCTTTGCTAACTAGTGATTTTAATAGCTCTCTGCAGCTCTGCTTGCTTTGTAGTAACTACAACTAAGTAACCTTTACACTGTGCAGTTAAAGATTTCGACCGATCTCTTATACATGCTCCTGGGCCATGTGTCCTCTTTGCCACACCCGGTATGCTTTGCGCCGGCTTCTCACTCGAAGTGTTCAAGCACTGGGCTCCTTCTCCCCTTAATCTCGTTGCCTTGCCCGGGTAATAAACTTACCTATATCGTGTTCCTAAGCATTTCACTTTTCCTTAGCATCTAACACACACTTGTATCTCCTTTCTTTCCCCTTGTGGATATCTTTAAATTACAGATACTCGGTTGCTGGCACCGTCGGGCACAAACTTATGTCAGGTAAACCCACAACAGTTGATCTCTATAATGGCACCAAGGTTGATGTCCGTTGCAAGGTTTGTATGCTCTTTCTTCTGACTTTCATCTTGTAATTCAGACCTCAAACCTAAAAATGAAAAGTCTTGGTTTTGTTATTATTAGATACACCAAGTGGCTTTCAGTCCTCACACAGATGCAAAAGGAATAATGGATCTCACTAAGTTTCTCTCCCCGAAAAACGTTGTACTAGTGCACGGAGAAAAACCCAGCATGATGTCTCTCAAGGAGAAGATAACCTCAGAGCTTGACATCCCCTGTTTCGTCCCTGCAAATGGGGAAACAGTTTCAGTCTCTTCCACCACTTTTGTAAAAGCAAACGCTTCTGATATGTTCCTCAAAAGCTGCTCCAGCCCAAATTTCAGATTCTCAAGCTCCTCTACTCAGCTCCGTGTCACGGACCAGAGAACCTCAGACGGGGTTTTGGTGATAGAGAAGAGCAAGAAGGCAAAGATTGTTCACCAAGATGAAGTCTCTGACGTGTTACATGAGAAAAACCATGTGGTCTCTTTGGCCTATTGTTGTCCAGTTAAAGCTAAGGGAGGATCAGATGATGTTGGTCTGATCAAACAGCTCTCGGAAAAGATCTCGGAGACAATGTCTGATGCTGAGCTCCATGAATCTGGCAACTGTTTGCAGGTAGGATCTTTTAAGGGTACTCTGTGTGTTTTAGAGAATTGTGTGAACAGAAGAGGTAGTTGTGGTGAAGCAGCTTCGTACTTGTGTTGCAACTGGTCTGCTGCAGATTTAGAGCTTGGTTGGGAAATCATCAATCTTCTGAAACAGAATCTGTGAATTGGAGATTCTATTAACTCGCTGGATCTTGACAAGTGTTTTTCAGTTTCGCCGTCTCTATTTATGTAAACAGTTTTGTTAAATAATATAAAGATAAACTTTCCAGTATGAGCCAAACTTTTCAGCTTTCAAGTGTCGTTTTGACATATTAACACACTACTTAAGAAGCTAATTAAATATAGTACTCTATGGTTAAAGTAGTAGATATTTGTGAGTCTGTGACAACATTTTGGTTAAGGGTTTACTTTGATCTATATAATAGATTTTCTTTCTTAAAATATACTAGTCATTTAAAATCCATTTAAGTTTTAACCAAAATGACCAACCTTAGCGCCAATTAGTTAAACTCTCTAATTATTTAAGTTAAACTAATTAATTTTTTAAAACGTCCGCCATGGCTTAACGTTTGATAGAGGAGAGAGAGAGAGAGAGAGAAGAAGAATCTCAAAATTCACTTCGTCGGTTGAAAGAAGAAAAAAGACTCAGTAGTAGAATAAACCGATGTCGTCGTCAGCTTCATCAGATTCCTCGGCGGCGCGTGATCAACATGCGCCGCTGCTCCGCCCGCGTCAGGACGGCTCCTCATCTTCTTCGGCCCGTCCTACAGCTCTTGCCGTTCTCTTGGGACGGATCACCGGCCACCGCGCGCCGTCGATGCTGGTGAGAGAGACGGCGGCGCGAGCTCTGGAGGAGAGACGAATCGATTGGGGTTACTCGAAACCCGTAGTCGCAGCTGACATACTGTGGAACGCTGCTCTGGTGGTTGCGTCGGCGGTGATGCTAGTCGGGACCACAGAAGAAAGGCCTAACGAGCCGATTAGGGTTTGGATCTGTGGCTATGGGCTACAGTGTTTGATCCATGTGGTGCTGGTTTGGTCCGAGTACTGGAGGAGAAACACGAGCCGTAGAGCTAGGGATTTGGAGTCTGGAGACGGAATTCTAGATTACAGTGAGGATGATTATGATGAAGACAGTGACAATTCAACAACGTACAGGTTCGATTATCTTCAATTTCTTAGTAGGATCATGGTTTCATGATAGATGAGAATCATTTGATTTGAATTGGCATTGTATCAGTTTTGCGAAAAGATGTGAGTCGATAAACACAGTGATATCATTCATATGGTGGATCATCGGATTCTACTGGGTTGTACAAGGTGGAGATAAGCTTTTAGGAGATGCTCCTAACCTTTACTGGTAAAAAAAAAGCTTCATCAAATTGATTCAGTTTGAAAACTCTACACATGAGTGTTGACAAAATCTTCCGGATTTTGGCAGGTTGTCGGTGGTTTTTCTGGCGATAGACGTGTTCTTCGCCATTTTCTGTATCGTTTTGGCTTGCCTCGTTGGGATTGCTCTCTGCTGTTGCCTCCCCTGCATCATCGCTCTTCTTTACGCCGTTGCAGGAACGGTATGAACATGAATTAGCTCTCTCACAAACACTGATCCTTTGTTGTCTTAAAAAGTTGAAACTTTCTTGCTTGGATGGTTATACAGGAAGGAGTATCAGAGGCGGAGCTAGGTGTTCTTCCCTTGTACAGATTTCAGGCTTTCCACAGCGGAGCTGGTAAAATGGTTCCTACTCCGATCAATGGCTTGTGCTTAGCAGCTGAAAGAACACTGCTTGCTGAGGATGCGGTAAAGCCACTACAGTTTGTTGCTTACTTACAAACTCTGTTTTGTATAAGTTTGAAAGATGGTTTTTTGTTGTTGTTGCAGGACTGTTGTATATGTTTGAGCTCATATGAGGATGGAGCAGAGCTTCATACTCTTCCTTGCAACCACCATTTCCATTCCAACTGTATCATCAAATGGCTCAAGATGAGAGCAACATGCCCTCTCTGCAAATACAACATCCTCAAAGGAACCACTGATCAATCTTGAAGACCAAATCCAATAAAAGCAGAGAGAGATACAAGATTCTGCACATATGGAGGAAAGTTCCATTTCCTCATTTGAAAACTCTTCTGTATATACATATATATCAAAATCATGTATCTGTTGTTAAAAGTATCCATTTTCAAATGTTTAAAAACATCACATTTTAAGTACAGCCCACTTCGTTGTCACATTGTTTGCTGCAATCTGCATCCCTTACGAGCCCTCTTGTATGCATATCGAGAAGCAAATCCGAAGCAGCAGCCATGTCTCCATCCTTTCGATAAGCTCTAATCAAGAGATCGAAAACAGCCGAATCAGGACTTATCCCGCTTCTCAGCATCTCGTCGAAAACTTGCCTTGCCTCAACCATCAAACCTTTGCTAGCTAACCCGTAAACCAGTGTCGTGTACGTTAACAAGTCCAGCTCGAGACCTTCTTGAACCATTCTGGTCTTCAACTTAAACGCATCCACCAAATCTCCTTGCTTGCACAAACCAGCTATCCAACAAGTGTACATGAACTTATCCTTAACAAGTCCAGCCTCTGAAACTTTTCCAAATAGTCTCTCAACTTCTACAAACTCTCCTTCTTTGCACAGAGCATCAATGAGCACAGTGTACATAACACCATTAGCTTTCTCTTCACAGAAACAAGCTACAGCTTCATGTAGCTTCCCGTTCTTCGCAAGCCCGTCGATCAAAGTCGAAATCGCTACAACATCTGGCTCAAACCCTCTCTCTGTGAATCCCCGGTACATGTTAACCGCATCCTTCACACGCCCGGATTTGAAATACGCATTCATCATTGTAGTCAAAACCATCTCATCAAGAACCAAACCACCTCTCTCCATACCTTCTACAATCTCTTCTGCCTCTTTTACTTTACCATTACCGCAAAGGCCTGATATGATTACTCCGTAAGCAGCTATATCAAGTCTCATCCCTTGGTTAAGCATTTTAGCTAGAAACTTCATTGCATTATCAGAATCTCCTCTCTTGAAATAACCATCGATCATCGTAGTGTACACAAGAGAATTCGGCTCGACTCCATCCTCATACATTCTCAAATACAATCTCTCAGCTCTCTCCATTTCCCCTTCCTTGCAGAAACCATCAATCAACGCAGTATAAGCAACAACATTCAAAGACATCCCAGCGCATCTCATCTTTTCGTATAACGAAACCGCAACCTCCAAGTCGCCACCTTTACAACACCCATCAATCAAACAAGTGAAAGTAACCACATTTGGAGCCAAACCATCTCTCTTCATAGAGTGAAAACCTTTCAGCGCCATTTGCAATTCCCCGGATTTGCAGAACGTGTCGATCCAGATACTGTAAGTAACAACGTTCGGCGAGCAACATTTCAGCATAACACTCATAAACACAAAAACCTCCTTCAGCAACCTCATCTTGCTAAACCCATTAAACAAGGAGTTGAAACTAACTACATCAGGCCTGCACATAAACCTTTTAGAGGCTCTTAACCTATTCAGCACCAAACTAGCGCTTCTGATATCGCCGTTTCTACAATGTCCATCAATCAGAGAGTTGTAAGATATAACATCTGGTGAACAACCGAATCTAGGCATCGAGTGAACTATATCTTCACCGAATTTGACCTGCCCTGATTTGCAAAGAAATGATACGATCGAATTGAATGAAGAACGATGAGGTGTGTAGCCTCTGGAGACTAAGTAAGCTAAGAATTTGAGAGAGAGGACGCCGCAATTCGAATTGATGAGCTGATGAATGTGCTTGTTGCAGGTAATTGGGTCTGGCAAAGTCGAGGACTTTCTCAGTCGAGAAAGAAACTGGAGAGCTTCTTTGACCATTCATGGACATGGGATTTTCAGACGATTCGAAAAGGTAACAACTTTCAAAAAAAATTGTCACATAGAAGCTAAAATCTTTAGGGGAGGGGGGCTTAAACCCTAGGAGGTTGAAGACGGAAGCGACCGTGGTTAAATGACATCGTTTCGATATTGTTCCCTTATTATTATTTTTATATTTTGGTTAAATTGTTCCCTTACTTATGTGCTAAACAATTACTGTACTAATTAAAAAGCAATTTGTCGGTAAATTAAAAGGAGAAATTATGATTGTCATAGCAAAGCTGTATTAAATTCGTTAGGTAACATACATTGCTTGCTTACAAATAAAGTGTGAGAATCGGCCACAGTTTTAAACTTTGTTCTTAGTATTAAATCGGCCACATGAAAATTAGCATACAATTAAAAAAGTTTATCCCTATAATTTTTTAACAATTTGAATATTTTGTTACATATCATCATATATAACGTAGGAAGTGAGGCTCGTGACTCGTGAACATACACATATAACTACAAAATTATGTGTGAAGAGAAAATTGACTTTTCTTAAAAAGAAAATCTAATGATTTTACGAGTCATGAGGACGTGATTTGTAGTGTTTTTATTCGGACACGTGAGGACAGATTGGATGGTTAATAATGAGAACCTAAAGATAAAAGAATGGCCCGATTGATATTTACTTGTCATAGCTAACTATTTTTGGGTAAATCATAGCTATTGTGATATTGATATCACTTGCAAACTAAATTCACATCATTAATTGTTTATTGTTTTTTTTTGTTTGGTATGACTAATCGTTTATTGTTTAGGGACATACTACTATAATTTTGCATACATATCATTAATTATAGACACTTAAAATATATTATTTACTAAAAATTGTTATAAAGTATTTTCTAAAAGCAGGTTGCTATATATTGATTTTGAATTAGTTAATATATATATCATCGTCTGTAAATCAAGATGAAATTTTTAGTTAATTAACGTAATCTACAGTGGTGACGCAATCATCTGTCTCTATTCGCTGTCACTTTATTATTACTCAGAAAACCACTATAAACTTCCCAATAACCATTACCCATAAACCTCTTTTAAATCCCTCCTTTTCTCCAAACAACAAACTTCCATTTCTCTCTTCCTTTCTGTATTTCTAAGCGGTTTAAGCCAAATTCAAACCCTAACCCTTTTGGATCACGAGGATTCTCCTTGAAGATTCACTGTTTCGCTTCTTAATTCCTGCATTTTCGCTGTGCTCGATTCTTCGGGAATGTGCTGATTTAGGTATGTCCGTTTCTCTTCTGCTGTGCTCTACCTGGTTTTATTGATGGATTTGGGACTCAATAGTATTTGGATTTTGAAATTTAGGATTTTATAGATCGGAAAAGAATGGAGGAAGGAGGAGGATATGCGTTTGAGGTTAACAATGGACGAACAACGGCGAGTGAGTTCGGGACGACGACGGCGAGGAATTCGTCACCGCAGCGACCGTCATTGACTATGTCGTCGTCGTTCCGCGAAGGAGGGAGTAGAGGTTTAACACGACGGAGGTCAATGAAGCCGAGTTTCGACGCGGATAACGAGTTCATTACTTTACTCCACGGCTCAGATCCGGTTAAAGTTGAGCTCAATAGGCTCGAGAATGAAGTCAGAGGTATGTCATCATACTCGATCTGTTTATTCTATTCGTCGATTTCAAAGTTTCCGTTGACATTTGATATTTTTTGCAATTGGGGAAAAAATTGGGTTTTTGGAGATACGTTTTTTTTTTGTTTTGGTTTTCGTTAACCTGTCCATACGTGCATGCGTGTCATTTTTTTTGGGTTTAAACATTGACTTGGTTTTGCAGATAAAGATCGGGAATTATCTGAATCCCAGGCTGAGATCAAGGCTTTGAGGTTATCTGAGCGGCAAAGAGAGAAAGCTGTTGAAGAGGTTAGTCCTTTTTTAACAGCATCAGAGTTGCCAAAATGTTTACTTGCTTTCCTTTTTTGACTTGAGAGGTAATTTGATGAACAAAAGCCATTAATATAGTGTTGATTAGGAGGACGATGAAGCTATTTAGCATCGCATTGGCTTCTGTTATTGTTCAATTTTCTGTTACTGTTCGTTTGTAAATATGATTACTTCACTCTTGTTTGGCCTGTGACTAGTGGTGCTATGAAGCATATACGTATTCTTAAGTCCTTGTTGTGGAGAAGAAACGTTATACTGTACTAAACGTTTGTAAATATGATTCTGAAATGTATGTAGTTTATAAATTGTGTCACATAAATTAACTCCATTCTTGTATACGCTGACATTCTTCTCTTTTGATTTGATTGCTTAAGCTTACGGAAGAGTTGGGAAAGATGTCGGAGAAGCTCAAACTAAGTGAAAACCTTATCCAGAGTAAAGTAAGCTTACGCAATGTTTCCTTAGTTGCTATTTCTTTTTTTTCTTTTCCGGATTATGTATTTGATGGAAAGATCTCACATGTTGTCACAGAACCTTGAAATCAAGAAAATTAACGAAGAGAAAAAGGCGTCCATGGCAGCTCAATTCGCTGCAGAAGCCACTCTTCGAAGGGTCCATGCTGCTCAAAAAGATGACGATATGCCTCCTATCGAAGCCATTCTTGCTCCTTTAGAGGCTGAGCTCAAGTTAGCGAGACATGAGGTATTTTACCTTCCTTATATGTCTTTTATCTTGGCTTGTCGACTCTCGGAACCTCCCTCTTAAAACATTGGGCATCTGCTTTTGCCATCTTCATTTGTAGATTGTTAAACTTCAAGACGACAACAGAGCATTGGACCGTTTAACTAAATCAAAGGAAGCAGCCTTGCTGGATGCTGAAAGAACTGTTGAGACTGCTCTTGCCAAGGCTTCTATGGTCGATGATCTTCAGAATAAAAACCAAGAGTTAATGAAACAGATTGAGATTTGTCAGGTATTCTCATTTACTCGATATAATTTCAAGTTTCTGAATCTCCTTCCGTGCTTATTCTGAGCATGCCTTGTTGACCTAATTGTTTAAACTAGGAAGAGAACAGAATACTGGACAGGTTGCATAGACAAAAGGTTGCAGAAGTTGAAAAGTTTACCCAGACAGTGCGAGAGCTAGAAGAAGCCGTTCTTGCCGGTGGTGCAGCTGCAAATGCAGTGAGGGATTACCAGAGGAAATTCCAAGAAATGAATGTAAATAGTTCATTTACTTGTGTAACTGCCTCATTAGCTTGATGTTTTCCTTGTTTCTTTCTTGTGCTGAGTGGCGATCGATCGTTTTCCTTAGGAAGAGAGGAGAATCCTTGATCGAGAGCTGGCCCGCGCAAAGGTAAGTGCGAGCAGAGTGGCAACTGTTGTGGCAAATGAGTGGAAAGATGGTAGCGACAAAGTGATGCCTGTGAAGCAATGGCTCGAAGAACGGAGATTTCTTCAGGTCACTTTTCTTTTTCTCTTGCTGCTTCAAGTTGTGATTCATTTATTTCATCATTTTCGTTTCTTTTTGGACAGGGTGAGATGCAGCAACTACGTGACAAGCTTGCCATAGCTGATCGAGCTGCAAAATCTGAAGCTCAGATGAAAGTAAGAATCTTTAGTCTTCTTCTTCTTGTCCTTTTGTTTCAAGGCTGTGGTAAGAATTGCCGATTTTGCCTTTTTTCAGGAGAAATTTCAAGTGCGGCTTAGAGTCTTAGAAGAGAGTCTCAGAGGGCCTTCAAGCAGTGGCAACAGAGCCACACCTGACGGAAGAAGTATAAGCAACGGGCCTTCTCGGAGACAATCCCTTGGTGGAGCTGACATTATTCCAAAACTGACATCAAATGGATTCTTCTCGAAAAGAACACCGAGCTCTCAGTTTAGATCTTTGAACGCTAGTACAAGCACAATACTGAAGCATGCTAAAGGAACATCCAGATCATTCGACGGAGGCAGCAGATCTGTAGATAGGAGTAAACTACTAACAAACGAACCAGCGTCGTCGAAGTTTCCATCTTCTGAAGGCGACGACTCACCTAATTCATCAAAACAAGGAGATTCAGAGAAGCCTGCAGGAACAAACAACGACAGTGTTCCAGGAGTCTTGCATGATTTGCTACAGAAGGAGGTGATAACTCTTAGGAAATCAGCTCATGATAAAGATCAAAGCATAAGAGATAAAGACGAAGCTATCGAGGTTCGTCAATACTTTGACGCATGAATGTTTTGCTTATATGTTCTAACAGTTTTACCTCTCTTCTGATTGGAAATGTTTGGTTTAGATGTTGGCTAAGAAGGTTGAAACACTAACAAAGGCAATGGAGGTGGAGGCAAAGAAGATGCGAAGAGAAGTAGCTGCGATGGAGAAAGAGGTTTCAGCGATGCGTGTGGATAACAAAGGGTCAGAGAGTAGAACGAGACGTCCCTCTTCTAACTCAAAAGGATCTTCAACAACTGCACATTTGCTCTCTGGAAGGTACTTTCCATCTTCTGTTTTATTATCCAATTTCAGTCATGACCAAGTTGGTTAATAGGAAACATGTTTTTGTTCACTTTGATTGGTGCGTAGCAGAGGCTCAGGACGAATGGGGATGACGAGAAGCACACAGTGAAGAAAGTCGATTCCACGAGCAAAATCTCAATCTCAATCACTGGTTAATTATATTGAAGGATGATGGTAAAAAAAGGGAATACAAATGTAGAAATCCAGTTGAGGAGATTTGTGTGCTTCTCTAACACAAGTAAGAACACTGATGTTTATTGTTTCTCCTATAATTAGAAAAGAGCTAGGCGTGTGTTTAATTTACCCCTTTTAAGCTTAGTGTGTGATTGATTTGTTTTCTCCAATTCTCTTGTAACCTTTTACGTATATTTAAAAAACAATTTAAGCTTTTTCCTCATTCTTGTGTTGAAGTAAAAAATGTTGTAGAGCTTTAATCATACATTGACCATAACAACGAAGTATCAGTAGCTTGTGGTGATGATGGTCTCCTTGAAGGCTTGGAAAGAGAGTCCCTTTTGTATGTAATGAATCTGTGAAGGATCAAAAGGACCTCTCACTCTATCTATCTGTTTGATCACTGCTCTCTCCGGCAACACACTCCTCGCCGGATCCACGGCCGTCTCTCCGCTCAGACACGACGAAACTCCTCTGAAGATGAGGACTTCGACTTCTTCTTCATCGTCGACGATGGCCGTCACGATAAGCGCTTCTTCTCTACACGACTGGCTGTAAATCTCTAGCATCGCTATCTCCTCGTTGTAGCCGTAGGACTCATCTTCATCTTCACGTACGTCGTCTCTCACTCTTCTCCGAGCACCGCACCGGAACGGCTTCCTCGCTCTCACCGTTGCCGCCACCGCCGTAGGGACTGTGAGAAGAATGTTTCGTTCATTTGAGTTTGTGGCTAACGAATATCCCGTTATTTCGGTTATTCGAGCTCTCTGCCCGCTAACGAATATCCCGGCTATGCCACCGCATGGATTCGCCGGCGTGATAAGCATTTTGTATTTTGACTGAGTGATAGTGCGTGAGAGGACTTATGACCAAAGATTTATTAACTTTTTTGGATAAGATTTCTTTAAGTTAAAAAACTTTTAAACTGCAAGCGAATCTGAAAGAGAAAATTTATGAAATACACCTCTGCAAATTTTTAAAACTACACCTATAGTGTGAAAATTTTTAAAAATACACCTTTCCCCAATTTTAATATATATGTTTGGGTTCATTATTCCTAGATTAGGGTTTAAATTTTGGGATTTAGGGTTTAGATTTAAGGGTTCAATGTTAGATTTTAGGGTTTTGGATTTATATTTTAGGGTTTAGAGTTCTTTTACTCAATGAAAAAAGTGTAGTTTTGAAAATTGGTACCATAAAGGTGTATTTTTGAAAATTGACACCTCAAGAGGTGTAGTTTTGAAATTTCCCCAATTTGAAATACAGAGTTACAGATGATAAAATAATGATAAACATTTAACAAAAATAAAATAAAAAATGAAGTGGTATACAAAGCACTGTAATTGCAGGACACAAGACGGGTCTAAAAGCAGTAACCAAATACACTAGAGATTCCTGTGAAGTGTTAAGCTTGAATTATTTATCTTTGAATCACTCTCACACACCACATCCATCCATGAAGCCAAAGGTTATCCACACAAGACATAGTCCATAAAAGACTCTAGTTTGGGTGAGACTTGTGAGCTACACAAGTGAAGTACAGCCAGGCTCAAGAAAGAGACATTTAAAGACTACAATAACATAAAACTTTTCCAATTTCATTACGCTTTAGAATGTTGTATGCCTCTTTAGCTATTGTCATTTCTTGAAATTGATAAACCTAATGTTGGTTCACAAGTAGTAGTATATTTGATGGGAAAAAAAACTATCAAAAATCACATGGAAAAGAGAAAAAAAAAATTGAAAAACGAAAAAGTGGGTAAAATTGTGGAAGATGAAAAATATATGTTGGTTTGAGCATTTCTTGGGGATCACAAGGAACTAGAAAAAGGCTAGTACTGTATCATCGTTGACTTTTTTTTGGGTACTCTCACAACTTCGTAGCTTTTAACCTCACAGATGACAGATACATCATCACTGTTTTTGTTAGGCCAAACCGCCAAAGACGATTATCTGAAACCGAACCCAAATCTAATCCAAAAAATTTGAACTGAAAACTAAAACAACTAAACCTGGAAAAAAACCTGATTTTTTTTTATATCTCTAAACCAAAAAAAGTCTTAAACCCGGAGTCTCGGCATGGGGCAAGTACTTGCACTTTTGGCTGTCTTGTAACTTGTCTTACCCCGCTCAAAATTTACATATTGCGACTTATGACTTGCCTTGTACTTGACAAGTATTTGAGGTCACGGGTACTTGCTCGAATTTGACCGACTTGCAATTTACTTACCTTATCTTGCCCCACCTTGTAACTTGCCAATAACAGGTATTTGCTTTCTCCAAATCCAACAAGGCGAAGCAACAAATTCAATTGAGCAAAAGTGTCTTCAAATTTAAGCATATTATCCAAGTTTTCAAGTATTCTTTTTACAATTCAACTTCAACAAGCTTTAATTACTAGCAGTTAAACTAAAAAATTTGCTAAAAACTTCAAAAAATGGGTGAAATAAAAGGGACAAAGAGCAAGAGCGATAGGGCTATGATCCATTAAAGAAAAACATGTTTAGTATTTTAACGGGGCAAGTATTGAGATTAAAATTGTGACTTGATACTTGCCCCTTACTTGCAAGTATTCAAAATTTCCGACTTGTTACCTGCCTTGCTTCGAACAAGTACTTGATTAAACAAGGTGGATAAGGAGCAAGTCGCGGGTTTTGAATAAGTAACGTGTATTTGTGCCCAGACCTACCGGAGTCTCAAGCATAGTTTTTGTTGCACAAAAGCTTTTTCTGGGTTAGAAATGTGCTTTTTTGGGTTAGAAATGTCTGGCATAATCTTTTTACTTAGATATTTTGAAGATTTTTTTGTGTGTTATGTGGTGTTTCATGGCAAAAAAAAAGTGAAATGTTTACAGATAAGGGCAGTACCATAGAGAATATTTACGTGAGAGTGCCACTAGAGGTATTATCACGAGTCGCTTTCCAAGCCCTCTCTCTCTTCAAACCAGTGGCTACTTACTCAACACTGTACGGCCTTCAATCATTTCTTTCTTCCCCCTCTCCCATTTCTCTTCTTCTTCCTCTTCTTCCCCAATTCCCTTTTCTCAGCTCTCTAGGGTTCTTCATTCTCACACAAAAAGCTGAATCCTTTTCTCTGTGATCGTTTGGGAGCTCGTAGAAATAAAGTTCCTTTCAGCAAAAAAATGGCGGCGATCAGAGACCAGTTTCCTTCTGGGTTAAGAATTCTCGTTGTAGACGACGACGCTTCCTGCTTGATCATTCTCCAGAAAATGCTTCTCCGTCTCATGTATCAAGGTCAATCCTTTACTCACAAAGTTTCTTCCTTTTAACATCTTTCTCTATCCCCTTGAAAGTAAATTCTGTTTCCGCTTTACTTTTGTTTTTGCAGTGACCATTTGCTCACAAGCAGATGTTGCTCTAACAATGCTAAGAGAGAAGAAAGATTCCTTCGATTTGGTACTAAGCGATGTGCACATGCCTGGCATGAACGGTTACAAACTTCTCCAACTAGTTGGCCTCGAAATGGATCTTCCTGTCATTAGTAAGATCCATTACCAATCTCTCTCTTCTCAAAGATTCAACCTTTTTGATCAATGTTTCTCACACTTTGCTCTGTTTTTTTCAGTGATGTCTGTTGATGGAAGAACAGCAACAGTCATGGCAGGGATCAAGCATGGAGCTTGTGACTATCTCATCAAACCAATCCGTCCTGAAGAGCTCAAGAACATTTGGCAACACGTTGTTCGCAGGAGATGCACAATGAACAAAGAGATCATTCGGAGAAAGTTAGAGGATAGTAACAAGAACACTAGCAGCAGCAGCTTCGAGACTATTCTCTCAATGAGTGAATGCTCAGAGGGAAGTTTGAAACAACGTAGGAAGAAGAAGAAGAAGAAGAAGAAGAGAAGTGTTGATAGAGAAGATAATGAAGAAGAAGATGCTGATGATCTTCTTGATCCTGGTACCGATTCAAAGAAGTCACGCATCGTCTGGTCGATTGAATTGCATCAACAATTCGCCAATGCCGTTAACCAACTTGGACTTGAGAGTATGATCTTCTTAACTCTTAACTCTTATATATAAAACCAAAATTTTGTTGCTTTTTAAGAAATTTTCACTTAATTGTTATCAGAAGCTGTACCAAAGAGGATTCTTGAGTTGATGAATGTTCCTGGTTTAAGCAGAGAAAACGTCGCTAGTCATTTACAGGTTTGTTTTTTAGGTTGATTGAATCTTTCATTTGTTAAGGCTCTTTCTTGACTGAGAACAAATGATTGCAGAAGTTCCGGTTGTATCTGAAGAGAATAAACGATGTAGCTAGACATAGTAAAGACGCCAAGGCTATGGAGAGATATGAAAACGTTCAAGCTCTGGTTTCTTCAGGACAGTTACATCCACAGACGTTAGCTGCTTTGGTTGGTCGACCAGTACACAATCATTTGTCCGGTGGCTATGGAGTTTGGGTGCCTGCTAATGACAATCTTGGTACTTCTCAAAATGAAAACTTTTCGATCCATGCGTCATCTGCTTTGAACGGTTCTGTTTCTGCCACTGCTTCAATGGCGGTTCATGGTTTATCTTCCTCTGCGAATTTGATACAGCAGAGTGATGGTTTCAACTACAACAACACAGACTACAGAGTCAAACAAGGGAATGGATCAAATGTCAATGAAGAATCTTGGAATTTCGAAAGATCTTCAAGACTGCGAAATAATCATTGATATTGAGACATCGTTAGATGGCTTAAGAAGAAGAAGACTTTGTTATGTTGTATTTTAGGAAACCGAATATATATGTATTTCGCTAACGCCAACGTTTTTTTCCTCGAAACGCAGACTTTTGTCGCGATAAGGTTTTCTTTAACCGTGATAAGTGATAACAACCACATTTGCATGCAACAAAGTCTTAAGTCTAGTCTTGAAATTTAAAAAAACATTATTAAATTAAAAGCAACATTAGTTGTTTAATGTTGCACCACTTTAGCCAAACAAAACGCAGCCGCTGAGGCAATCGCTCCTATAAAAGCGGTTTCAAAAGCACTTCGGATGGGTCTGCTGCCGGTGAAATGCCCTTTACCGTAGCCGAATATGAAGAGAGCGATCAGTGTTATGACCACAGACGCCAATACCGCATCTAAGGCTTGCGGTATGAACATGTAGGGAAATAGCGGTACAAAACCGCCAAGCACATAAGCGATTGCGATCGTGAACGCGCTTTGAAACGCTCTTCTCGGATCAGGCTTCTCTAATCCCAGCTCAAACCTGTGTCAATAAAAGAAAATCAATTGACTTTAATATCCCTTCATTTTGTAATTTGGTTTTTTTCACATATATTAAAGAAAAAATACATTTTCAATCATAAATATTGTATATAGATTTTTGCGATTAAACAATTTTTGGTATCTTTCAACCAGTTGTTAAAAAAAAAGGTATCTTTCAACCAATAAAAATTTAAGAAATATAGTTATTCTCAATCACTGTTTTTAAATCTCAAAAAAATTGCATTAAAATTCCTACAAAAATTATCTTTATGAAACAACAAAAAATGACTCGGAAATTCATCTTTAATACACGAATACAGTATAATTTAACAAAGAAAGTCTTGCCTAACTGAAAATGTATATGCTTTTATTTTTGAAAGCCAAAACCACTTAAATCATACAAAAGGAATAGTGTAGATTTATGTTTATATATTAAGAAACTAAACTTTCTTTTTGTTTTTTGAGAAAAAATAAATAAATTCAAGTATATAATTTTGGTTTTGTTTTTGATTGAAATTGGAAGTCGGACCCATATAGAATCTTGGTCACACCTGGAAAGTAAAAGCCCAGCTTTTTGCAGAAAACTAAAAGTTTCCCTCGATTTTCTCCATAATATTTGAAAACTCCAATAAGACAATCATCAAAATATTCAATTTATTGTTGAAACAAGTAATGAGACGAATATTGAAACTGACCTCATCATAAAATCAAGCCATGCTTGAGGATTCTTACGAAGAGCATTAACAACAGGTGAATATTCATGTGGCTCTATCCCATACTGTGCCAGTATCTCTGCCACCTCAGCTGCCTCTGTTTTTACATCGTGAAAATGCATTAGCTTAATTACATTGGACGGTTTAGATTTAACATTTTAAGTCAAAAATTGTCTTAATTACCAGTCTCAGGAACGGCCACGATCTCTTCTTGTTCTCGTTTCATCTCTCTCGCGTAATGATCCGCTTCACTCTTTGCCGCTAAGTACCTAATTAGATTTGCAAATCATAGTTGCATCAAGAATTATACCAGAGAATCATTGATGCCTACATGCATAAACATAAAGTATGTAATTCATCATTGGTTGTTGCATGATGTAGAACTAATCTAAACACAACAGGAACAAATTGATGTTGGGCGATTTTTTCTAAATCGTATACTATATGATTAGTAAACTATATTTTATAGCCATTAATCCGAAGTTTCATCAAGAGTTAACGTGTGAAACCACAAGTAAGCAAACTGTTCCATTACGGTTATCATTATTGGATAAGTTGGAATCAATCATTGCATGTGGGATTTGTTTTTCAAGTTACATAAATTTAATCAAACTCGATTTTTTAGCCGTTAATTGGAAATCTCATAGAGAAGTTTACGTGTAGATTGAAACAAAATAAACATATGCCGTCAAAAAAAAAAACACATTAACTAACCCGCCAAGTCCCATGGAGATAGCGCCGGCGGCGACTTCAGCGATACCGGCGGTGAGGACGATAGATGAGGAGGCATTGGCGCCGGAGAGACCGGCGGCGAGTGCAAATGGAACGGTTAAACCGTCGGAGACGCCAAGGATGATGTCACGGACGATTTCTCCGGCGGTGAAGTGTTTTTCAGTGTGATGATCGAGAAGTGATTGCTTCTCCGGCTCAATAGAGATCCTAGTGATCTTATCTTCCTCCGATGACATTTTGATGGTCGGATATTTCTCTCTCTTTTCTCTTAAAGTGGTGAAATGTGGAAACATGATGTATATGTGTGCATATATATATGCGAAGAACGAGCGAGGGGAATATCAAACCGTTCTTTATTTTATTTTTTCTTTCTTTTCTTAAGTTTTTTAATATAATGAATATCATAAGGTTTTAATTATATATTTAATACCATTTATAGGAAACTTATTAACGATAGGATTGAATCTATTACCAAAGTTTGCAATATATATGGTAGATCTTTCTTGACTCTTCTAAATTGGGTAAGTAATCCTAGAGTTTTCAATTTAATATAAACTTTGGTAATTTGACTAATTTCTCAAACACAAAATAAAATAAAATCTTACCTTAAGTCTGCCAAATGCCTACATGAGATTATCAGAATTGGTTTTGCACACTGACAAAAAGTTTACAATTGTCTAGGCTTTGACTACATTAAGTTTTAAATACTCAACCAAAAAACATACATTGGCTTACGACTTTATATATACAAACGTGGTTGTAAGTTTAGTTTTTGGGTTTTAAGAAAGAGAAATTATACTCATGAATCACATATTCAAAAATATAAAATTTGATTTCTTAAGAACCAGAAAACTAGCTGTTAATATGATAATCACATTTCCATACAAGTTAAAGCCTTATATTATATTTAAACTTGAAAACTAAAAGTTTCACATCAAACTTAAAATTAAATAACAGTTTATAATAAATGGTAATCACATTAAACTAAAAAATATAACCACATTTTATAACGAAAAATTAATAAATTTCACATAAATCCATTTTATAATCAATTTCATAATCATAAGTGTATATGTAAATTGTACATATAATTGTCAATTGTAAATATGATCATACTAATTAATGATTTCTTCATTTTTTTTGCTTTGAATCGAACCATCTCTTTCTTTCTTTTTGGTCAGCAGCATAAAACTATGAACCAACTCATAAGAGTTAATTCACACCGCTAAAACCTATTGGCTTAATCACTAAACTTTAGTCACCGATTAGATCCTATGCGTTCGTTCCACTCACAAAAGTTCTATAAGACAAGGAGAAATAGTTATGGGTTTCGTTGCCACATGCTTGTCTACAACAACGTGGACACACGAAACTTTCTGCAAATATGAGAGAAAAGTGTATGAGAAAGCTACACATCTATCAGATTAGAGATTACACAGCATGAGTCTGCAAAACGAATAACGCATGAGAAAAAAGCTTATTTACATGAAGCCATATGCAACGCTCCAACTTTACACCCCTTTATTGTATTTCTTGCTTAACTTTTCTGAGAGAACACACGAGATTATTAGAAACATTCCAAGTCTCACTGACTTACCATAAAATACACAAGAAGAGAACATCCAAATTTGTAACCTCAATAGTCAATACGTTATTGTACAACTTGAAAATAACCAAAGTTAATAAATAGAGAAATACGAGTAAAAAAAAGTTTTGGTTCCAAAACTACCACATAAACTTATTTATCCAAAAATTATACAAACCAGCCGAAAAAAAAACTATATTGTCCCATTAAATCAGGACAAAAGCAAATGTTATATATGAATATGAACGGATGTAGTTTTTTGTAAGCTAATCATATATATGAATTGAGGCCAACTCTCTCCATATGAATGACATGTGAGCACAAGAGAAAATGACATGTGGCATATAATTTCACTTTTAAAAAATAAAATTTCAAAGTTTAATGGAACTTCAATGCAACTTTTGGTATTCTTTTGTGTTCATTGTAAGTTACAAAATAAATTTTCATATAATTTTCATTTAAAAACAAAAAATTGCAAAAGTTTAATGAAATTTCAATGCAACTTTTGGTTATTCTTTTATGTTCATTGTAACTTACAAAATAAATATATATTTTTTTTGGTTTTTCAACAAATTAAGCCATAAAAATAAATGTTTATAGGTTGATGACATGTAGATACCCCATGTAGTATTATTCAATTCTTCAGTCACTAATGCCATTGACCTAGAAGTGTTTAATCACATGTTCAAAGTTCAGAAAGGAAATATTGTTTATTTATTATAACCTCTAATCCCGTTAATTTACAAAATTTTCATCCAGAATTATTTTCTATTTATTTAAGAAAATCGATTTAAAAAGAGAATTTAGTATATCACTTTGCATAGTTTAGTATATCAGAGTCAATTTAATGTAATTATATGGTATATAAATAAAGAGAGTTAAGGGCATAAAGACATGTGGTATTATGCAAAACTATATATTTGAAAGTGAGTCATTAACCAAGCAAATGAGAATTAAAATACGGATGTTATTTAGGTTAAAACATTATTTTTAAACTATAACAAAAGTATTATTTGAATTAAAATCACAAATTCATAATTATTTTAAGCATTATTTTTAAACTATAACAAAAGAAAAACTCGCGCTTATATGACTTTGTAACAATTTTTTAATGAATGGAATGATCTTTTGTCGAACAATTCATACGCAAAACAAAATTGAATTCCGGATTGAATACCATTATACTGAATTGTTAAGCAACAATCCGAACTCAAAGCAAATATAAATAAGATTTTAATTCCAATACAAAATTCTATATCCACTTGAAATTTTGCAAAACTTTCTAGAGCTAAATGAATCTTTATTATCAGGTCAAAAAAAAAAAAAAATGAATCTTTATTATTGTTTTGTGTGGGTTTGATGGATTACGCGTCTTTTTAGAGGGCGAATTATTGAAAGTTGGACAACATTTGGGTGTTTGTTGTAATTTTACATAAATATACTCTACTCTTCGTGAGCCAACCCACAGAGAATAATAACTTCTTCTTCTCCTTCTTCTCCAAGTTTGTGTAACCAACTGAGAAAAGCCAATTTCGAAAATTAGCAACTGTTTCCTCGGAGAAAGAATGGGGAAAGTGAAGGTGCCTTCGAGGAATGCAAAGCGACAAGTGGAAGCGAGGCCGTTATCCGGGAAGAAAGCGAGATCGGCGACGTTTTCTCGGAGGAAAAAAGCTCAGATCTCTCCGGCTGTTCTCCGGTCAAGTCTCAAGCGCCAGAAGCAGGGAATCTCCGATGATTCCGTCGTCGTATCCAGCTCCAGCTGTTTTCTCGACGTTTCCTGCGGTTCGAGCAGAGTTGAGAAGAGTCCGTACTCGAGGAAGAGACGAATCAACGAAGTAAGAATTTCTGGACCTGTCGTAGATGCGAAGGATGCGATTGGCTCTCAGAAATTTCGGAGGATTACGCGATCATACTCTAAGCTGGAGAAGGAGAGGGAGAGAGAGGAGATCGAATTTAGCAAATCGTCTTGCGTCGCGTCGGATTCCGTTGATGGCTCAAGTAGCAGAAAATTAGCAAGTAACAACGAGAACGATGAAGTCTCCTTGACGCGATCCGACGTGACCTTCGCCGATCATTTCGCCGACAGCCGGAATTTGAATTTGGAGATGGAGAGCGACGTCTTCTCGGCCGATTCGAGAGTGGAGTGCTGTTCGAGCACGAAATTCGGGAGCGTAACCGGAGGATTCGTCAACGAAGGAGTCGAAATCTCCAAACCAATCAGCTTTCCCGAAGCTGATTTCACCTTGGAATCGGCTAAGGAGGAGAAACCGGAGCTCGAGATCGCCGGATGCGTCTCAAATCTCGCTTGTACGGAGCAGTTCTCAATCAAACACGTCTCCGACTATTCAGACCTCGATTCGTCGGAGTACACTCCGTCAATCTTTTTCGAGTCAGGCAGTGAGTTTTCTGAGAAATCAGAGTGTGATTCTACTCCGTCGCTCACTCACAGTCTCTTCCTCGAGTTCAAAATGCAGTTCCGGAAATCGACAATTCCGAACGATCTGAAACCATCTCTTGTGGATTTTCGCCCTGAAGTAAGAGTCTATTCCTTTAATAGTTTTCTTATACGCTTCATATGAATAGGAAGAAGAACTTCAAATTGTGGTCGTATGTTGAGTATTAAGTGATTCTTAAGTCCATGAATTAGCTGAAACTTGATCCGCTATGAATTTTACTGCTTATTAAGAAGATTGAAATTGAGGTGAAACATGATGTGCTCTTCTTTTGTGCACTCCAAAGCTTGATTCTCTGAAAGGTAGTTTGTAATGTTTTAAGGCTCCTTTTGGTTGTTTAGCTGCGTAGCTTTGAAGATGAGGAGGTTGAAGAGAGCTATCAGAGGCTGAGGGAAAGAGAGAGAAATCATGCATATCCTTATATACAGGGGATGGATCAGAGGAATCTCATTCCTCATCTGCGCTTGATCTCCGTTCAATGGATTGTCAATGTGAGCATTCTCGTACTGCTTCAATGCCTTTCATTTCCCTGTAAATCCTGATATGTTGTTTTACACAAGTCTTTTGTTGGAAGTTTCTGAAATACATGCTTGCATTTGAACATTTCTTTTGATTGGCTTACTAGCTAATCTTCTTCTTGTGTACTTATAAAGATAGCCAACGAAGATCTCTCTATTATCCTGAAACCAAACATTTTGTTTGCGTCCCTAAATATTTGCAGGAATGTATAACAATGGAGCTTCAGAACGAGACATTGTTCCTAGGAGTTAGCCTCCTCGATCGGTTCCTGAACAAAGGATCATTCAAAAGCCCAAGGAGTATACTCGTCGTTGGAATTGCTTGTCTCGCTCTAGCCACCAGAATCGAGGAGAACCAATACGTCAACACGTAACTCTCAAACAATGAGTGTCATTAAGTGTGCATTGCTTTTGGTTTATTGAGAGTATATTAACTTTCTCATCACAAAATCTTCTCCTGTCTCTTAGTGTTCAGAAAAGGAAATTCTACATCCAAGGCCAAAAGTTCAGCCGAAGTGAAGTAGTGGCAATGGAATGGCTGGTGCAAGAAGTCCTTCGTTTCAGATGTTTCTCACCAACAATCTACAACTTCTTATGGTAATCAAACTGAAGAAAAACTTATAATGAAACCAAATTCTCTTGTTTCCAAGAGTACCTTCTCACCATTTTTTATAACAAAAAAATTCAGGTTCTATCTCAAAGCTGCTGAAGCCAATCCACGAGTTGAAAACAAAGCTAAAACTTTAGCAATCATGGCACTCTCGGACCATTCTACACTTCGTTATTCGCCTTCTACTCTAGCTGCAACACTCGTGATTCTTGCTTGTCTACAATACAACGAGCACGAAGCTCACAGACGTGTGATTGAGGTAACATAAAACAAAAAAAATGAAAGCTTAAACTGAATCTCAAAATTTATCAAAATCGGGATCAATGCTTAAGGGTCAATAACAATACCTGCAGGTTCATGTGAGGACCAAAGATAACAGCTTGGCTGAATGTGTTCAGGTAAACTCGTTTATCTCTATCTCATCTTTTTCACAAAAAAACAGTCTTAACGTTTCTTTTCTTTTCACAGAGCCTGGAGTGGTTGCTTGGACAATAAGCTATCCAATAAGACGTAAAAAATACACAACCAGTAAGAAATTATAGAAAACGATTGGTTATTATTATTCTTCAGCGTTACATAATTACATAAAACTTACCAAATACGGTATATGTATCTAATGTTCAGATACGTAATATGGTATATTTTTACATGACTAGAAATTGTTGGAAGTATTTTGAATATGAGTAACGTATTATTCTGGTTATACATTAAAGACAAAATCGAACCAAATAAATGAATGTGCTACTTCTAAAGTATATGGTATCAATTTTAGTCAAACTAAAGTAAAATAAGTAGATCTCATCTCAGTTAGAAAATTAAACCGACCCAAAAACCGCGTAAACCGGAAAACCCCACTCTTGCTTTTGACAACAAACGTATGACAAAACGATAAAAAAACAGTACGAAAATTGTTTGCAAGGTGCAACGCCGCCGTCAGAAGGGCAAACCCGTCAATTCACGCTAAAAACGAAAGAAGAGAGCCTCTCCTTGTACCTTTTCGTTTTCACTCCCCACCAACAAATCAGCCAAAAACGGCCAGGTCACGTGAGACCAATGATAGGATAAAATCTCTCTCTCTTCTCTCTTTTCTCCTCTTCCTTGTCTCTCTCTATCTCTTTCGCAGTCCTTTTCAGTCATGGCAATAACCGTTTACGACGCCTGCGCGGAGAGGAAAAAATCCCCCAAAATCCTCATTATTGACGACTTTGCCATTCCCTCTTTCTCCTCCTTGGCGAACCTCTCTTATTCGACTTTCCGTGACAGCATCAGATTGTTTCTCAACGAGTACGCCGAGAAAGAAGATTACACCGTCGACGGCAACACCGTCTCCTGCCTTTTCCTTGCCAGCGAAGCAACCGGCGTCGTTTTCCCTCTCTTCACCGTCGAAGAACAAATCTCTGATTCCTCTCCAGATCCTCTCTGCGATTTCTGTAGATGCGTTGGTAAATCAAAAGACTATCCTATCCACCTTCATCGTTTAATTTCCGGATTATCCGATTCCGATTTTGTTTTTCAGATCCCGTAAATCCGTCGTTTTAGCTTTTCGTCGTACCCAACAAAATCTCGTCATGCTATACTCGTTTTTCTAGGGTTTTTGCTGTTTTGAGAATTTTGGATTTTGATTTTTTTTTATAGTTTCTCATCGATCGTCAATGCGAAATCTGATGATGATTGTGTGATAATACAGGTTGGGGTCATCATTATGTATCAAAGAGAAAATATCATTTCATAATCCCAGCGAGAGGTAAATGGAAGACGCCATTGACGAAAGATAGCTTAAAGCTCACTTCTCATCTGATGCATGGTGTGGTTCACTGCAATGGCTTCGGCCACTTGCTCTGCATCAACGGTCATTCCTCTAGTTTCCTCTCCGGCGATCAAATCATGGACTTTTGGGACCGTCTTTGCTTAACTCTTCACACAAGGTACAAGACAAAATCTTTTCTATATCACTAAGCTGTTTTGTCAAATACAAAACAAAAATTTGATAATAGTAATGGAAGTGAAGAGTTTCTTTGCTAATCTTAGGAGTTTTGCTAAATAGCTCACAAGAGATAGGAAATTTCACGTCGACAGTAAGTTGGGATGAATAGATTTTTGCTAATTATAGGAGATGCTTTGACATTGATATTCAATATCTTACATGGATAATAAATTGGGACTTAATCTAGTATGCAATTGACTTGAGTTATGTCTATGAATTTTGAGATGGAAGCACATGAAGTTTTGACATTGATTGTTGTTTTCATTTCGGATAAACCTAGATTGGTTTTTGTTATTTTAACTGATTTTGATATCTAAGCAAAATTTTGTGTGTTTCATTACCTGATATTGGGAAATCCATATAGTAAATCTTTATGGCTTTGAAAGTGTATTTTAAGAAAATCAAATGGATCTTAAAAGTGTTTTCCTTTGAACTTGAATAAGTAGTTTAATCAATGACTTTTATCTTTGTAATGGCTTTAGGAAGATTTCATTGGAAGATATATCGAGGAAAGGAATGATGGATCTGAGGCTGCTTCATGGTGTTGCATATGGTCGACCATGGTTTGGTAAATGGGGTTATATGTTTTCTCATGGAAGCTTTGGGGTCAAAGAAGGTCAATACACCCGAGCTATTCACATCCTTAGCTCCATAGAAGTCGACAAGATAGTGGAATATTTCTGTGGAACAACAAAAGAGACAGTGATGAAGATAATCATCGGATTCTACAGAGAGTTCAGCGAGACCCCATTGAACACTCTCGCTGATTTGCTTCAGTCCATGCTTGCTTTCAGCTCCAGGTCTCCCGTTGAGAGAAAGACTGCAATTGCGTTAGTAGGCATGTCTATGGATCCTGTTTCAAACCCAAATCCTGGCCGAGAAGATGGTAATAATGATGAGGATAGTGAGATCAGCCCCATTTGCACATCCCCTGATGATGTGAAATCAGATGATAGCATGAATGAGTCTGACACAGATCACACAACTGCCATGATCATTGATGATGATACTACAACCGCTGACATAAAACCCCCTGTGTATGACTCGTTTGATACCATGGCCGTGAAAGAATGCTCGAGATATCCTGGAAGGAGGTTGAAAGAGGCAGCCAAGGCAGTTATCAAAGTGTTTGAAGAGAGAAACAGCACGCTTACTCGGCAAGAGCTTCGCGAGGCTGTTAGAAACGGCAAGATTGGCGATACAGGGCTGATTGATTTCTTGCTCAAGCACATTGACAAAATTGTCATAGGCGACAAAATGGTCAAGAGGTTCACAAACCCAAACTCCAGGATGTTGCAGTTCTCGATCCACACAGTCAATCCTCGCCGCGTTCTGATTCAAGAACCGAAGAGGAGAAGGAAGACGAAACCGCAAGAGACGATTGAATGGGGATCTACCACTCCTGGACTGGATCCGTACGATGACATTTACTATCTCTATCAGAATCTCCTGTTATCGTATCCTTATTCAGACGTATACAGTGATGCCTCTGAGATAATCTTGAACTGCAAGAGCTTTGTAAAGGAATTGCCTTTACCCTCTCACCAGGAACCAAACCTTTTAACAGTAAGCTGCCAAGTTTTGCCCGGTCATGAAGAGTTACTCGGAGACTTCACCCGGAAGCTGCCACCTGGTGAGCTTGTGATTGTTCCGCAAAACGCAACCATTAAAGAACTGAAATCTGCAGCTAAGAAAGCTCTGAGGGACACTTACTGTATAATGGAAGCATTCGATGTGTTGGAGATCAGAAACAAGAATCTTGACAAGATGGAAGAGACGTTTAGTCTGAAATCAGGAGGTGGTAAGATTATGCCAGAGTTTCTGGTGACAGGGGTTGGTCTGGACATAGGGACAGAGCTAAGGTATGAAGCTGGTTTTGATGACTGGACCGTTGACTGCAAATGCGGAGCTAGAGATGATGATGGTGAGAGGATGGTGTCTTGTGATGGTTGCAAGGTGTGGCACCACACACTGTGCAACTCCATAGAAGACGATGAAGCTGTGCCTTCGGTGTTTCTTTGTAACATGTGTTTTGGAGATCGCATGAGATCCAAGAAACGCACTGTTTCCAGTCGCTAGACCCTAACTTGCGCAACAAGTCAGGAATGTCCCCATTGCTGGATCTTCCATTTCTCTCACCTATTTCAAACTCACCTATCATGATGCATCTTATGGTGAATTTTTTTTGTAAAGACTTTTTTGGATCCAAAACATACCTGCATCAATATTTATGTATGTAAAACCCATATATATCAAAAATAATGTTGTTTTATTGTCTCAAATTTGAAAATGTGATTTCTTATTTTATGTTCTTATATTTTGTTTACTCCTAGCTATACAACACTCCTAATGATGTGTGTCATCATTACTTGGTAGTATATAACATTATTATTTAATTTGAAAATTGGATTTACTCGTTATTAACTTATAAAAACATGCTCAAATGATGTACTTCATATTTTCTCTTATTATTTCTTGTTTGTTTTAAGGTTAGTATTTTGAATGAAATTACAGAACGAAAATCGAAAAGTATTTTTAACGAAATTACAGATCTAACGAATCTTCACAATACTTTGATTTGTGCAGAAATTTGGAAAAATGTCAGGAGAAGAACAAGTTCAGCATCCACTTCCGCTTGCTGTAAATCATTATTCATTTACAGATGTTGACAATGCGTTGCAAAGCTTCTAGAGACAGGATTGACGAGGGAAAATGGAAAGATCTTGAAAAGAAATGGCCTCAATGAAAGAAAGCAGATTGAAGCAACGCCCTGGATGCAGTTGGCTCGAGATTGAAGGCAAGGTACATATATTTACAGCAGGACAAGTGTCAGGAGGAGAAGAGGTGTTTCATCCAAAGATCAATTACAAGTTTGGTCCAGAGATAAGTCTCATCCAGAGATCAAAGCGATAGAAGAGAAACTGTATGAAATTACCACTATTGAGAAGATTTTTGACAACATTGAGATATTTCACCCACTCGTTAATGTGAGGACAGTTCAGAATGACATTGCCGGTGAGAATGGAGAATTCGTAATAGATGAAGAGTTTCAAGGGATGCTATTTGAGTTTCAGAGAAGGGTTTATCGAGGAAAGTACAACCGATGGCCGGGCTTACATTCTGCCATTACAGAATGGTGCAGGTGTTTCCTTAATTTCTCTTATTTAGTAGATTCTTTAAAATCTTTTAAAATTCCATCTTATTAGATATACTGTAGTATAAAATATTAGATATGTGTTCATAAATATTAAACTAATGTTAAATCTATACTATATAAAAGTTGAGGCTATAAGCCATTGAGGGTCCACATAGGATTAAAACACAATTTTATTGGTCCACATAAGCATCTTCAAGATTAAGAAAGTTTCCAAATTTTAAACTACCAATAGTATCATTCCACATAATCATATAAAATTAAGAAATTTTCCAAATTTTAAACAACCAATAGTATTAATCTATATCATCATATAAAATTAGCTATATTTGTTAAATTAGTTAATTTCTTTCTTATGTTTCAAGAAATTAATTAGTATAATCTGTTTAAATTAGAAACTCCCAAGTCTAAAGTGATTAATTAATATTTTTTTAATAAATATGTTTTTAATATAAAAGTTTGAGGCTAAATGCATTTAAGAGTGTCCACATAAGATTATAAAACCGCATCTTATTGGTCCACATAAATTTACATAATTTTTTTTTCCAATTTTAAACAACCAATAGTATTAATCTATATCATCATCTCATTTTTTTCAAATTTTAAACAGCCAATAATATTAATCTATATCATCTAAAATTAGCTATATTTTTAAAATTAGTTAACTTCTTTTATGTTTCAAGAAAATTAATTAATAAACCGGTTTAAATTAGAAACTCCACAAGTCCAACGTAATTAAATTAAGATTTTTAAAAATTATTGTTAAAAAATAAATTTACTAAATTTTAAAAATTATATAAAAAACATTTGTATAACTAAAATATTAGTTATAAAGAATTAAATAAACCTTAAGGTGAATATCTTTGACCAAACTTAAGTTTTTACAAATAAAGAGTAGGTTACACCATAATAACTGAAGAATTGTTCTAAGCAAACAAAGCCAACATTGCAAAAGAGTCGATCTCAACATTACATAATCTATGAATAAAAAAATGGAGATAGAAACAAAAATGTAATGTCGTATAGAAGACATATGAGTTCATTTGCAGTTTTTTAGGTGATGAGAGAGATCAAGCTTTGGGAGCTAAAACAAAAAATCAAGAAAACAATAGCATACTATATAATATTTAGTTCATCGTAGCTTCAAAAAAATGGTCGAAAAAGTAAATAGTTTGTTTGGATTACTATGGAGCAGAAGAATTCAAAGGAGATTTAATAGTGCAACCATACAACAAATTTTCGAGAAAGCATTCCACCCTACATCAACAAAATAAGAGTTTGTATTCGGGAGGATAATGGAGGTGACGGAGGGGAAAGAAGAGGTTGATGTCTGCATCCTTCACATCCTTTAAGAAGATTTCATCTCCATGTAAATAACGATTTTCAAATAAGAGAAAATCATGAACCTTCCAAAAATGGCAAAATATATAAGGATAAAGAGATATAGGCAATAAACCTATTAGGGGTAGAATAATCAGTTTTTCTACATCTTCAAAGAGTTCCTGAAAAATGTGAGTTTGCCATAAGTTTATTGAGAAGCAGGCTTGATCCAAGACTCATACTGTAGAAAGACATATGAAGAAGATATGGAGACTGTTTCTTTGATGATCACAATGATTGCAGGAGGTGTATCAATTCCATGAGCAGCCAGAGTTTGATCGGTCAAGACAAAGCTTTTGCCATCAAATTCAAGAGGAAATATTTCATTTTTGGTGTAGTATAAACTTGCCAAATATGATTACTCGATTTGATTAGAAACATGATAGGTGAGTTAATAACCATTTTTGCAATTAAATAAACACTAACTGAATTTTGCAATTTCTAAACAAATATGTAACTAACAAATTTTTTGAACAAGAATGTATTTATAAACAGATTTAAGGCGGAAATATTCAAGTAAACATTAATATAAAACTACTTCTAAAAAGAAATGTATACCATAACGCATATAAAAAACTAAAAAATCAACATTGAACAAACAATGATTTAAGATTTTCTTTAAGCCATAAAAAATATACATAATTTATATTATATAAAAGCTAAATATATACTATTATGATCAAAGTTTATAAACTAATAACACGATGTGTAAGTTAAATGTACTGAAAAATAAATTATATGTTGTTTATAGCATTTTAAGTTCTAACATAACGAATTGAAGTTATTTTAAATAAACATCGTGTTACATACAAATACTGTTGACATCTAATTTTAAGAATTTCACTATACATATTTAAAAATATATTTCTGTTTAGAAAATGACTAACACGTCACAATAGTTCATAAATTAACATTACATTTTACATATATATATATATATATATATATTATAATAATGATTTGAATATCTTCAAGTAAGTTTTGGTCATTAGACATACACAAACATTTTTGTTACCGGGATATGATCTAAACAATATTTTTGTATGTCAAGATTTGATCTCAACACGATATTATATATCTAAAAACTTTTGTTTTCCAGAGAATTTTGGTATTGAAATATTATTAAATTTTAATTGTTGATTTTTGCAGTTTAAAAAAAAATTCTTTAAAATATATTTTAAACCGATTTAAGATACAGACCCGCGCGTGCGCGGGTGAAAGTCCTAGTAATTATAATAAGACAAAAACAAAACCAATAATCCTGTACTCCTTCCGTTTCAAATTAGTTGTCATTTTGGAAAAATGTATTTGTAATGTTTTTGGATGTATTAAACTCAAAATACATCTAAATACATCCAAATAATTACAAATACATTTTCCTAGAATAACAACTAATTTGAAACGGAGGAAGTAGTATATACTGTTTGACTACAACTAAACAGAGTGAGGAAATTAAAAATACAGTTTTGAATCGGTTCACTTTTTTTTCTTCTTTAGAACCACATTAGAAGAACACGAAGAAATAGTCTACTTGTTAGAGGTAGTGTTTCATATAGATTTTGTGATACATTTAATATGATTTTTAGGGTTTCAGATTTAATCGTGAATATCATTTTTTAGGGTTTCATTTAATAACAAAAATTTGGGAGATCAAAACCGATTCTCTTTATTATAAAAAAGGTCAATATTAATTAATTAATTAATTTACAAAATCATTAGTAAAAAGGTAAATATAATATAAAAAATTTCATTGAAAGGTATGAAGATAGTCTTAGGTTTGAGAGCGAAGGTGATGTTTCGAAACAAAATTGTGGCTTCGGAAATAATATATTAGATAGTTTACTTTAAACTTAGGGTTAACATATTGCTATCGAATTTCTTCTCTATTATTGTTACCATTTTGCTTATTACAGTTTCATGAATTCTATAAAACCTGAATAAGCTGTTACATGCACTGATTTACTTGGATGTTCTAAACTAGAAATGTAAAATACAAAGAAGGTAAGATTTAGATCATAGAATGCTATAACCAATGCTATTTTAGCCGTAAAATATATTTTTTAACAATAATACATAGTAGCAATTCATACATGTATTTAAGAATTTATATGTCATCATATATGTAATTTGTTTTTCAACAAAAAAAAAGGTTGTATATTTTCTTAATTAGAACTGTAATGTCATATTGCCATAGTTTAGAAGAAATATATAGTAATCATAATTTGAGAAAATATGTAACATAACAGAATTGTAAAAAATAGATGAATTGCACAACTTTGTTCAAAAAAAAAAAGAGAGATGAATACGTGACATGTGGAACATGCATAACATTGAGATTAAAAGGCACATGCATTATTCTCTATGCTCCAATCTCTCGAATCCGTTAGTTAAATCTGTCATATCCAATTGGCTCACAACATTCTCTTTTATTCTTCACTTTTTGTCTGCCATAATCATATCTAATTAATTTTTTTTTTTAATTACTTTAGCTTCTATTTTGATTTTAAAAGTTTTTCGAAAGTGGATTTGCTGCCAAAAACATTAT